GGAATCATCTGCATACAAGTGTGCAGTGCAATGTTTTACACAGCTGGGAAAGTCAGCTGTGTAAAGCGTGTAAAGTACAGGCCCCAAACAGCTACCTTGAGGAACGCCCCGTTTTTTGACGAGGGAATACGATGTTTCACTACCCAATCTGGTAACCTGCATTCGGTCGATAAGGTAAGAGCGAATCCATGTAGTGATTCTATCACTAAAACCCACATATTTCATTTTTGCAATCAGCATACTATGGTCCATAGAATCAAATGCTTTGGAGTAATCAAGCATGACAAGTGAGCTATGTTTCCCTTTGTCCTTGGCATCAATCATGTCACAGAATAAATTGGTCAAAGCTGTACATGTGCTGTGGTTTTTTCTAAAACCTGACTGTAGTTTAGGTAGCAGCCTATTGTCATTCATAAATTGGGATATCTGGTCAATCACTATTTTCTCTAATATTTTAGATATTGCTGGAAGTATTGATATTGGTCTAAGATCTTCTACCTTAGTTGGTGCAGCTGTTTTTGGCAATGGCCTGACAATACTTTGCTTCCATGCATTCGGGAATACTCCACTGATGAGTGACTCATTTACAAGATGTGTGATTGCTTCAATAGCAAACGGACTCACAGCTTTTAACATGTCTATTGATATTTCATCACTGCCTACAGCTTTAGACTTTATTTGATTCATCACTAGTTTTACAGTTGCTTCGGTGACAGCACTAAATCGACATTCGTTTCTTGTTTCATCTTGTTTATTAGTCATATAAAATTTAATAATTTCTTCATCAGCCTTGATACCAGACCCCATTTTTGTAAAATATTCATTAATGTCATTAGCTTCAAAACCGTCAATAGTTTCTACACAATTGTTCTTATAAACTTCGCAATTCTTTATACATTTCCAGAAATCTTTGCTGTTGTTTGTTGTCGACAGTTTGTTGGTAAAAAACCTTTTTTTCGCATGCCAGACCATTGAATTTAATCTGTTTCTTATTTCCTTATACTTATGCCAATCAGGACCACTTCTTGACTTCCAATATCTATTCCTTAATTTATTTTTTTCCCTAGTCAATTTCTTAATTATATCATTTCTCCACGGAGCTACTTTCTTGGTTACCCTTTTACACACTATAGGTGCGTGGCTATCATATACTTTTCTAATTTCATTGGTCAACGCATTTTCAATATTATTTACTCCTTGTAAGATCGTTATCTTTTTCCAATCTATTTCAGAAAGTTCTCTTACCGCTTGGTCAACATTGAATTTTGAAAAATCCCTATATCTGATCATCTTTGGTTTCTTTTGTTCTTTTCTTAGGATCAATTCACAAAAAATAAGCTTGTGGTCCGTAATTGACTTCCCTCTGTGATCTAATATGCTAGGTGCATTTATAACGCCGATCCTCTTGACTTCAACCGACCTGTCCACGAATATGTGGTCTAACAAGGTGGCTGAAGTTGCTGTCACCCTCGTAGGCTCGTTTATTAACTGGATTGTATTTGATTCTCTCAAGAGTCGGCATAAATATTTAGAATCACTACTTGTTTTTGACATAAGATCAACGTTTGTGTCACCCAGACAGATCACAGAGTCGACTTCAACTGCTAAGTCAACAAATAGGGAGTGAAACAAAGAATCAAGGTTAGTGTATCGTACATTGGGAGGCCTGTATACTACACACAGACCCAGTCTCTGGCTTTTTAGCCTGATGACAACAGAAAGTGTTTCTATACCAGGTGGAAGGTTGGCTGGAAAAATATGTTGGTCATACATAATTCCTTCCCTGATGTATAAAGCAATGCCTTCACCGGCTTCCTCCTCCTCAAATAAGCCAGAAATGTGGTGGCGATCAGAGCGCAACAATCTGTATCCTGGTATATTGAAGTTGTCTGAGGGAGTGTCAGGGTGAAGCCAGGTCTCTGTCACACCAAAAATGTCAAAATTTAAATCAAGGACAAGTTCACACATTTCAGTGAATCCAGTGTTCAAAGAGCGTATGTTTAGGTGACCAATTCTGACATTGCCCACACCTCCCCCTCCGACTAGTTTTCCGACACAGTGACAACACTCTGACTGCCGCCATGGCCACAGTCAGCTGCAGCCACCGCATCATGGCCCAGTACAGGAGAAAGCGGGGTAGGCATTAAGTTGACATCACCCTGACCAGAGACATGTGGGTCATTCTGAGACTGCAAAAGGGTCCCAATCACATCCATGAGCAAATGCCCGAGGCGAGAAACAGCTCGTCGGCTGAAGTGCACTCCATCACGGGCCAGATCCCCTCTGCCAACACACGTGTTAGCCTCCACGAATGTAACACCGAAGTTGTTACACATCAGCTCAACCTGGGTGTTAAAGTCGTGGAGTGCTCTATAACTAACGTCTCGCCTAATCAGAACACTGTTCAGAACTAATTTTGAATTTGGAAAGTGTGTTCTGGCAGAGTACAAAAGGTCAGCCATGCTGTGGAGAGCCTCACGTTTCCCATGACCCCCATTGTACCCCGGGCCCCCCCCGATAGCCACGTCTGAGATTGTTGCATCCAACATGAAAATATATCACAGACAAACTTACACCTAAATAACCTAACAATACATTCTTAATGTCTAAAATCTTTCCCCCTGGACAGCATTTAACATATGCCCCCTTCTCTTTGCACATATTTGTTGAGTACCTTAAGTGTGAGTCCCCAATTACAAGTACATTTCTTAATGTCTTGTGTTGTCCGTCCGGCTTCTCCTCCGACCTAGGTGCAGGTGAAGTGTCACAGTGTGGAGTCGTAGGCCGAGGAGGTGTGCAGGGAGCAGCAGAGCAAGCAGGGGTAACAGTGCGGAGTGAAGCTGGGGTAACAGTGTGCAGTGAAGTCTCTTGTTTCTCCGCAGCTGATAGCTCCGCTAGCAGGCTCATGTCGGAAGAAGATCTTCTCTGCCTTGCACGACTCTCAGCTCTTCTCAGTTCTCCCCTCAAGCATTTTATCTCTGCCTCCAACACTTCTATTGAAGTCATCAAGCGCTGGCGGTCAGCGGTCAGGTCAGCTACTTTCTGTTGGCTTTCCAGCAAGATGCCTTCATGGTCCACATTTGACTCTGCCCTCTTCTTTAGCTGTTTATTTTCGGCCTTGATCTTCTCCAGGTCAGCGGTCAGACTACCGATGTCAGCATCAAGTTGATCCTCCAACTCACAACAAACCATGGATTTTTCTTTAAAACTTTTGTTTAAGTCCATACAACGACTTTCAGCCATGCTCAGTTGATCTTGTAGCTGATTAATTTCTCTGAGAGCTTCTTCGTTGGACTTACACACGTTGTTGAGTTTTTCCATTAAGCTGGTCACATGCGGAATCAATTTTTCTACCGAGTCCTCACCAAAACTAGCAATGGTTGATCTCAGCTCAGCATAAAAACCTGAAGCAAGGTCAATAACTTCCTGATCGATAAAAAATAATCCATCTGTGAGATTCAACAAGTCTTTAGAACGTGTGATTACAGGCATTTTACTTTTGGTTTTGTTTTTAAATTAGGATAGTGAGAATAATAAGTAACAAGTATAAATAATGGATAACTTGGAAATAAATAAATAAATAAATAATATCTACATGAATAAATTACTAATAACTAATAACAATTAATTATTAACTAATAACAATTAATTATTAATTAATAATTAATAACAAGACATTATCATCGTCTTACGCGATTGCGGTAAAATTCTGATCATCCCTCGCAGCCGTGTAGAGTAGACATCATTATTGTAACTCCCGCGATCCTGTAGACATCGCAATCGTCCCCCGCTGTCGTGAAGACATCATATAATCGTCTCCCTCGGTCGTGAAGACATCGTAATCATCTCCCGCGATCGTGAAGACATCGTAATCGTCTCCGCGCGATCGTGAAGACATCGTAATCGTCTCCGCGCGATCGTGAAGACATCGTAATCATCTCCGCGCGATCGTGAAGACATCGTAATCGTCTCCCGCGGTCGTGAAGACATCGTAATCGTCTCCCGCTGTCGTGATTCATCGTAATCGTCTCCCGCTGTCGTGAAGACATCGTAATTGTCTCCCGCGATTACGGCAAAATGTTAATAATATCCTGCAGTTATGTGGATATCATTATCGTCTTCCGCGATCGTGGCAAATTTCTGACTGTTTTCCGTGGTTGTGTGGACTATGATCATATCCCGCGGTCATTTAGTCATTATCATAGTCTCGCGCGATCGCGGTAAAATCATGATCATATCCCATGGTCGTTTAGACATTATCATCGTATCATGCGATCGCAGCAATATTCTGATTATCCTCTGTGGATCTCATTATCGTATTGCGCGATCACGGTAAAATCATGATCATATCCCGCGGTCGTTTAGATATTATTATCATCTCATGCGATCGCGGCAAAGTTTTGATCATTCCTTGAGGCCTTGTGGAGACATATTATTGCCTCCCGTCTCCCGTGGTCACGGAAACGTCACTGTTGTAAATTGACAATTCCAAGTAGAAAATTAACACATAATTCCTGGTTCAAAAAAATTCACGCTTAGTTTCCGGATTTCCCGGTTGGTGGTCACCCTGTTATATATTGCAAAGGGGCGCTACTATTAGTTGTGCCTAGGGCGCTGACATGGTCAAATACGGGCCTGACTAGTTAATATAAGCGAAATTGATAGTGAAAATACTGGCTGACTTTTCAGATGCGTTGCAGCAATGCATCCTCAGAGCTAGCTACAATTCAACTGCCTCATAGATGGGCTGTTACAAAGCATCTGAAAAATTGACCAATTTTTATTTTTGTCAGTTAAGACAAGTGTTTAGTCATCTCCTGAAGACCTAGATCATACATTCTACTTTGACCGTGGAAGTCTACCTTCATTTTCAGCTTAACACTAAATTATGTTAAACAAAATGATTGGTAAGGAGGCACTAAGGGTATTGTAACGTCACTTATTGTTTCAACTACAACCAACGCAAAATAATATTTGTTGGAAAAATTGAGTAAACTGACTTGGAACAAAAGACATTGCCACAGTTTCGACAATGGTGGCGTCGCTCGTAGATGGAGAAGCGAACATTACAGCTAGCGCAGCCCTCAGCACCCTCGTCCTTGAGCCAATGGTCAGCGACCCCGCGACCTGGCTGGTCAGTCACACTCCAAGAGAACACTCGACCTCTCGTGTCACCAACATACACAGTGCGATGGTCCCTGCAACACATCACGTTGTTGTAATCCAACAACTAGTTTCCAAATCAGCACAACAAATCGTACACTAAAAATGAAGCGATTGAGGCACGACTAAAGACTAAATGACTGACACATACCTGGAAACAGCTAGGGCAGTTATGGAGGCTGGCTCAGCATTGTCTTTGCGGTCGTAGGCAGTGTGCATCGTCAGTTTACTGCGGAACACTAATTGTCTCTGCCACACAAACCCTGCAAACATTACGTTCTTAAGGAAAAGTTTCATGGTAAGTAGTTCTAGCTTTCAGTTGGTAATATTTCTGATGTATCTCTCTAAAGCATATTTAACTTTTAAACTAATAAAAGCAACACTTTAAAATGTTAGAACAGAAAGTGATTTCAATCATTCAATCAGAAAAATTACAAAAAGTAAACATAAACATTAAACAGATGGTTTAGATAATTGTTCAAATGAGCCAGGACATGTGGACATGTGAATGTATTACAGTCTTCCCCTCTAAAAAGAGAACAGGCAGACCAAACAATTTACAAGCTTAATGCAACAGTTAGAAGTCTTGATGTGGGATATTCATAGCAAACTGGTGGTGTTGGTGTGGTGTGTAGGTAATTGGCTTTAGGGTTTTCACTGGATCAGGTAAAATTGCCCTGCACATTACATCTATAATGCTAATCTATAATGCTTGTAAAGTAGCACATCTTCAGGTCGAGAATGTCTAAACTGTCTCGCTAATAATCCCTCATGAAGAGTTTGTCAAAAATAAATAACACGGGAAATACATATGAAAAAACACACACAACAATACATTTAAATACTGGTCGACTAATATTTAAATGTGGTCATGTCTGTTGGATTATTAGTAAGACAGTTTAGACATTCACGACCTGAAGATATGCTACTTTACAAGCATGAAAAAGCTGTAGTTGTTATACTACAATCAAGGATCCTTTTGACAGCAAAAAGGTAATTTAAACCTATATTAGTTCACTCTGACAATCCAGAGGCCATTCTATCATGTCAATGGTTTTACATGAGCATGAGGTAGGCGTACATATTCATAGCTAACTGGTGGAACTGGCATTGAATACACGATAGGCTTCAGTGAAGTTGGAGTAGAATGTTCAAAGTATACAAGAGCACAAAGTAGTGCACTGGGCTGAGTTCAGTGGTACAATCGGTGTTTTGAGAACTGTCGGCACTGTCAGGCTCAAAGGGCACTGGAGTTGGATATGAAAATACTGGACGAGCATTCTCATTAAGTGTTAAACTGCAGACATATGGAGCATTACCAATCTTTCCTTTGAATAGTTCTGAATATTTGTTTAGAGCTTCTTTTTTAAGCTTAAAGCAATTTATTGTGGTTAATTTATTAACGGGTAGTCCCAAACTTTCGGAATCCATCCATCTCTAATTTTGAGAGATAGATTATTCCCGACCTACAGCTGAAATTTATTACTTTTTATTAACTTTTCCCGACCTTTCAAAATTCCCGTTTTTTCCCCGACATTCACATGATTCCCAACTGGTAGACTACATTGTATTGAATAGATGAGGTTAAAGCTTTGTTACTAACTAAGATGACCTGGTTCTTTTTATGTGAGGTACCCAAAGAAGTATAACAAATTGAACCATTTACCCAAAGTTATAAACAACATAGAGGCACTCAGTATAAGGAGAGTTGGAGGTACAAGGCATAGACATGAAATCTGGGCTAGAGCTAAGGGCTGTAGGATAGTGTTACCTTGTCGCAGAGTGTGGTGGTTGTTGATGCGGTTGCGTCTTAGAGGAGGTACAGGGGCTGGCTCCTCATCCTTAGCTTCCCCGTCAGCTGTGACCACGACAAAGCTGTCTGTAAGGCTGGTGTCTGACTTGCTGGGTCTGAGACCACCAGCCTCATCCTTGCTCTCCCTCTCCACCAGCCCCAGCGGCCGCGCAGGGGCACACTCCGACTTGCGGAACTGAAACAACACAACACAACAATGTCAATATGTCTGCGACCACCAGCCTCATCCTTGCTCTCCCTCTCCACCAGTCCCAGCAGCCGTGCAGGGGCACACTCCAACTTTCGGAAGTGAAACAACACGACACAACAATGTCAATATGTCTGAGACCACCAGCCTCATTCTTGCTCTCCCTCTCCACCAGTCCCAGCGGCCGCGCAGGGGCACACTCCGACTTGCGGAACTGAAACAACACAACATAACAATGTCAATATGTCTGAGACCATCAGCCTCATCCTTGCTCTCTCTCTCCACCAGTCCCAGCGGCCATGCAGGGGCACACTCCGACTTTCGGAACTGAAACAACACAACACAACAATGTCAATATGTCTGAGACCACCAGCCTCTTCTCCACCAGTACCAGCGGCCGCGCAGGGCACACTCCGACTTTCGGAACTGAAACAACACAACACAACAATGTCAATATGTCTGAAACCTCCAGCCACCTCCTTGCCCTCCCCCTATACCACTCCTAGTGGCCGTGCAGGGACACACTCCAACTTTCGGAACTGATACACAGGCCCGTTTTTGACCATGTCAGCGCCCTAGGCACAACTAATAGTAGCGCCCCTTTGCAATATATAACAGGGTGACCACCAACCGGGAAATCCGGAAACTAAGCGTGAATTTTTTTGAACCAGGAATTATGTGTTAATTTTCTACCTGGAATTGCCAATTTACAACAGTGACGTTTCCGTGACCACGGGAGACGGGAGGCAATAATATGTCTCCACAAGGCCTCAAGGAATGATCAAAACTTTGCCGCGATCGCATGAGATGATAATAATATCTAAACGACCGCGGGATATGATCATGATTTTACCGTGATCGCTCAATACGATAATGAGATCCACAGAGGATAATCAGAATATTGCCGCGATCGCATGATACGATGATAATGTCTAAACGACCATGGGATATGATCATGATTTTACCGCGATCGCGCGAGACTATGATAATGACTAAATGACCGCGGGATATGATCATGGTCCACACAACCACGGAAAACAGTCAGAAATTTGCCACGATCGCGGAAGACGATAATGATATCCACATAACTGCAGGATATTATTAACATTTTGCCGTAATCGCGGGAGACAATTACGATGTCTTCACGACAGCGGGAGACGATTACGATGAATCACGACAGCGGGAGACGATTACGATGTCTTCACGACCGCGGGAGACGATTACGATGTCTTCACGATCGCGCGGAGACGATTACGATGTCTTCACGATCGCGCGGAGACGATTACGATGTCTTCACGATCGCGCGGAGACGATTACGATGTCTTCACGATCGCGGGAGACGATTATATGATGTCTTCACGACAGCGGGGGACGATTGCGATGTCTACAGGATCGCGGGAGTTACAATAATGATGTCTACTCTACACGGCTGCGAGGGATGATCAGAATTTTACCGCAATCGCGTAAGACGATGATAATGTCCACTCAACCACAGGAAAAATCAGAAATTTGCCTCATTCGTGAAAGACGATGATGATCTCCAAACAACCGCGGGAGATGATTACCATTTGCCGCAATGGCGGGAGAGGATGACAATGCCTCACGACCCCGGGAAAAGATTACAATTTTGCCTCATTCGCGGTAGACGGTGATAATCTCATCACGACCGCGGGATGTGTTCATATATTGCCGCGATCAAGGAGGACGATAATTATGTCCACACATCCGCTGGAAATAGTCAGAACTTTGACGCGATCGCGGGAGACGGACGATGACGACGTATATACAACCGCGGTAAATAATTAACATCTTGCCGCAATTGTGGGAGACTGTTAAGGTGTCTTCACGGCCGCAAGGGATTATCAGATTACCGCGATCGCATGCAAAAACAGCCACAATTTTTTTTCTTTTTTCCAATTTTTTGGCGCCCCCAAAAAAAGCCAATTGCCTCGCGCCCTAGGCACGTGCCTACCTTGCCTATTCGGTAAATCGGCCCTGCTGATACAACACAACAATGTCAATATGTCTGAGACCTCCAGCCACCTCCTTGCCCTCCCCCTATACCACTCCCAGCGGCCGTGCAGGGACACACTCCAACTTTCGGAACTGATACAACACAACAATGTCAATATGTCTGAGACCTCCAGCCACCTCCTTGCCCTCTCCCTCTACTACTCCCAGTGGCAGTACAGGGGTACACTCAGACTTGCGGAACTGAAACAACACAACACAACAATGTCAATATGTCTGAGACCTCCAGCCACCTCCTTGCCCTCTCCCTCTACTACTCCCAGTGGCAGTACAGGGGCACACTCCGACTTGCGGAACTGAAACAACACAACACAACAATGTCAATATGTCTGAGACCTCCAGCCACCTCCTTGCCCTCTACCTCTACTACTCCCAGTGGCAGTACAGGGGCACACTCAGACTTGCGGAACTGAAACAACACAACACAACAATGTCAATATGTCTGAGACCACCAGCCACCTCCTTGCCCTCTCCCTCTACCACACCCAGTGGCAGTACAGGGGTACACTCAGACTTGCGGAACTGAAACAACACAACAATTTTAATATGTTTGGGATAACTTCCTTTTTCATTATTATTTTAGGTTGAATTAATTATATCTCCCTCTTCAGAAAGATTGGAAGACAATTCACAGTTAACTATACTAACTGATTTTAAACAAAAATTGTCCGTAAAGGGGCAATAAGGGCATTGTGACGTGACTACGTGTTTTAACTACAACCAATGCAAAATAATTGTACACAAGAAGGTCGTGGCATTTTGACACAAAACATAACCTTTAAATTCACTATTGCTGTTAAATGATATTTTTATTTACCAAAACTGGTTTGGAAACCAAAGAAACTAAAAATACACACAAAAACAAGTTGCAGAATAACAGGAAAAATAATGACCCAACAAGTGATGCGATCTCTGAGAATAATGCCAAACTAGTACCAAAGGTCCAGGATGGAACAGTTCTGTCTAGGAATGCCAGAGTGAATTAGCAGTGGGGCTAAAATGTTTTGTTTGAGTATATCAATGGATTGCATGCTGTAGTTTTAAGCGTTCAAATATATACAACAACAACACAGTAACAATGACACATTCAAGTACACTTTGTTTGAATGTGTTGAATAAAGATAAGGATTTATTTTATTCGTTTTGATAAAGTAGGCCTAACAAGTTCTATTTATTTTGGTTTGAATTAATCAGCTGGAAAGATATCATGAGCATTTTCGCTATGCATCACTGGTGAAACTATCGAGTGTTGCTGATGGGTTTACCTGAGGGTTTGTGCGAGTAGAAGATCTACGCCTCCTCACCACAGGTACAGTAGTAAGCTCCTTGTCTTCATCACTACATAGCTCTTTCTCTTCAGATTGGACATCGGGCTCCTTTTTACTCTTTTTACGCTTTTCTTTTTTCTTCTTGTTTTCATTTCCATCTTCTGATAAACTACTTTCTGAACCACTTTTGGCAACTAACTTTCCTGTAGGATAACAGGTAAAATCTCAAATTACTCAAGTTGGCAGTAACAGCAATGGCAGCGATATAGAGTATGTGCTAAAATGCATAACTAATTTATGACACTATAAAATGTGAGAATGATTTTTAGAAGTCTCACAATTTATTGGTTTTTTACTAGGTAAGAAAAACAGACAAAAACAACAACAAAAATACCCCCGCCGCAGAAAACCTGCAGATAAGTGAATTTACATTTACCTGAATTGATTTTAAATTAAATCTATTTAAATAGCATAAGGTTTAACGAGTACCTAGGTATGCTGCTACAGGGAGGTTAATAAAGTGTTTTTTTTTTAGTAAGATGTACCTTAGTATAAATAAAATAAACTAGTGGCCTGTAGGGACATAAGTCCCTAAAAAGCTCAATAATGTAAAACAAATTATTCTAATATTTAAACACATTCAGAAATATATTATTTATGTGTCAGAATAGATATCCCTGTACACCATATCTATTGTGTAAAAAACAGTTTGTTGTTTGTCTTTGTTTGCTTTTATTGATGTTATTTTCAATAAATAATTTGAATCACTCCATAGGTTCGACTCTGCTAAAGGCAACAAACATATAATTGTTTGTGAATAAATTCTGCCTTATTAAGGTAGGTATTAAGGTAGCTTTATCAGGCTTCCCTGATTGGAATTTTGGAAACTGTCTTCAAATATGAAAAGGCAAATAAAGGTGTGATGAGAAGCTTAGTTCTTAGTAAAAACCGCTAAATTAGCATCCCTGCCCAGTTTATATTTTTAAGATTATACCGTACTCCTTTTGTTAGGGCTTAACAAAATTAGTGTAAAGTAAAGGTATTCTATTGACTGAACTAACCCTACATTCTTTTCTAATCAACATAAAAAATTACAATTAGTGTAAGTCTATGCGGTTGTATTCCTCTTAAGGGTGTGATTGACCATGACACATATTCAATGAAAATAGGCCTAATCATCAGTTGATTCCTAAATCTTTTGCGACTGGTTAGGGTTACATTACCCAGTTATCGAAACCAATCATGAAATTACTTTTCATCAGCATTGATATGCATATGTTTGGTTTGTTTAAGAAAAGTAAAGAAACGGAAACTACCTGTAGGTTTTACTATTATATAAGAATGATCTCTTTACTATTATATAAAATACATGCTAGGCTATACTATTTTAAACTATTTTGCAACAGACAGTACCTGTTTAAAATCTCCAACAATATTGTTTTCCGCCCATTGGAACTTGTCATAGTACTTACTTAATTAACAAATATATTTCCTGTACGAACCTATTGCATCTTTGTTCCCAGGTTATTTTAATAGAGTAGCCGTTGAGGTTATTCCACTTCATACAAAATATTAACCAAACACAACAACAAATCTCAAACTAAAAAAAATGTTAGTAAATGTACAAAGAAAGTGTAGAATAAATCTTGGAACACATGTTTTGAAATAAAAACAAAGCAGAAGTTTTCATTTAATCTTGAATTGTTAATTATTTAGTCAATGTGGTTGTTTCATGTTAAACATTAAAACTACACACATTTGATCAGTTTCACAGAAAAATAATTTATTTCAAAAGTCTATAACGTAACTAAAAAGTCTTATTATTATAGGTAACGTTAGAAAGCCCTGTTTTTTTATATTGCAGAATTGACTGGAAATTAGGTCATCCAAATGTTAATATTGCGTACCGGCTTAGTGATAAATCGCGATCAGCTGTATTGAAGTAAACAAAAATCAGCAGAAAATGGCTTTTAATGCTATTATAATGGAGAACATTTTACGTTATATCGAATTTTGTGTTACAATTTTGGGAATTTCACTATTTTTCCCGCCATCACGGGATCGAGACCTTTAATTTGAGCCCCCTCCCGTCAATCTACGACTTACCAATCGCCCACAATTTTTACGCAAAGAATCGGCTTACGTAATCAATATATAGATAAATTTGCCAAGTTTGAACAAAATATGTCCATAAACAAGCAAACTACATTTTACTATATTTTCCATAAGAATAAAATGGGAATTTTAAATTTGCAGTTTTTGGAATTTTCTCCGTAACCAATAACCGTACAAAAACACTTTGGTATACTAAATTATTTGTTTTTTTAAGCTCTTTAAAATGGTTTAGAGAGAAATTGGGAAATTTTGTCTTTTGAGGGTCAAGTAAAACCCTGTTCACATACAACACAACAATGTCCGATCATGCTGGTTCGCGAACTCATTCAAGTTTATCCTGCCTTACAGCTTCAAACCAAATTTCATCTAAATCGGACAAAAATTACTCAAGCTATCCTGTTCATATATATAAATCTATCTATATATCTACATATATACATATATAAAAATTTGAATAAATTGGGTTTTTGGCGTCTAGGGACATCAAGAATATCGGTCCCGGCTCCAGGTCTTACCGTGCCACCTACGGTAATAGCTACTTCCCTATAGGGAAATTCGCTAAAAACACATGAACCTATTGGAATAAGGCTTTATGTAAAATGTGTAGGAACAGCAAAAACTTTGTTTTACATGCATGTTCAAAATGATAAAACTGATGTTATATAATGATTAGCTAAACATTCATTTATCTTGTGTGAGACGAAAGAAATCTTACTAACAATTGATTACATACCTCAGGAAAATGTTGCCTGGATAGGTTAACACTAATACTTAACCCTACCCAGGCTGACGCTAACCGAAACCCCCGGTCTGTGAGACCCAGCTTTAAAATAAACTAACGCTGGGCTTCTGAGACGGGCATGTTATGAACAGACAACCTGTCAAGGTCACGGCACCCAAGCAAAATGAACAAACAATATATCAAAAGGTAGGGGAAGAAAAGGGGGGAAGGTATTGTGGGAATGGAATCCCCCAAGTAAACAGTGTTGCCAGCATGCGTTTGTGAAAACTCCCGTGGGCCTGTCAGACTGGTAATAGAATTAAGAATTGGTAATAGTGTTAATCTCATCCAAAGTGAACCCAACTTCATAAGGAAGCAGCAACATATTTAAACTCATCCATGTCTTCATCTTTCCAAATCATTATGTTTTGTTTACTGAAGAGAAAACTACTATTACAGTTATTGGTTTTTTTTATATTGTATCTTTAAAATACATAATTTAATTCCAGAATCACACATAATAATTGTTTTGAACCACCCTTGTATAGATAAATTAATTAATAAAAGTCATCTAAATATTGATATATCAGTTTAAATTAGTCTAATGTTTGATATTAAATATAAGCAAAATAAACTGATAAATAAATATTGTTAAATGCTTGTTTAACTTTTAATGATGAATGTTTTGTTTATTCAACAAATCCACAATAATTCTGAATTTCCTTTTGTTATTATTAAATAAATGTTTTTACAGGGTGTTTTTTTAAAAACTTGCATCTTTATCTATCTATATATTAATAGGCAAGCATGTTTCTTTAAAACCTTTTTTCTCAGCTTGTGTGCATCGTGGGGTAAATCTGCGCATACCGTTAGAAAGCAATTTTCCTGTAGGTGTGCAGAATCCCTTTTTAAATTTAAATAGGCTCAAAGATAAGCACAAAAAATGAGATTGAAAATTTGAAAAAATTAACATGGATTTTATGCGTTGCCATGCTGGTGACGAAATAACAACGAAATATAAACAGAAAATCAAAACAAATGGAAGAAACTCCAATCACATGTTTTATTTACAGTGTGGGGTGAAAATAGAGAAGTGAGTACATTACATATTTTTGGTCGAGTTTCGACCACTGGACGACCTCTCGTACTTATTTAATACGCAAGCAGGTTTTTTGTGACAATTACTCCTCCGAAACTACTGTACCGATTGACATGTTTTTGGTGTCATTGGAAAGAGCGTAACGTGAAGTTGTGCAGGAAACTTTTTTTTAGGGAAATAGTTAGTGAGTGAGGCCCTGGAGCCCTTTAAAGTTTCATATTTCTCCATAAGATTAACATGGGAAACAAAAATTGTTATGAAACTCCAGCTGTTGTCAGAAATTAAAAGTTAGAAGAAGAGCATAATTATGTTGATTTTAAACAGGCAATAAGTTTGCTAATTTAACAGTTTGCCACAAACATTTACTGACTTGGTTGAAATGAAATATTTACAATTTAAATTTTGGTTGGCGTAAATATTACAATGGGAAAAAGCGGGAGACCCTGGATAATTTGATATACTAAAAAGAAAACTGAATTAACACTGTGTTAATCATTGAAAGAGGCGATTTGCATACTATGGAAACATATGAAAGTCATAGAACACCACCAAGGAGAAGAAATAGAAATAATGTTTTTTTATTATAATGGTTATTATGGACAACCTAATGTGGCTATGAGTAAAGCTATTTGTAGAAAACACTAAAAAACAAGATCAGCTTTTGAAAAATGATAAGATATTTACAAGAAATGTTGATTATATTGATCTGTTATGTACATCTTGAGTATTTCCATAATATTTGAGTCGAATCTTTTAAAGTCATCAGAAATTATGACTGTTATTCGTTTTAAAATAACGCCTGTAATACGTAGCAATTGCTCGAATTCGAGCAACCGGTACACTAGTTTATGTAAAAACCGCAATAGATAGAAATATGCAGTTTGCGGGAATCATCTATTGACGTAGGGGGCCCAATTGTTTTGAATTCAACGTTACATTCACATTCCCCCCCTTTCCCCCCCTGCCCCCAACTTAATTTTTTTAAATAGTAAGGTACCCCTTGTGACATATTAAATAAAACAGGATGAAAAAAAGAAAATGTTTGATGAAAAAAAATTGAAAATCGGTTCATAAATTTGTGAGATATTCCCCCCTCCCCCCCCGGAACTTAATTTTTTTTAATAGCAAGGTACCCCTTGTGACATATCAAATGAAAGAGCCTGAAAAAAGAAAATTTTTTGTGAAAAAAAATTTAAAATCGGCTCATGAATTTGTGAGATAATCACCCCCTTTTCCCCTACCCATAACTTGTTTTTTAATAGCAAGGTACCCGCCCTTGTGACATATCAAATGAAAAATTAATTTCACCTAACATTTTCTTTTTTCATGCTCTTTCATTTGATATGTCACAAGGGGTACCTTGATATTTAAAAAAATTAAGTTGTGGCAGGGGGGAAAGGGGGGGGGGGAATGTGAATGTAACGTTGAATTCAAAACAATTGGGTCCCCTACGTCAATAGACGATTCCCGCAAACTGCATATTTCTATCTATTGCGGTTTTTACATAAATAAAGATGCAAGTTTTTAAAAAAACAATCTGTATAAACTGCAAAATAACCAGTGCTCTAGTAGTGATTAAATGGCTTCAAATAGGATTTATATGTATAAAAATTACAGATTACCTATTTTGTTTGTGTAATAGATGAACTTAATATACCACTAAGGGTCTGATTTCGTCGAAAGTTAAAGCAGGAGGGCATTTAAAAAATCCTTGGAAATGAAAAAAAGATCATGCATATTAGCATAGACAAAAAGAATTAAATATAGACTGTCCCAGCGTTGTGCGCCAGAACCTATGGTAACCAAAGCAACCACTGCACGGCTGACAGTCTATATAATTATTTTTGTCTATGATATTAGTAGCGGTTTATGTTTTTTATAATATGAAATTGAAGGCTGATTATAGAAATTGTACATTTTTACCTTTTGTGTTTATTCTCTTACATTGTGTATTTCCACACTGATTTGTAATAGGAGCTTCGTCTACATTTCTCCATAACCTGGGAGTTGTCTATGTTGCATATTGCACTTACCTTCCTCTGTGGCAGTGAACTCTGCAGATATGCTCATCTGTTTGACCATCTGTTTGTGCACTCTCTGCTTGGGCCCTTCTTCTTCTCCTTCAGTTACTTCTCTTCTCTCCTTCTCTCTGTCTTTTTCCTCTTCCTGAAGTGGTGAACTACTCTCCTCCTTAGGTACTTGTACATACTCCACTGACCACATCTGCAAATATTTCAATAGTTTAATAAACAAGATTAATGATATTTGAGCTAAATTGAGTGGTTATATTGCTCGCCTCCAAATCTAAAGGTTGCTGGTTTGATTCCAAGCGAGATCTTTCCAGACCCAGATGCCATTACTCATTGGGATATCAATTAGCGATGCTATCTAACAAGTAGCCAATGTTAGATTATAACAAGACTTAAATTTAACCAATCCCTTAAAAACCTAAAAAACGCCACTAAAACAGATAAACACCCAAATAAACATCTTCTGCAGTTACAGAGAAATTGTAAACATCTATTGCGGTCATGGCAAAATCAAGAGCATTTTATGCGGTCAATGCGACATCATCATTATCTCCCACGATCATAGCAAATTGTCAATTTTTGCCTGCGCATCTTCGCAGATAATGTTCGACCCGATTCAAGTTTGACCAAAACCTATTTCCTGCTCAAACCGAGTGCTCAGGCCAAGTGTTACCAAGCCATCCGACCCAAACATTTTGGGGACCCACAGACCCTACAATTTAGCCAGACGAGACTGTCACTAGGTAATTATTAATTTTTCCAACTTCATATATTAAAAACAGTTCACACAAACAAAATTTAAAAATAACATAAATTAAAAATACATAACTAATTAATTGTCAATCAATTGAAAACTAATCATAACAAAATACAAAGATCGAATAGTTAGGAACCTCATTTTTGTCGTGTTAAGAAACCATTACAATCAATAAGACAAACTGGGGAAGAGGAAAAATATAGTAATGCTATGTATGAGAAAAAGGAAATGCAAATAAAGCAAAAGTTATAATGAAAGTTTTAATAAACAATGAAATAAACGTTTTTCTACTGATCTAAATAATATATTAAAGTGATGTATACAGGGTGTCCCGGAACTCTCTAACAATATTTTAGAGCATTGTTCCTGGGTAAGAAACATATCTATATTTCTTTTATCTTTTATTGACTTATTATTTTTTTTCTAAAAAGTGGTTGAACATACAAAATTGAAACTTTGCACAAACATTTATGTCAATTAGACAAAGCTAAAAAAGAATTATGACAATTTTCCAAAATTTATAAAACTATATACAATTTTGTTTCTTAAATAACTCAAAAACCATTGATTTTACAAACATTTTACAAGAATAACTTTTTAAGGCAATTTAATTTCAAATCGATTGATACCTTATTTTTTAAGATTAGATGAATGTTAACTGGGAGAGCACCTCACACAGATCTAGTTCATCATTGTGCTGTATACAGTAGTGTGTGTATAGTCACTTACCCTGACTACACCGTCAGTAGAGCCTGTCATCACTACGTTCTGATTGTCCCACTCTCTACACTGGGAGAACACCTCACACAGATCTAGTTCATCATTGTGCTGTATACAGTAGTGTGTGTATAGTCACTTACCCTGACTACACCGTCAGTAGAGCCTGTCATCACTACGTTCTGATTGTCCCACTCTCTACACTGGGAGAACGCCACACACAGATCTAGTTCATCATTGTGCTGTATACAGTAGTGTGTGTATAGTCACTTACCCTGACTACACCGTCTGTAGAGCCTGTCATCACTACGTTCTGACTGTCCCACTCTCTACACTGGGAGAACGCCACACACAGATCTAGTTCATCATTGTGCTGTATACAGTAGTGTGTGTATAGTCACTTACCCTGACTACACCGTCAGTAGAGCCTGTCATCACTACGTTCTGACTGTCCCACTCTCTACACTGGGAGAACGCCACACACAGATCTAGTTCATCATTGTGCTGTATACAGTAGTGTGTGTATAGTCACTTACCCTGACTACACCGTCTGTAGAGCCTGTCATCACTACGTTCTGACTGTCCCACTCTCTACACTGGGAGAACACCTCACACAGATCTAGTTCATCATTGTGCTGTATACAGTAGTGTGTGTATAGTCACTTACCCTGACTACACCGTCAGTAGAGCCTGTCATCACTACGTTCTGACTGTCCCACTCTCTACACTGGGAGAGCACCTCACACAGATCTAGTTCATCATTGTGCTGTATACAGTAGTGTGTGTATAGTCACTTACCCTGACTACACCGTCAGTAGAGCCTGTCATCACTACGTTCTGACTGTCCCACTCTCTACACTGGGAGAACACCTCACACAGATCTAGTTCATCATTGTGCTGTATACAGTAGTGTGTGTATAGTCACTTACCCTGACTACACCGTCAGTAGAGCCTGTCATCACTACGTTCTGATTGTCCCACTCTCTACACTGGGAGAACACCTCACACAGATCTAGTTCATCATTGTGCTGTATACAGTAGTGTGTGTATAGTCACTTACCCTGACTACACCGTCAGTAGAGCCTGTCATCACTACGTTCTGACTGTCCCACTCTCTACACTGGGAGAACACCTCACACAGATCTAGTTCATCATTGTGCTGTATACAGTAGTGTGTGTATAGTCACTTACCCTGACTACACCGTCTGTAGAGCCTGTCATCACTACGTTCTGATTGTCCCACTCTCTACACTGGGAGAACACCTCACACAGATCTAGTTCATCATTGTGCTGTATACAGTAGTGTGTGTATAGTCACTTACCCTGACTACACCGTCTGTAGAGCCTGTCATCACTACGTTCTGACTGTCCCACTCTCTACACTGGGAGAACGCCACACACAGATCTAGTTCATCATTGTGCTGTATACAGTAGTGTGTGTATAGTCACTTACCCTGACTACACCGTCTGTAGAGCCTGTCATCACTACGTTCTGATTGTCCCACTCTCTACACTGGGAGAACACCTCACACAGATCTAGTTCATCATTGTGCTGTATACAGTAGTGTGTGTATAGTCACTTACCCTGACTACACCGTCTGTAGAGCCTGTCATCACTACGTTCTGATTGTCCCACTCTCTACACTGGGAGAACGCCACACACAGATCTAGTTCATCATTGTGCTGTATACAGTAGTGTGTGTATAGTCACTTACCCTGACTACACCGTCTGTAGAGCCTGTCATCACTACGTTCTGATTGTCCCACTCTCTACACTGGGAGAACACCTCACACAGATCTAGTTCATCATTGTGCTGTATACAGTAGTGTGTGTATAGTCACTTACCCTGACTACACCGTCTGTAGAGCCTGTCATCACTACGTTCTGATTGTCTCACTCTCTACACTGGGAAAACGCCACACACAGATCTAGTTCATCATTGTGCTGTATACAGTAGTGTGTGTATAGTCACTTACCCTGACTACACCGTCTGTAGAGCCTGTCATCACTACGTTCTGATTGTCCCACTCTCTACACTGGGAGAACGCCACACACAGATCTAGTTCATCATTGTGCTGTATACAGTAGTGTGTGTATAGTCACTTACCCTGACTACACCGTCTGTAGAGCCTGTCATCACTACGTTCTGACTGTCCCACTCTCTACACTGGGAGAGCACCTCACACAGATCTAGTTCATCATTGTGCTGTATACAGTAGTGTGTGTATAGTCACTTACCCTGACTACACCGTCAGTAGAGCCTGTCATCACTACGTTCTGACTGTCCCACTCTCTACACTGGGAGAACGCCACACACAGATCTAGTTCATCATTGTGCTGTATACAGTAGTGTGTGTATAGTCACTTACCCTGACTACACCGTCAGTAGAGCCTGTCATCACTACGTTCTGATTGTCCCACTCTCTACACTGGGAGAACACCTCACACAGATCTAGTTCATCATTGTGCTGTATACAGTAGTGTGTGTATAGTCACTTACCCTGACTACACCGTCAGTAGAGCCTGTCATCACTACGTTCTGACTGTCCCACTCTCTACACTGGGAGAACGCCACACACAGTATCTGCTGCATTCTGTCAGCTCGGCCCACACAAGTGTTGACACAGGACAGTTCGTCTCCGTTGATGCTCCACAGATGCAGCCAAGTGCCGGCACATGTTGCAATGTCTCCCTGGACACATCACATCACACAGTAAACCTTAGAGTATGTTGATTTTAAAAAAAGTAAATAACATTTTAAGCCCCCCATACACGGGCAAACATGTTCGCGAACATGTTCATGACGGTGTTGGCGGCGTTGGTCTGTGAGCCTTCTTACCGGCGAGCATGTTGGGCTCGGCGCCCGGCTCATGGGACTGTCACAGCACAAGAGAAGCAAGAGTACTGTGCGGTGGCGGCAAGCAAGTTTGCGGGCATGCTCGACCGTCTGTTGGAAACGCCGAGCATGTTCGCGAGTGTGTCCACAGCTCGCGAACATGCTTGCCCGTGTATGGGGGGCTTTAGAAGATCAGTTGTACTAACAGTTATTAGTTAAATGATTGTATAAAAGGGCAGAAGTACTTTTTTTATTTTTATTTATTTTTTATTCATTGTGTTTGACAATTATTACACTGTGTAGCAATCATAATTATTCTAATATTTACAGTACAATAGGTTATATAGAAGTTCTTACCAAATGAATATGTATATAAAAGTTAACTTTAAATAAATGAATCAATACATAAAAGAAACAGAAAGAAAACTACAAAACATTATACATTTAACGGGAAAGCCTTTAAACATTTAACACTTAATCCCTGGGGAATATAATTCTGGGCCCCTAACTCCAAGGGTGCGCAGCGAACTCATCAACCCAATAGAACACCTGATTTTTCAAGTCACTTTTCAGTTTTGTTTTGAATAAATGGAAACTTCCCAGACTTTTTAGCCTCTCAGGAAGACAGTTAAGGAGCCTGATACCAACTTGAGAAGGAATTTCCTCAAATACAGCTGTTCGGTATTGGACAGTGCGAAAACTTACCCTTGCTCTAGTCCTGTGGCTGTGCACAGCAATGAAATGGCACATGGGAAAGCGGCAGTATACAGCCATTTCCAATATATACAGGGAAGGCAGGGTCAGAATTCCAAGCTCCCTGAAAGCTTGTCTACACGACTCTCCGCCTCAGATTCGCAATTAATCTAATGGCTCTTTATTGAATCCTAAACACCCTTTTAAAATATTGCCTGGCACAACCATCCTACTATCGTAATCCATAGGAAAGATGGGGATGAATGAGGCCATAATAGTCCATGACCAGAACTTGTGTTGAACATGGAGGCTTAAGATTAGGTAAGGCAAAAATCTCTTTTGCAATTTTTTGACAGATGCTATCTACATGATCTTGCCAGTTCAGCACTCTATCCAAGTGCATCCCTATTCAAGTTCTTCTATTCTTCTATCTAACCTTCTAGTTACAAAATGTAATATCTTTTACTTAAAACTTTGTTGTATATGATGCTCAACTACTATAGTGAGTTTTTGGATAGTATTTGAATTTAAAATGGAACACCCTTTCATAATGGAATTGTTACCCTTTCCCAAGCTTTTGACAGGTATATTAATCATACTTACTTACTGTTCTGGGCAAAAAAAAAAACTGATATCCTGAAAGATAACTTTGTGAATGAGGCGGTCAGACGGATATATCCATCTTAAGTACCCTGATATACCATAGGAACCTTTCATAACATATATCAGGAGTCTATTTTGGTATGATAAATTATCAAAAACAATGCACAGCTCTTAACAGTTTTGTAAAGTGTTGGTGGTAGTAAGTATAATGGACTAACTCACAGTGAGATCATTGACTGCAACTGCAGCTATGGGGGCGGCATGATTGCGTAGCTGCCTTACAAATATCCTACGAGACAGATCCCAGACGATAGCAGTAGCGTCTCGAGAACCTGAGACTATGACATTGTAGGCAGGGCTGCAGGTGAGACATGTAACTGCGTCGTTGTGGCCATACAGATACTGCAGCACCTGTAGCTGTTTGTGAGAATACTCCCACATTGTAACAACCTAGAACACCAGCAAACATGGGATTACAACAGTGTGTGTAAGAAAGTAGACAAGATGGCTAGGTAGAGATACTGCATGCAGGGCTTGTATATACTGTATTATGCTTTTAATTTGACAAATAATTTTGATTACAGCTTTGGTTCACTAGTCAGTAGTAGTTCTATACACCTGCTAACAAAAGCTTTTGACAGGATGTGTTACGTTAAACTTGTTAAGGAGCTGCAAATCTGTGGAATTGATGGATTATACTTAAAGTGGTTAGACTCATTTATTGGAGTAAGAAAGCAATATGTAGAAGTGACATATGTTGAGAATGGTACTATTCAAAATTGTGGATTCAGATTAAAGGAGCTAAATTACTCAGTACCTCAGGGCTCTGTAATTGGCCCTCTTCTGTTGATTTGTTACTTTCGTGGGCATAGTACAAAACTTCATCAAATAAAAAATAATAATCAACTCCTCTTGTATGCCGATGGCTCAACTCTACAGATTGCTGAACAAAACTTTTTAACACTAGATCACTATTCTGAAAAACATGTAAAAGTCACAATTGAGTTCTTTAAAAGAAAAAGAAATACTTTTGAATGCTACTAAAACAAACTATTTGATTTATAATTTGAAGAACTCTTATATAAATGAAATCAATGAAAATAGCTTTTCTCTATCAATAGACAATAATATTTTGCAAAAGAAAAACAGCTCAACCTTTTTTTAGGATTAATAACAGATGATCAGTTACATGAAATAACCATGTAAATCATGTTTGTTGAAGGATAAGCTCTGGGGTTCATTCAATCCGTAAAATGTCCTTTTATTGTGAGCTGAGCACTTTTGCTTCTCCTCTACAATGCGCATGTACACTCTCACATTCAATTTGGATTATTACTATATGGAGGAACATCACGAAATAACTTTGCAGAAGAAGGTGATTAGAGCTCTGTTAAAATTAACTCCCAATATTCCATGTATAGATAAATTTAAAGAATTAAGAATATTTACAGTAGTAAATCTGTATATCTTTCAAACAATAATGTATGTGAAATACCCCCGCCGCAGTAAACCTGCCAATTTTCATTTGTCTTGGTTTGTTTTTCAATTAAATCTATTTAAATAACACTAGGTTTAACGAGTACCTAAGTTTACTGCTGCAGAGAAACTAATAAAGTGTTTTTTTTGTAAAATATTAATAGCTTAGTGTAAAAAAAATAAATTTTCCAATGTTTGATCAAAATATATCCACACACAAGGAAACTACAACAATTTAAAATATTCTCCATAAGAATTTTAAATTTATAATTTTTTATTTATTTTTTTTTTTCCCAGTTAAAACAATAACTGAACTGGATTGAACAATAACTGTACAAAAACACTTTGATATACTAAATTATTTGTTATTTTAAGCTCTTTAAAAAAGTCTAGAGAGAAATTGAGAAATTTGATGTTTTGAGGATCAAAAATGAGAAAACCCATTTTTCACCCCCATAAACACATCGTAAAACCCTGTTCCCATGGTCCGATCATGCTGGTTCGCGAACTCAATCAAGTTTATAACTGTACAAAACACTTTGATATACTAAACTATTTGTTATTTTAAGCTCTTTAAAAAGGTCTAGAGAGGATTTGGGAAATTTTGTATTTTGAGGGTCAAAATGAGAATAACCATTTTTTACCCCATAAAACCCCCCGTAAAACCCTGTTCCTATGGTCCCATCATGATGGTTCGCGAACTCATTCAAGTTTATCCCGCATTACACCTTTAAACAAAATTTCATCAAAATCTGAGAAAAATTACTCAAGTTGTTTACGGACGTATATATATACATATATGAAAATTTGAACAAATTGTGTTTTCGGCCTCTGGGGACATCAAAATGAAAAAGTAAATCGGTCCCGGGCCTAGGTCTTACCGTACCACCTACGGTAATAGCTATATCTCTATAGGGGAATTCGCTAAAACAATGAAGAGAACCGATTAAAATTAGAAAATCTGCACTGGTACGACTCAAGAAATAATGACGATTTTGTACTTAATCACCACAGATCCAAAACAACCTGCATATGCTGGAATAAAATTCTACAACAACTTACAATACAATACAATATACAATATTCTTTATTGTTCATTCGTTAAGAATTACAATAGTGTCAATACAATAGTGAACTGTATGTGTTAATTTCCATAATTTTCGTAAAATTCCTTTATTGTGTAGAAGGGTTTTGCGATTAGCCACTTCTTCAACTCCTGGTGTAGCTTGTTACCAGTTAGGTCTCTCAGGTAGTAAGGTAGATGGTTCCCCAGTTTGCAGCCGGTGTAGGAAGGTTTCTTTTCCCAAAGAGTTGTTCGGTGAACTGGTAGGGCAAATTTGGAGCCATGACGGGTGTTGTAGTGGTGCAGGTCTTGGTTTCTTGGGGGGTTTATTTCATCCACATACTTTATGGTTTCAAGTATGTAGAGAGATACCACTGGGAGGATTCCTAGGTTTGCGAATGCTAGTCTGCAAGTCTGTGGTGGGACAAGGTTGGTGAGGGCTCTTATGGCTTTCTTCTGAAGAACAAGGATTCGATTCATATTTTTTGTTGAAGTTCCTGACACTGTCAAGCCATATCTAATATGCGACTCTACCAGTGCAAAGTAAGCTGTTTTGACCACAGAGAGTCCGCCTATGTAGTTTATTCTTCTGACGACATATATTCCGGCACTCATTTTTTTGCTTAGGTGGTTGATGTGCTCTTTCCATGTTAGTTTGTTATCAAGGATAACACCGAGAAATTTTGTATGGTTTTCTATTGTTACATCCTCTAATTGAGGGACTATGTCTTTTTTCTTAATGAAATTCAGAGTTGTAGTTTTTGTGGGGTTTATTGCTAAGTCATTGTTCTTTGAGTAGAGGATGGCTTTATTTAGGATCGATTTTGAATTAAGGTACAGGCTTTGGGCTGTATTGTCCTTGATCAAAATGGTTGTGTCATCTGCATACATGATTGCAACAGCATTTTCACTCTCAATTTGTTTGGGGAAGTCATTAGTCAATAGGATGAATAGAATCGGGCCTAATACAGAGCCTTGTGGAACTCCTCTTGTCAGCTTGCTTTTTGAAGATTTGAAACTTGCTATGACTTCATTTGATGAGTTTTTCAGTTCCACGACTTGTGAACGTCCTGTTAGGTAGCTTTTGAACCATTCTAGCGCTGAGTTTCTTATACCGAGTCTTTTGAGTTTCTTGCAAATCAGGATGTGGCCCAGGCAGTCAAAAGCCTTATTGTAGTCAAGGAAGATGGCGGAAATGTATTGTTCATTTTCTATCTGGTCTAGGACGAACTCAATTAGGACTATTATAGGTGAGGAGGTGGATTTATTCTTCCGAAAGCCATGTTGGTTGTCAGTTAAGCGTTTGTTATGAACTTGAAATAAAAAATTTAACAGATCTTTAACTAAAAACTAAAAAAAAACACCAAACAACTTTCTTTTAGACCATCCAGTATACTCTATTGAAGATGTTTTTCAAGATAATAGTATAATCAATTTAGAAATCATTCTCAGACATGTCACTAACCTGATTTTCTGAACTGATCAAAGGGGAAAACTCCAAATATATGTATGTTTTTACTTTGTTACTAACTTAAATGGTCAGATAGCCTACCTTGTTTTATTTTTTTTTTTATCTTTCGTAATATTTTGACTTTTGGATTTTAGTTAGCAATTATGTTATGTAGTGTAAGTTCTTAATTAGTTTTAGTCTTGCTTGACGCTATTCATGTACAAAACAATATGTATATTGAATAAAGTGATATGAATCTGAATCTAAACCTAGGATAAAAATGTGGTATTTTCTGGATCGCAAACAGCGTCTGGGAGGATTTTGCTATTGCAGAAGACAACTATAGTGACTCCCAAGTGCAGGGTAAGGACAATGCCCATAAACATTGTCAAAGTTAATTGCATGTGCATTAGTGGAAGATATAACATTTCATTTATTCAAACCACTGATCTATTAAGTAGCATCAAAATTACATTTATTTTTTATATTATTAGGAGGTGATTATTTTAAACACAACTGTTCTATGGCTCTTAACAACAAGTGTTCAATCATGATTCTTGTTGAAATAAGTTTTTGAATAGTAAAATCAACAAAATATGTTGTGTGAATAATTCACTTAAATGAAAATAAAAGAACTTATACACTACCATAATTAAGGGCAAACAGCTGAAATGTGGTTATCAAGCATATTTCCCAAACACTTGAGATAAGATCTCTATTCTCTAACAAAGTGTAGAGACTGTTGTGAGTCAGTTTTGATAAGTAATCATGAGTAAACATTCCCCTCCATTAGCTCTCTCAGCTCATCAGATAAAGCAGACAGTCCAACAGTCAGTCTGTATGTTCTGGGACTTCGCCACCAAACAATATGGTATGAGGTGTAACCTATATTATCAATAGTTTACCTACTCTATGATTTTACATTACTGTTAAGTTTTAATAAGCAAAGTCTTATTTTGTTTGTTATAAATAGTAACATATTATAGCACTAAAATCAGTTTTGAATCCATAGCTAACCAATCAAACGGCAATAAATTCAGTGTATTATAATGTTGCTAATGTGTGTTGCTGCTGCCGAGTAAAATAAAAATAAAATAAACTCTTCAGAGCAAACCGGCAGACTAAGTGATTTTTATTTGTCTGATTGGTTTAGTATTTCCTTGGGGAAGTCAGATTTATTCCCTATTAAAATAACATCAGGTTTAAGGATTACTTTTTGGTAAAATGTTAATAGTTTAGTATAAGATAAATAAATTTGCCAAATTTGATAAAATTATACCCATAATCAAGCAAACTCTAAACCGTTTACTCTAATTAAATAAGAATAACATTGGAATTTTAAATGCACAGTTTTAACGTTTTCTCCAAGGCATTTAAGCATACAAAAACACTTCAATATTCAAAACTATTTGCTTTTTAAACTCTATGGTTTGTTTGAAATTGAATTGGGCATTTTAGCGAATTTCCCATATAGGGAATAAGCTATTACCGTAGTACTCATGGTAAGACCTGGATGTGGGACCGATTTTTTTTTTGTTTTGTGGTCCCTAGAGGCCAAAAACACCATCCGTTCAAATTCATATATATATATATATATATATTTATATATATATATGTCCGTTAGCACGATAACTCGAGCAAAAATGATCCGATTTTGATGAAATTTGGTACAAACGTGTAAACCTACGTTTATTCAAACGAGTTCGCGATCCAGCATGATCGGACCATGGGAACGGGGGTTTACGGGGGGTTTTATGGGGTAAAATTAGGTTTTTCCTATTTTTGATCCAAAAAACATAAAATTTAGCAATTTATTTCCAAACCATTTTGTAGAGCTTAAAAAAACCAATAATTTAGTATATTGAAGCGCTATTATGCGCCTAATGGTTACGGAGAAAATTCCAAAAAATTGTAAAAAATTCCCATGTTATTCTTATGGAGAATAAGTAAACTGTTGTAGTTTGCTTGTTTATGAACATATTTTGATCAAATTTGGAAAATGTTTTTATTTCTTACTAACTATTAACATTTTACAAAAAAAAACAAAAAAAAAACAGTTTTACCCTCCCTGATGCAGCAAACCTAAGTACTTGTTAAAACTAATTCTATTTAAATCGGGAATAAATGTTATATTTTTAAGTAGACATTTCAGTGTAAATCCAATCAGTCAAATGGAAATTCGCTTAGTCTGCAGGTTTGCTGCGGCGGGGGTATTTATGTTTTAAGGGTTTAACCTTGAACTACCAATTTTTTTTAAACTGATAACACAAGGTGTAATTTGTTCAGATTACCTGATCCGGCTGGTTTAGGAACTAATCTAAATACTATACAGCCATACATCTTCACATCAAATTTCATTAAAATTGGGCAACCATTGTTTTATCAAGTTCACAAACACTCTCTTAAATACCTACATAAAAAAATAAAGTATTTAAGATAGTCTTTTTCCTCTAAAAACAAAATTGATTTAACGTCAAAATTTAAAAGAAAATTGGTCCCAGGTCTAGGTCTTACCACGAGACCAAGGATAATAGCTTATTTCCTTGATGGGAAATTCGCTAAAATGCTGTTAACTCTACAATTAAATAAAATGTTGTAGAAACTAGGATTGTTTTATTAAAAATAAACAATAGGCCTAGTTAAACATTTTGCTTATTGTTCAACAGAACATAATGCAAAACCTTTATTTGTAAAATATGCTTTACCGACAAAATAATAGCCAATCTTTACACATTATTTAAAACTAAAGAATTAAAATAACATAGAATGTTAACTGTTGAAAATTATGCCATAAGGCCTAATGTGATACGAACAGAAACTGCAAACAATTAACATGTGTTTTATAAGAGGAAACATGTTTTTAGTTCATGACTTAAAAACTAAAAGAGATAAAAGCTTAAATTGAAAGTCACTTGTAATTGCAATACTCATAAAGTTATATGCAATTTGACATACGGTACAATGCAATTATTGCAATTATTGTTTAATAATAATAATACGTTGTGTGGTAATCTTGTAATACTGCATATCAAAATAAAGCTTAGCTGATAAAAAATGTGAAATTTTGACCAGGGAGTAAAACAAATCTGTATTTTAAAGAAATTAGGGATGAGTAAAAAAACACCAAATGAGCCACTATTTCGAAACAAATTAAAATATTCAAATTCAGATTTCACCAAAATATTTCAATTAAATTGAGATTTAAAATTACGTGTAGGGTAAATATGTTCTATTTCATCATTCTGAGACCAACGGTTTGACTGAAACTGAAACCAATACTGAACCCTCTATGAGATTTACCCAGTGTGAAAAGATGAAGATATAAAGATAAATAAATAGAAAATCTTTATTTTCAGTTATAAACAATGAACTGAATGTTTATAAATAATGAGTGGGAACTTATGTTATTTGAATTAAATTCTAACATACTCCAGTGCAAGAAAGAATATGCCCTACAAGCTGAATATGGAAAAGTAAATTGATCCCGGGTCTAGGTCTTACCATGAGATCTACAGTAATAGCTACTTCCCCATAAAGGTTTAAAGTACATAAACTAATTTGAATTCAAGCTGACTCCAACTGATTAAAAAACATATTATTGGGAAAGTGTTGACGTTTGTGAGTTAGTATGACAATCAAGTGTAAACTAACAAAAATCTGATTAATCCGAATGTTGGCTTAAGAATATAATTAATGATTGATTCGTATTTATGGAAATACACAGCGTTTTTAAACCAATGAAATATTCAAAACTAGCAGAATACCCGTTCTTCGTACGGGGTTGGCGTAAAAGTATAAAATGCTTATTGCAGTTATACTCGTGCTTTGCATTTGCCAGACACGGTTAAAGAACATTGTGTTCTTTTAATTTACGCTATGTTATAGTATAATATAATATAACACATTTATCATAGCCATAATGTTCCACCACTACACCTAAACAATAAAAAAAGTAAATAATCGAATATTCGCACAATTTCAAACAACTATTTATAATTTAAAAACATAAACCTTTGACAGTTATCACAGCTTTTTGTTGCTGCTTAGTTCAAATTAGCTGTTGTCATAAATGCAAAAAAATAAATAGCGCTGCACCCTGTTGGTGAACCTTATAACTTTATAATGATATTGAATATCTTAGAACCAACTTGTGTAGTTGAAATAGCTGGCTAAATTCTTTAATTCCTTTTAAATATGAATAAAAATATAAGGTTAACATGGGAAACTCCAGAGCCACTGGGGTGGAGACTGAAAGGATTTTTGAGATAAGAATATACCTATATGTTAATCGGGAATGTGAGCTATCATCATACCGAATTTCAGCCCAATCCGACCAGTAGTTAATGCATGATTGAACTTCAAACAAACAAACAAACACACAAATTTTCACATTTATAATCATAGTATGAAGTATGATAAAAGGTTTGTTTAAACTAAGTGGTTGGCTTATTAATTCTAATACTGTGTCATTGAAATGACAGGCTTGTGTCGTACACAATGAAGATTCTATAATTGTATATAAAACAGACCAATGCATTATTCAAGATTTTTTTTCAATGAAAGTACAATTATATTATAGTAACATTTTGTTATGGAATGGAAAAACTTTATGGTACTAGGTAGCCTAGGCATAAAGAGTTTTTAACACTTACCTGAATAGAAAGAAAATTGTAACTTTTTTTGTTAGTTCTAAGTTTTATAACCAACGAAATCAGATACGAATCTTATCTCAACTTCTGTCATTTTTGGGTCTATCAGTGACGCCAATATGCCTATGTATGCTGCATTAGAGGGGAAAACTAGAGCACCGAGCACGATATGAGTAATTTTCTTTAAAGTATTAAAACGTACTTCGTAGATCAAATAACAATCACCTGTTTATAGAAAAGATTTGTTCTGCAATTACTCAGTGAAATGTCTTTATGTATGTATTTAGCAAGGCGAAATCAGTTTTATAGGTCAGTGTTTCACGGCCAGAAGCTGCATTGTTTATTTTGTGATTCTCTACTTAGATTTTTTCCATAACTAATATTAAGATTATTTATATTGTTTCTCAATTATCTTAACCTCATCTTTAAAACTGCTTGGACATAAACCTGAACTATCATGGGATATAGCCTATTTTCATGATTCTCGGGATGATTTTTATTTGCATTAGTTAACTTAAGTAACCATGTTGGTTGAACAAAATAACAAGGAAAAGGTAAACAAAAGACTTGTAAGTTGTAAAATGTGTTCATAATAAGCCATCCACCCACAGTATACTAGCAAACTACAAAATACAGTACAAAAGGAAAAGGAAAAACATCAGTTGTTACTATTGAGCAAAGATTACACTTAAGATAACTCGATATAGATTAAAACAGTTCCAAGTTCCGATCAAATACTGATTATTTAACTTGGCTCTCTCCTACCAAAAACTTTATCCCCAAAGTAATAAGCTGTTTTAATTTAAACAAAATGTCAAAACAATGTTTTTGCAAGTATAGGCTATTATAAACGAGCGACCTTTCATCGACTGAGTTTCCTTTATATTGCTTTTACAATCGAAATAAACTACACCGAGCCAAGGCTCGGACCCCGGGTACTTTTTAAAATTAGAACCATTTAGAAAAATCCTCATTTATGTCAATCCCTTATATTTTTACCCCCTCAATCTCTTCAGGAAACGGGACTATTGGCAATAATAATAACGTTTCCTATAAGCGTACTTTTTACTTTTCATGTTTTGAACACAACACGGTGCTTCATACCGATGATTTTAATTCCCCCCCCCCCCTTCGAAAGGGGCCTAGGATTATTTAAAATATTTTACCTCTGTCAAACTCCTAAGATTAACACCTTATATCTATGCTTATTTAGCTATGGAAAGTTTTTGAAATAACGACTTAGCGAATTTCATCCATTATAGCACCGGCCCCACATCGGGACTCTAACATGTCAAGACTGGTTTAGTTTACACCACAAACCACAAACAACCTCAGTTATCATTTTGTTTTTAACACAGAAAAAAATTCCCAGACAACATTCTGTCCCCCATGATCATTTCTCATCACAGCTATTATTAAAAGGGGGCCTGTGGCAAGTAAACATTATACAGTAAGAGCAACATTTTGTTGAGCTGTTGAAGAGACACTTGATACGGGATTCCAGTGTTGGCTTACATTTGTGCTGACTACCAAACTGTGTCACCTAGTATCAGCATTCTGAGAGACAGCAAGGCGAGTAGATTGTTAGAAGTTGCGCTAAGCTATTTTATATAGTTTGCTTAAAATGTTTTTCTTTAAATAAAACTGAGTGAACATCAAAATATTGTAAAAATATGAGTTTTAGGAATTTTTTTGGGTAAAGCTTTTCAATGATGAAAATCCATTTGCAAATATTTAGGCTCACATAAAAAAACAACTATTTAACTAAAACCTTGAATCCAGTTTTTGTTGGACCAGATGATTTATTTTTAATTGAAAATAATTTTACTTGATCAGTTTTTGTTTAGAACAAATACAGTAACATACTATTGTTAATATAAAAAAAAAAAAACAATTATTGTAAGGAATAAAAAGAAATATCTTCACAGTCAAGTATAAATCAAAGCATTTAAAAGAAGGTGGTATTTTCTTCGGAAACACTCTCAAGCTGTTTTTACTGAGAAAAAAAAAAATACAGAAGACAGCTTAACTGAAAGCAATCTGTCAGCTGTCTTATGAATATAGACTGGCAGCAGTACTGCTGTTAGCATATGTTCCGGCGCCCACCACTAGGAGTGTCGTGTAGTTACGGCGCACACCGCTGCAGCGTCTGCTGGTGGCATACGGCTCCTGCGCTCCTCGCCTGCAGTGGTGCTCAAAACCGAAACCGAAACTTTAAAAAATCGAATCCCGAATCTCGAATCTCAAAACCTAAACGCGAAACTTTTTTACTTAGCTGGCTACAAAGGTCAAGGTTACAAAAAAATAGACATAATCATAAAATGTTAAGTATGCAATCAAAACTGAAAGAGATCGACTCCTGACCGTGACATAACATAAATATGTGAATGTGACTGATAATCTTAAAACCCAATACAACATAATTTTTCATAAACAAAAACAACAACAAAAAAAATAAATAAACTTCTAACACCAACATAAAACTGAATAGGTTACTAGTAACCTTTACAACCTTAGGAGTTAAAACCAACCTTTTGAGTTGGGTTTGTAATCTTAGGAGTTTAACGGAGGTAAAAAGGTTAGTAACCTTTTTTGTAGTTTACAGGAGGGTTTCTATGATTAATTAGAAAATTTAGTGGTCAATATATCCTTGTGTTTAGTAAATATTGATGTGAAACTGAATTGTACCAGTTATAGTATTTAAGATACCTTTTGAAGTTCAGAATAAACTTTACTTGTTTCATTACTGTTAATGGTGATGTTTGATCTGTTTCTACCAGCTTGTTTGGAAACAGCATTGAAAACAATAACAATGGCACAAAAAAATGTCAGCAGTTTAAAAAATAAAACTGCCAAAATCTTCAATTTCGAAACTTTTGAATCTCGAAACTTGGTGATCGAATCTCGAAACCGAAACTTTTCCTAAGTTTTGATGGTTTTGAGATTTGAGATTCGGTTTTGACACATCACTAATTTCTTTGCTGTATATTTATTTGTGTATCTCTCTGTTGAATTCATTAACAGTTAGTTTTAAACCAGCCTAGTCACTAGACTAGTCTTATGGTATATTTCATCACTAGGGTGTAAAGTGACTGTTTTAGACCCTAGCTCAAGTTTTATAAACAAGGTGAAGCGGAAAATGAGCGGGGGTTGAAAAGACACTTTTTGCTCGTGTGATGAACTATATTGCACCATTAATAAACAAAACTAAGCTAGAAAAAGACAATACTTTTCATGTAAAGATAAACTATCAAAACGTCTTCCAGCTTGTTTTAAATTCTTAAAAATTATTACAATTGTGTTACTGTACATTATACCATCGATATGTCAAACTATTGACAAGAATGCAACAATAATCTAAAACCTTACCAAATAAATTAATCGATAAATGATTTTGATCAATGCGATTGCTACGATTAAAATTTAAAACTGTTTAGAACAGCTGAGGGACCAAAATAGTATATTACGTTACTAGCCCGGTAAGTGGTGTTATACCGTGTACGCCTCGCACGGGATTTTCGTGCGAGTACGGTCAGCTTACCGGGCGAGTAACATACAATACTTTACATCATACTACACAGAAAAATTTGTACATTTTAAACTCATAAAACAATTTATTTTGGACATAACATAAATATAAATTATAATCTTACTACATTGGAACCTTGATAAGAAGACCCTCAATAACAAGTGGCCCTTGATAACAAGTTTCATTTTCAAATACCCATGATTTTATATTACCCTTAAATACATGTTATTGCAAACCTCTATAAGGAGTCAACCTTGATAACAAGTCATATTTCATCATCCCCATGAGGGTCTTCTTATCAAGGTTCTACTGTAATATTATAAATCTGAAAGTTTGTGAGTTTGTGTTGCTCAATCACGCAATAACTACAGGGCCGATTGGGCTGAAATTTAACATGATGATAGCTTACATTCCCGATTAACATAGATGCCTATTCTTATCTCGAAATTCCTTTCGGACTCCGCCCCAGTGGCTCTGCAGTTGCCCATGTAAATCTTATGAGTATTCATATTTAAAAGTGTGATGGCCCCAAAAATTCCCAGACCCATTACATATCAGAGGTTTTTTGTAGATACACCCTCAGGAAACCCTGGCAATACCGTCACAAAAGCTTTGCTTTATTTTAAATATAAAAGGAGGGTCTGTAATATTGAACTGTTTTAACCTCCCAACGTCTGCGTCAGCTAGTTGCCTCACCATGGAATATTACGTCAGCCATGACTCGACACGGGGCCAGGCCAATGTTCCCAGAAGTATAACGCGCATGGCTGAACTCAGGAACTGTGCAACTACAGTTTGTCTAACGCCCTGAGTGCTCGTTAGGCAGCAGCACTGTCCAGTGTTGAATTGACGTCAAGCGGCATAGCCGCAACGTTGATTGGCTGGTGCCTAATTTGAACTAAGCACTAAGCAGCAACAAAAAGCTGTGATACACAATGAGAATTGTCAAAGTAGGATTGTTTACAGTTATGTTTATGTTTTTGATTAAATGAATAATTTTTGATATTGTGTGGCTGTTTGATAATTTATTTATTTCTGTTGTTTAGGTGCAGTGGTATAACATTATGGCTATGGTAGATGTATTATACTATATCATACCGTAAATTTAAAGAACCAAATTTTATCAAACTGTGTCCTCCCCCATTGTAAACGCAAAGCTTGAGTATAACTGCAACATGTTGTGTGAGTAAACATTGTTTTTGGAAATGCAGTGATGTGGCTAGTCAAGTGACACCAATAACAAGCGGAGTAGATTTCCGCAAGCCCCCCCCCCCCCCGAGAGGGATAATTTACTAACCCCATTCAATCAATTAGTTAGCAGTTTATAAGGTGAAACTAGTTAAGCTGGGTTTTTTTTATTTAAACTAAGGATACATATTTATTTTTTTAGTTTAACAACAGTTCTTCATCTCGATTGTTTACAAGTTAAATCACTATGTTCCTATGTAGAATAAACTATTGAAAAGTGTTTATAGACACCCTGTTTGTGGCTCTCAGAGGTTTGTCTAGTCCAAGAAAGTTAAGTTAAACATTTGTCTGTTGACAGGTGGAGACTCAGAAAGTGTTTCAGTCACTGTTGGACATAGTGTCGTGTCCAGTGTGCTTTGAGCGACTGAGGCCCCCCACCGCCTGCTGCGTCAACGGACACGCGGTGTGTAACAACTGCAAGCAGAGACTCGCTCGGTGTCCCAAGTGCTGCAGCAAGTTCTCCGAGGAGAAACACACAACTCTGTCACAGATACTGGAGGCACTGCCATTCTCTTGCAAGTATAAAGACTGTGCAGAGCTGACCCAAGACATAGACCATCACGAGAAGTGGTGCGGGTATCGACCTACCACTTGTAGGAGGTGTGAGTGGACAGGACCAGCCAAGCAGCTGCAAGCCCATGCTGAGAGAGGCCATGCGCTACAGACCAACGACGTCAACAACACTCACTACATGGACCGAGACTTCAAGTGGACCTACGCCAGGGTGCAGCACGGACAGATGTTTTGGGACATCAGGAAACATGACTTGAAAAAGAAGACATTTTCCATTCAGCTCATTTGGGTCCCGAATGGACAGATGACAGAGGAGAAATTCAGTTTGACAGTTGAATTTCAGTCGAAAAATTCTAGTTTAGTTGCCACTACTAAGATTCAGTTTCTTCCAGGCAACAGTTCGGATGATTTCAACTGCCTCATATTCCACACAGATGCATTAAAACAATATACAAAAAAGAACGATGTATCTTACAAGCTTCGTGTGGTTAAAGAGTAAGCATATTAGGAAGTGAAAAGTATGAAATATTTTGGTTGAAAACTACAGTAGATCCTATTGTAGTGGTCACTTTTTATGCAGCCATCACTCAGAATATGTGAACTGGAGTAGCTTTACACAATAATATTGACAGTAAAAATATGTACAGCATAGTTAGGAAGGTACATTTTACACAACAACACCAGTTTAGGCACATTTTCAAAGTATCAAAAACTCAGCTGATCATGTTGATTAGTAAATTTTAAATTATTTTTAACATTTAATTATATAAGACTAGGAATCCTGCTTGTTTCATTAAGGGGAAATTCTTTTGATCAATGAAGATTTATTGTACAGTAGTGGACAAAATAACATAATGTATAGTCATCATTAAGTTTTGCATTCTGTAAATCAAAACCTAGAGTGTTATCAATTAAACACAACAGAGTGTGTTCAGAGACTATAGCCTATTACCATAACGTATAAATATTATTTCACAATTATTATTGTTTATTTATATTTATGAAATGTCATGTATAATAATAAAATTGGTATTTATGAGCGGAATTTGGGCCTAATTGTATATTCTGATTTTGCTTATTAAAACGTATGGTTAGTAAATGTATTGTGTTATATATAAGAGTACCTAATAAAGATATTTAAGGTTTTCAAACCTCATCATGAACTATTTAAGTGGAGACTGATATAAATTTAGTACAATAGAGGGGGGATGGGGGGGGGGGGGGGGTTCAGAATGCCAGCAATATTTAACCATTAGTCAAAAGGAAAAAAAGAGTAGTTTTGAGTAACTGTAACTAGTATCTAGTTTAACACGTCCGCTGCTATGGACGTTCCGGAACATCAGCCGGGCCACGGCGCCAGGAGCTAGGAACGTTCTGGACCGTCACCGTTCATTGTTGTTTAACGTTTACATGGATCAGCCAGCTGACAAAAAAAAATATAGTTTCCCAAAACCACCACCAGGGTTGTTTAGAACAGGGTTTGTCCCACCTCTTTCCTGCTAGATACTAGATAGCGACACTACTTTACCGACTGCAACCTGGGTAGTGCTGCTATCTATTAGAATCGCTTAGTACTATGTCCAAAGCCAGTTTTATTGCAGAACATTGCCATCCAGTATAACTACTGTTGTTTTTACTGTAATTCAGTGTATCGACGGCAATGTTACGGAGCGGCGAGTGTTAGTTCAGCTCCTGGCGCCGTCCCGATATCTAGCGGTCAGCAGCGAACGTGTTAATAGGTTAGAGGTTTCCGATCTACATTATGACAGTGGTCAGCTTATCCAGATTTGTTCCTTTGTTGAAGTAGGCTGTTAAAAAATTACTTTTTACTATAACTGAATTTTTTTACTAGGATGAAAGATGATTGGGGATCAAGTTTAATTTAGAATGATCCTCGTTTATTTAGTTATAGATTATATAATCTCTTTCAATAAAAGTAGCATAAAAAAAGTAGAGCTCCGTTAATGTAATTTATATAGGGATGACGGATATAGATGTACAATTATCTTGTCAGCAATTTCAAAAGTATATGAAATAAAATGTGTACAATTTGGAACATTACACAATGATATATACTTATGTGCACACAAAAACAATGGTTACTAAACCGTCTGTTTGGTTGACACATTAATTTATGTTTTAAATAAATAACAGAAAGTAACTCCTTAACAAAAGACTGAAAATAAAATAATAAACTTAACATAAAATACATTTTGTTTACATTAAAAGATCTATCTATAAACAGAATTGATAACAAAAGTCACAAACAAGAAAAAAATAATTTTTGAGATTACTTGCTTTTTCAGTAAACTGTTCTTAAACTCCAGTACAGCTCGTGACACCTAAGCTGGCACTTGGCCTAGCGCGGGCAGTGTAGGCGGGAGGAGGGTGGAGGTAGGGAAAAGACCGGACTGCAAACATTTCCGCTGCCTCACGGGGTTGACTCCCCTTGCATTGTACTTGAGCGCCTTCATATGGGTCGCGTGGACAGTTGATGCAACCCGCATGGCGGGACATAATGTTTTTGAAATAGGTAGTAGTAGCGATAGGCCAAGTGCCAGCTTAGATGTCACGAGCTGTATTAGATCTCATCTTACACTCCAAGCATATCTTAAAAAAACCACCCAATTATTTATTTATTTTACAATTTTAAAAGTAATTACTCTGCTTGTTATTTTTGCTGCTGACAAGACATGTGTTTATCCATATTAATCATTCATTAGCACAGTTTCGGGGCAAGTACAGTAAACCCTCATTAAACCGGACTAATTGGGGTTCCAAGTCGTCCGGATTAACGAAAGTCCGGATTAAAACAAATAATCGTAAACGAAGAAAGACAGTGATTTTTGGGTACCCCTGGTATATAATGAAACACCTTTTGCAGATAAACTTTATGTATATTCTGAATATAAAAATACATATTGTACAAACAGTACATACAGTAGTTACATTTGAACAAAAATATACACTTGGTATTTACTTACGTCCATACAAAAAATGAGACAACGAAAAAAGACAAAATTACTTTGAACATGAGGGTTGAGGTTCGTCCTCACGTGACTGAACTGGTTTCACTGGTTTGAAGAAGGAGTTCATCTTCATTTGCCTTCCTTTTGTGTTAATTTCTTGTACAATGAGATGGCGCAAATGTCTTAAATGTTCATAATATCCAGAGACCAGCTCATTGCTACTTTCGGAAACATATTTAATGACACAATCAATGTGATCTTTCACTTCACTTAGTTTAGGCTTGGGATTTATGTCATCTGCTTCATCGTCGTCGTCGTCATCATCTTCTGCCACTGTTACGCTTTCAGCAATTTCCTCTTCTGTCAAAATGTGGTAGCCTGGATCTTGATCATCTTCTTCCAACCACAGCTCAATGTCATCTAGGGTAACTGCAAGCTCACCACCATTGATAAGAGCGTTGTGGAAATCTTCAGTTTCCAACCCAGCGGTGTCCGGCTCATCATCTTTATTAGTGAGAAGCTTCTTCCACGAGTTTACTATCGTTGATGGCTTCAGCTCTCTCACAGCCGCTGCAAAATTGAAGATCATCGATCTGATGTTGTACTCTTTCAGATTCTGCAATGTCTTTTCACCTCTTCTGTCTTCTTCTCCTTCAGCTGGTTCCTCGACTTCCAAAATTTCATGCAAAAGCTTCTTTTTGTATAGGCGTTTAACTGCGTAGATAACGCCTTGATCCATAGGCTGGATTAATGATGTAGTGTTGGCTGGCAAAAACATACATTTAATCTTTCCGTCCTCACTTGTCATTTTTTCTACTGATGGATGTGCAGGACAGTTGTCAAGTAAAACTAGGGCCTTCACTTCATCTTTAGGAATTTTTAAAACTTCCGTTTGATGTTTTATAATTTCTGGCACTGCCTTTTTGTGGAACCACTCCATTGTGATGTCTGAAGTAAACCAGGCACTTTTTGAACTGAAGTAGTGCACTGGTAGCTTGTCCATTACATTCTTTATAGCCCGAGGCTGTTTACTTTTACCCACAATCACAGGTTTCAGCATGTGACTTCCATCAGCGTTTGCACATAACAATGCAGAAACTCTATCCTTACTAATCTTTCTTCCCGGTGTGTTTTTTTCAGCTTTAGAGGCTTGGGTTGTGTCGGGTAATGCTCTCCAATACAACCCAGTCTCATCATAATTGTAGAGTTGTGACAGCTGTATTTGTCCTGTTTTTAAAAGTTCATCCAATTTAATTCTGAATGGCTCAACTTCATCAACATTTGCACTGAGACTTTCTCCACAGACTTTTTTGTTTGTGATGTTATGGCGCCTTCTGAACCTGAACAGCCATCCTGAACTAGCTTTAAAGCCTGTAATGTTTAACTGTTTAGCTAATCTTTCTGCAGCAGCTTGAATTTCAATCCCTCGTACAGTCATTCCAAAAGAACGAAGTTGGCAAAACCATTTATAAACAGCATCGTCCAGGGATGGATCTGAAGGAAGACGCATTTTTTTCACTGAACTTGCCTCTTTTTCAACATTAAACTTAAGAACAAATTTTCTCAGGTTGTTCTTTTTCTTTCTTATGTCTGAGACTGTCTGTTTCGCTATTTTATATTCTGTACAAATGCTTGAAACAGTAGCTCCATCTTCAAGTTTTTCTATAATTTTCAATTTATCATTAAGAGACAGAGACACGTGTTTTCGTTTTTTACAATCCACTGGTTTACTTAAAGACATTTCTAATCTTACATTAACACACCTCAAATACAGTTCACATTACACACAAACCCACGCACAATTACAAAAACTCGTAACAACGCAACTAAAACGTAATGTTTAGAAACAGTACACAGCAGTGCTACCTCTGTGACCTCTGTGGAGCAACTGACTGCCTGACACGAGCAGGAGGAACACAATCGTGTGACTGAGCTACTATTGGCTGACAGTATCCATGGCAACGGCACGTACGCCTTGCGCTGTGACAGTAACCATGGCAACGGCACGTACGCCTTGCCTGTGACTGCCCCCTCCACCATCCTCCCGCACTCGGCACACTCACATCGCCGGGCGCAGTCGTACAGTGACGATCGCGTGCTACTAATCAGCATTCTGCGCATTAAAACTGCGATCCAATGGCTGTCCGGATTAAGCGAAGTCCGTATTAATGGGGTCCGGATTAACGAGGGTTTACTGTATAAAACACTCTAACATTATGATTTATGATTACTGTCAATGAGGTGTTTGGGGAAGTTTATCTTTGGGTGACTGTTCAATTATTAACGTAAAAGCTCAAAAAGTTCGGACACCTAGCAATGTTGATGAGAGCAAGATTCAATGTCTTACACAGAGGGTTATTAATAATTTTAACCTATGTTTATAACTGAATATCAGATATACAGTGTGAGTTTGTAAATGAAGTATTGAAACATATCTATATTTTTAAAACCGAAATAGATAGAAATATTCTGTTTGTAGCATTGATTCTTAACAAAGGTTTCGCTATTTTTTACACCAAAAAACTTGTATAACCCCCCTAACAGGGTTATTTTAGCGAATTTCCCTTATAGGGAATATTAGCGAATTTTCCTTATAGGGAATAAGCTATTACACTTCGGCCTTAGTCACTAACAAGACTACAAGATCGCGCCACTCATCTTACACTCATCTCCATTCATACTTGGCTTAAAATACCTACATTGTATGGTCGCCATTTCATAAGAAAGTATAAAGTATAAAGTACCGTAGTACTCATGGTAAGACCTGGACCCGAGACCGATTTATTTTTTTGTTTTGAGGTCCATAGAGGCCAAAAACAACATCTGTTCAAATTCATATATATATGTGTCCGTTAGCACAATAACTTGAGCAAAAATGATCCGATTTTGATGAAATTTGGTGCAAACGTGTAAACCTACATTTACTCGAACGAGTTCGCGGACCAGTAAAATCGGACTATGGGAACGAGGGATTATGGGGGTTTTATGGGGTTAAAATTGGTTTTTCCCATTGTTTACCCTAAAAACACAAAATTTTACGATTTCTTTCCAAACCATTTTGTAGAGCTTAAAAAAAGAAATAATTTAGTATATTGAAGCGTTATTGTGCGCCTAATGGTTACGGAGAAAATTCCAAAAAATTGTAAATTTAAAATCCTTATGTTATTCTTATGGAGAATAAGTCAACTGTTGTAGTTTGCTTGTTTATGAACATATTTTGATCGAATTTGGAATACATTCATTTCTTACATTAACATACTACTACACTACTAACATAAACTACTACTAACACTATTAACTATTAACATAAAAAAAACACCTTTTTACCCTCCCTGTTGCAGCAAACCTAAGTACTTGCTAAACTAATTCTATTTTAATAGGGAATAAATATGATATTTTTAAGGAGGAATTTTAGTGTAAGTCCTATCAGGCTAATGGAAATTCGCTCAGTCTGCACGTTTGCTGCGGCGGGGGTATTTTTCTTATAGCATTTTTTCAAATAGCAACCCCTATTGAGTGAACACTTATTTTGAAGGGCTTGCCAAAAGAAACACAATGACACAAATCCGAGGTGAATATCTCACCCCTAGCCAAAATGGCTGGTATTACAAAATGGGTGCTTTTTCACATAAATCAAATTTTGGAATACCCACCATTTGGGCTAGGGATGAAATATGTACCTCGGGTTTGCGTCATTGTATTTCTTTTAGCAAACCCTTCAAAATGAGGGGTCACTTAATAGGGGTTGTTATTAAAAAATAAATCACTCCTATCCCCTACCATGTTAAAGGGGTAAAAAAATATTGTTGATTTAAAAAATTGCGGAGCCTATGTTAACAATCGATTCCACAAACAGAATATTTCAAATTATTACGGTTTTAAAAATACAGATTTGTTTCATATTTGTGAAATTTGTGCTTTTTCACATACAGTAAATCAGTAAATCAAATTTTGGAATGCCTGCCATTTTGGCTAGGGGTGAGATATCCACATCGGGTTTGCGTCATTGTGTTTCTTTTGACAAATCCTTCAAAATGAGGGGTTGCTGTTTGAAAAAATAAGTCACCCCCTACCCCTACCCTGTTAGGGGGGTTAAAAAAACATTTGTGATGTAAAAAATTAAAAAACCTTTGTTAACAGTAACGCCACAAACAGAATATTTCTACCTATTTCAGTTTAAAAAATTCAGATTTGTTTTTGACTTAATTTACACACTGTATAAAGTATATACAGGGTTAGTAAAAAGTCTGGAGACCCCATGTTAATTTTTTAACTAGAAAAAACTAAACTCCTCACATCTTTATGGCATGTTATGAAGTACTTTTTGGGCATAACCGCCACTTGGTGTACATCCCCAATATGGGGGAATTTGAAGAACTCAAACATTTAAAATAGTAAGACCCATCGAGTGACCCCTCATTTTGAAGGTCGTGATAAAAGAAAACTAACAACACAAACTAGAGGTCTCTATCGTAACCCAGTAAAATATGGCAGTCAATTGAAATCTTTAGATTTTTAATTGTAAGTCAATTCTGATTTCTAAACCTATCTATCAGTCAACAGATTAATCAAAGTTTTTACAGCTGCATTTCTAATTTATTTTACAAAAAATTGCCCGAGCGAAGAGCGGGCCAAACAGCTAGTTAATCTTTAAAATGAGGTGAGTTTGTTTATAGAGTGAGTTGTTTCCATAGACCAAGAAACAAAAAAACTTCTAACCAGGTATGTTTATAAAATTATAATTTTGTCTATAAACTTTTAAGTATTTCAAATTTTAGTTTCCAACCAAAGCCAAATAAGAACATAACTCAACTCTGTCTTTATATCTAAATGTATGTTGGTGTGTTTGTCAGTAATGGATAATTAGCTCTATTGTCTTCTCTTTTATGTCAGTGTTTTACAAGAAAGATAATCACACTGTTCTAAATAAAAAGTCAACCGGATTGGAATAAAACTTACCGAGCTAGTTCCTGCAGTTACAATGATCTTGCTACTAGGACAGACACAAGCCACCACTTCGCCGCTGCCCTGCATTACCTGTTACAAACATCTACTTCAGTACATCACTTTCACACAACACTAAAAGCCAATTTTACTAATAGCAATAATAATATAAAACTAACAACACATTAAAAATATGCCTCTTAATGGCTGCTTGAACCAATTGCAATGTTGACATACCTCCTCACACACCATGGCGGCCTTGTCACTGTCGTAGCTGCCGATGCGCAGACTGTGGTCAGCAAACCCCCAGGCCACGTAGCGGGAGTACGTCGGAGGCACCAGTACCTTGTTCTGCTCTACTGCCTGCACTGTCTTCTCATACTGTAGGATCTGTCCTACTGGGCCTTTCAGTTCTGTAAAACACAAACAGCTTACTAGTGTGATACTGGATATACAATACATCCATACTTATTAAACAAAAACTAAAATTATTGACTGATGGCAGCCGAAAAAGTCAGCTACGAGGTTAGAACTGCACTACACAGTTCTCACAAAGAAAAGACTCTTTTGTCATAATCCCATATGTTAAATGGAATAACAGTGTGTTAAGTTCAGATGTAAACTTGTTTGCTACTAATAACAATAATAATCAATATAAGTTTATAACCGGAACAGTATTATGGTAGAAATTGTGGAATATTTGCAATTAATATTATTATAGAGACTATAGAAGTTTTGATTTTGGGTATTTTTCCTCTTTGCCTTTCAACATCTTAACTTCCATTCATTCAATTCAATTCCACTTATTTATTTACGGCAAAAACCATTATACAATAAATACCTAACCTTAAACTCCCAATTATTGTGTTAGTTGGAATAAAGTTACCAGCTGTGTTAAATTATCTTGTCAAATTGTTGCTTCAAACATATTTAGTTCCTAAAAATTCTTAAACTACTGTAATTTTAAAATCATTTTATACTCGCTATGACTTATCTTAGTAGTAAAATAGGTAAAGCCTTTATCTTAACTGTGTTTCTTTCAGACACAATCCTGTTGGAAGTAAAAGAATTTAATATCGTGAGATACTGTAATTGTTGCAAGAAAACCATGAATGAAGGATACCATGCTTGTAATAATTTCAGATGTATTAAAATAAAAATAAATGTTTTGAATACAATCCTGAGGAAAGAGCAAAAATACTGGTAGTCGCGTAGCAACCAAATAAATCCATTGTGCAATCTTGCCACAGTCTATTTGATACCTTTGATGGGCTGCAGGGAGGGTCTGAGGTTGTCCAGGTTGTGATAGAACAGTCTCTCAGCAGGGGGGAGAGGGGAGGCCAGAGGAGTGGCGTGCATGTCCAACATGGAGCTGCGCTGACCTAACCGCTTGGCTGGGTGAGGCTTCTTGAACAGCTGTTTGGGAATCTGACCAAAGTTGTTGATAAACCCAATGGTGGCATTTTTCTTGAGTGGATCATCAATGCTGGAATATTAAAGTTACTTTAACTAAGCCTTTTACAAACAAAAGTGTATTTGCGCAAAACTACAGACTTGGCTCACTTTTAAATTGCTTACTTTTTTTAGTAAAATTAAAACAGAGGAAGATATTTTATACTTCTTGCATCACTCACTTTTATAACTAGTGTGATAAGAATGCAGTAAATCAAGTCAGTCACTTTTACTTAATATCAAACAAGGGAAACATTACGTTCATTTATATTTTGTAATTTTTTTTGTAATTTCAGTGACCGGTAGACATTCTGTGATAAGAACATCACCTTTAAAGCGGACTAAAATTGTAATTAGAAAATGTTCTCAATAGACAAGAAGTTATTGCCCTATGGTAAAAACTAGACCTGGGACCTAATAACTTTTCATTATGATGCCCCAAAGGCCCAAAACTCAATTTGTCAAAGATTTTACATACGGAACAATGTTTATGATTTTGTTAAAATCGTGAAAGACGAAGTTGATGTTCCGTTAACGCTGGGGTTATTCAGATTTTGCCGTAGCCACAGGATACAATAAAGATGTCTACACGACCGTGGAAATTTTCGTATAAATATTGTTACAAAATATAAACTTATTACCTGTAAATATCAACATTGCCCTCGTAGAAGAGATGGTGGAATAGGTTGACACTGTCCACTGCGGGCTGGCCCTGCTGTTTGTATCCAAAGATGAGGTCAATCCATTCATGTAGGTGTTGACTGACGTAGTCACACTCCAGGGCTGCTCGGTGACCTCGAATAAACTCCCTCGGGTCCTCCTTGGCCCAAGGAGGCAACACCACGTCTCCTAGCTGCACTCCATTCTGCTTACAACCTACAGTGTGGTACAATTAAACCTCAATCAATCCACTCATGTAGGTGTTGACTGACATAGTCACACTCCAGGGCTGCTCGGTGACCTCGGATAAACTCATTCGGGTCCTCCTTGGCCCAAGGAGGCAACACCACGTCTCCTAACTGTACTCCGTTCTGCTTACAACCTACAGTGTGGTACAATTAAACCTCAATCAATCCACTCGTAAGTGTTGACTGACATAGTCACACTCCAGGGCTGCTCGGTGACCTCGGATAAACTCCCTCGGGTCCTCCTTGGCCCAAGGAGGCAACACCACGTCTCCTAACTGTACTCTGTTCTGCTTACAACCTACAGTGTGATACAATTAAACCTCAATCAATCCACTCATGTAGGTGTTGACTGACATAGTCACACTCCAAGGCTGCTCGGTGACCTCGGATAAACTCCCTCGGGTCCTCTTTGGCCCAAGGAGGCAACACCACGTCTCTTAGCTGCACTCCGTTCTGCTTACAACCTACAGTGTGGTACAATTAAACCTCAATCAATCCACTCATGTAGGTGTTGACTGACATAGTCACACTCCAAGGCTGCTCGGTGACCTCGGATAAACTCCCTCGGGTCCTCTTTGGCCCAAGGAGGCAACACCACGTCTCCTAGCTGCACTCCGTTCTGCTTACAGCAACCTACAGTGTGGTACAATTAAGCCTTGAAACTTTAAGCTATATAAAATGGTTTGCTTATCCTAAATATTATTCAGGATTAAAAATAAAATAAAATTTCTGAAAACTTGTTTAAAACTTTTACAAAAATAGTCAAGAATAGCCTTACTGATGTGAGAACAAAATTATTGAATCAAATCATTATGCTTATTTGCATTATACCATCTTTAAGTGCACAATAGACATTGTCAATCCAACACTACATCTAACTTATATTTATCTTAGTTAAATAAGAAAAAAACATTCTTCAAATTAACAAAAATTATTTTTACAAAACAATGAAGATACATTATTTATGTCACTTAAAATATAAGTTGTGAACTAGGATTTTATAAAACATTAAACAAAATTGTAAAAAAAAACTTTGAAGTCATGAATCTTATTGTCAAACATTCTCATATGACTGGAAATATAAAGTCTTTAACGGGAATATTTTTTTTATTTTGTAGTAGAAGTTACAGTAGTTTCAAAGTAGAAGTGCTACCCCAGTACTGTTAAAGAAGTTGACCTGAACTGCTTGTAAAAACAAATAGATAAGATAAAAAATTATTCTAAACCCTTGAAAAATAGTAGAATTGCTCATCATCTTTTATATCCCTAATAAACAACAAGAACCTAACACGGTTACATACCAACTGTCTTTGAGCATTTATGAACAAGAGCCCAATGTAAAAAGAGGTTTTCCAAGTGTGTTGTTTTTTTATTTTATTTTATACTTAACATAAAGAAGAATACAAAATCTTTAGTTACTTAAAGAAACGATTTAGAGATTTAAATATTGAGCAAATCCTAATTCTTAATGGCAGTAGCTCCAATATTATTATTAAAGTAGAATAAAAGTGTACACAAAAAATGACCATAGTTTACCTAAATCAAAGTTATTTGCATTGACAAGGAACTCTGGTAAGTAAAAGAATTCTGGGATAAGTTCTTTGACGTCAGCCATGTTATGTCTTGATGCAGATAACCACGCCTCTCTCACACTGTTGAACATGCGATCTGCCAAGTCGAAGTGGCCTCCCTGAAATCAATATAGTGATTATGTGAATGCAATCTGGCACTATATAGGGGCACAGTAGTGAGATGTTAGATTACATCCCTTTTATCATTATACAGGGCTTTCAAAATAAGGCAAGTATAGTTGTATGTTTGTTTACTTCCTAAAACCTATTATGATTTTCATGGCATTGGATAAAGCAAGTAGTTTTTCCCCATATCAGATGATTGCCTGTAAACTTTAACCATTCATCATCACACCATCCTTTCAACCACAAGACTTACAATAGTTTCGTTCACAGACTATTATCCATACCCCTTACCACAGAAAATTACAACAATGAATTATACATTTTGAAACACATTGCAGTTTCTAAGGCCTCTTTTATGCACGGCGTTTTCCGTCAGGCGGAATCTATCAGAATCTATCGGGCTTTCCGTCGGTGCGTGTTTTAACATGGGTTCAAATGGAACCCTTTTATGCAACTGCATTTTCGGTCGGGCGGAATGTAGCGCTGCCAACCTACCCCGCGCTCTGTCATCCAAAGTATCAAACTTTTATGCACGACGGAATCTCCATCACGTTTCAGCGTTCCGTCGGAGGCCGACGGAGGACTTAGACTCCGCTGAGTTTCGGCGTTTCGTCGGAGCGTGTTTTTACATAGGTTCAAATGAAACCCTTTTATGCAACTGCGTTTTCGGTCGGGCGGAATGTAGCGCTGCCAACCTACCACGCGCTCTGTCATCCACAGTATCGAACTCGCCTAATCAATGTAAATAGATGATCATTATTCATTGTAATAGATTAAAGAGTACAAATAAACAGATGTAATTTGGTAAAAACTTACTGGGCGAAGATTACATTTTTGTTTAAATCCACGGAATAATACAGCCTTACTGTTTCGTAGGAATAATATGACTTTTGTATTCCCGGGACTGACATGGGGATTTTTGTATCAAAGATATCACCCGGGATTGATATGGAAATCTTTGTACAAAAGGCCATCCCTACGACTTTCATTCACCGGGTGTACAGCCCACAACCCGACGTATCTTTTTCTTTATGCACAAATAGGTATAAACCAATAAACAAGAATCCATCTTGGATCACTGTCACTGATGATGGCCAAATGAACAAAGTTGGCAGCACTGACAACCCCCACCGCGGGCATCATAAAAAAACAGTGGATTCCGCTCGGCGGAGAAACTGCATAAAAGGGACATCAATTCCGCACCACGATTTTGCCCGACCGAAAACGTCGTGCATAAAAGAGGCCTAATGGATATGAAAGCTCTCTCATTGATAAACTCATCAGAAAACAGAAAAATAAAACAAAAGAGATTCTAGAACCCAGAAACAAAAAGTACATCTGGGCTGAATTTGGAGTAGTACTCAATAACATCTTGAGAAAAGAAATGGCAAAGAACAATGTACAAGTTGCATACGAAACGTCTAATAAATTATCTGGTATGCTCAAAGAAATGAAAAAGACACATTCTGATAAAGAGGCATCAACAAAGTGTAATGTAACAATTGCCGGAGCTTTTACATCGGCCAAACTGCTTGTTCTTTCGCCACTAGATTTAAAGAACATCTACCCAAAAAGAACTTGAAATCAACCAACATTCCCCCAACCACATAATTAACGCAAACCACAACTACACAGACAAACATAGTAATTTAGAAATTATCCATTTATGTAATAAAGGCAGATACATGGACACAATAGAGGAATTCAAAATATACAAGGCATGTAAAGAACTTTTTAATTATAGCTTTGATAATGTCTATTTCACCTCAGTGTTTAATGATAATCAAGGTCTCTTATTCTTATTCTGAATAATCTGAAGAGAACCAGATATCTACTTAATTTACTTTAACGGGTTATACAATGAAAACTATAGGATGAAATTTCTAACACTTGAAAGATTGAGGGTGTAGCATAGAGCACAAGGGCCTAGATTTTTTTTAGGATTTTTTGAGAGGATAGCAGGCTTACCTGAATGGGAAAGAGTCCAAACTGGCACAGAAACACAAAACTTTACACTATATACACAAAACATTAGAATATTTCACTGTCACTGACAGCATTTTCAACTAAGGAAGAGAGAGTTTTCTAGATGTCCAAAATGGTGGCCAGTGAGTTGTTGAGTCAGTGTTGCCAATAGTATGAATTCAAAAAACACAGTTTCAGTTTATCTTATATGCACTATCACTATATACAGGGTGAGTTTTAAATGTCCCCCCCCCAACTTTTTTCTACATTTTTTCGAATATCAATCCCATACCACTTCCAAACATTGTAGGGTAGTAAGTAGTTCATTTTGACAAGTTGGTCATTTCTGGCCGCCATCTGGGATCCGCCATATTGGATGCAAAATATTTTTTTCAAATGTAAAGGTGAGGTTGTGACCCATTATTTTGAACTAGATTTTTACCCTGATTACAATGCCTCAAACCGTTAAAAAAAAATCTTGATTCATTTTAAAGTTATGAGGGCTTTTTAAAACTTTATTTTTAGCCCATTTTAACATTGTGCATTTACAAACTAAGGACCATAATCTCAAAATAGTGCTAGATAAAGATAAGTATACACTACCAGTCATTGTCGACTTATTTTCACTTTGTTATTACTGATGTATTTTTTTCGGCCGCCATCTTGGATCCGCCATTTTGAAACATGATAAATTATTTTAAATATGAAGGGGGTGTTGTGACCCATCATTTCGGATTACTTTTTTAAGCTGAACTCAATTCCATGATCCGTTTTTCATTTTCATATTTTGATTTTAAAATATTCACATTTTTAACCAAAAAAATTTTATATCTCATAAATAAAACTTGATAACAAAAAAATGATTGCGGCATTGAGTTTAGCTTAAAAAAGTAGTTCGAAATGATGGGTCACAACACACCCTTCATATTTAAAATAATATATCACATTTCAAAATGGCGGATCCAATATGGCGGCCGAAAAAAAATACATCAGTCATAACAAAGAGAAAATAGGTTGACAATGACTGGTGGTGTAAACTTATCTTTATCTAGCACTATTTTGAGTTTATGGTCTTAGTTTGTAAATGCACAATGTTAAAATGGGCTAAAAATAAAGTTTTAAAAAGCCCCATAACTTTGGAATGAATCAAGATTTTTTGAAACGGTTTGTGGCATTGTAATCAGGGTAAAAATCTAGTTGGAAATAATGGGTCACAACCCCACCTTTACATTTGAAAAAAATATTTTGCATCCAATATGGCGGATCCAAGATGGCGACTGGAAATGAACACCTTGTCAAAATGAAGTACTTACTACCCAACAATGTTTGGAAGTGGTCTGGGATTGATATTTTAAAAAATGTAGAAAAAAGTTGGGGGGGGGGGGCAATTAAAACTCACCCTGTATATATGAATAAATATGTAAGCCTGCTAGTTGGGTTGGATGTTGAAGTGGAGTGGGTTAGATGAAAGGTATTATCTTAGGTTTAGGTTTGGGGGTTGTCTAGACTTAGTAAACCATTGGTAAGACAATTCCCATCTTCTCAGTTGTGACTGGTTACATTGAGGAGGCAGTGATTTGACTATTTTGGTTGTATAGCAGTCATTGAAACTAGGGTTGTTGTGGCTCTGGGCATGTTGTACAACTGGTTTGTCTTTGTATCCAGTAGATACATCTTGTCTATGGCCATTCATCCTGGTTCTGAGGCTATTGGTGGATAGGCCTACATACTGTGCCTCACATTTGTTACATTGTAGTTGGTAGATAATGTTCTTCGTTTCACAAGTGTTGAAGCCTTCTTGTTGTAGTTTTCTTTGGTTGTGGAACTGGAAAATGTTTGGCTGGGTTGATTTATTTCACATGTTTTTCATCTCTTGTTATCACAGGGTTGATTTATTTGATGTTATACAGGGCTGACTTGAAAGATTGAGGTATGAAAGATTCTATTAAACCAAGAATGCTATTTAGTTTAAAAAATACACCACAATTTCAATAATTCAGCATAAAAACTAAATCCTGCAATTTCCTAACTCAACCTAAGGTACATCGGTACATGTTACTTGCCTGAAGCCTAAGAAAGTGTTGGGTGAATGGCTCCATGCGAACAAGGTAGGAGCAAACAATCATCGCAGAGGAGTAGTGAGTGCCATAATGGTACGGGGGTGTCTCTCCATGTGGATCATCCCACTCTTTGTATCTATAAACAAACACATTCCTATGATGTTGCTAAGTACAAACACACAATCATCGCAGAGGAGTAGTGAGTGCCATAATGGTACGGGGGTGTCTCTCCATGTGGATCATCCCACGTTTTGTATCTATAAACAAACACATTCCTATGATGTTGCTAAGTACAAACACACAATCATGGCAGAGGAGTAGTGAGAGCCATAATGGTACGGGGGTGTCTCTCCATGTGGATCATCCCACTCTTTGTATCTGTAAACAAACACATTCCTATGATGTTGCTAAGTACAAACACACAATCATGGCAGAGGAGTAGAGAGTGCCATAATGGTACGGGGGTGTCTCTCCATGTGGATCATCCCACTCTTTGTATCTATAAACAAACACATCCCTATGATGTTGCTAAGTACAAACACACAATCATGGCAGAGGAGTAGTGAGTGCCATAATGGTACGGGGGTGTCTCTCCATGTGGATCATCCCACTCTTTGTATCTATAAACAAACACATCCCTATGATGTTGCTAAGTACAAACACACAATCATGGCAGAGGAGTAGTGAGTGCCATAATGGTACGGGGGTGTCTCTCCATGTGGATCATCCCACTCTTTGTATCTATAAACAAACACATCCCTATGATGTTGCTAAGTACAAACACACAATCATGGCAGAGGAGTAGTGAGTGCCATAATGGTACGGGGGTGTCTCTCCATGTGGATCATCCCACTCTTTGTATCTATAAACAAACACATTCCTATGATGTTGCTAAGTACAAACACACAATCATGGCAGAGGAGTAGTGAGTGCCATAATGGTACGGGGGTGTCTCTCCATGTGGATCATCCCACTCTTTGTATCTATAAACAAACACATTCCTATGATGTTGCTAAGTACAAACACACAATCATGGCAGAGGAGTAGTGAGAGCCATAATGGTACGGGGGTGTCTCTCCATGTGGATCATCCCACTCTTTGTATCTATCAACAAACACATCCCTATGATGTTGCTAAGTACAAACACACAATCATGGCAGAGGAGTAGTGAGAGCCATAATGGTACGGGGGTGTCTCTCCATGTGGATCATCCCACTCTTTGTATCTATAAACAAACACATTCCTATGATGTTGCTAAGTACAAACACACAATCATGGCAGAGGAGTAGTGAGTGCCATAATGGTACGGGGGTGTCTCTCCATGTGGATCATCCCACTCTTTGTATCTATAAACAAACACATCCCTATGATGTTGCTAAGTACAAACACACAATCATGGCAGAGGAGTAGTGAGTGCCATAATGGTACGGGGGTGTCTCTCCATGTGGATCATCCCACTCTTTGTATCTATAAACAAACACATCCCTATGATGTTGCTAAGTACAAACACACAATCATGGCAGAGGAGTAGTGAGTGCCATAATGGTACGGGGGTGTCTCTCCATGTGGATCATCCCACTCTTTGTATCTGTAAACCCATCCCTATGATGTTACTAGGTACAAACAGACAACTGTGGTAAAGTAGTTTACTCCTGCCTGATTTATGAGTAGACAGGTAAGAATATAGTCAAGGAACTTGAGCTAAGTAGGCCTACTAATATCCTAATTAACCGTATGAATGAATACTGTGGAAGATTATTCTTAGAACAAGAAAGTTGTATTTCAATAACTTAAATCGTCTAGGAGTGTTGAATATGAAATACTTTAATATTAACTTAAATAAAACTTACCTTTTCTTAAATTGCTCGAGTCGGTCAGGGCTCTGAGCACCCATAGGTTTAGAGAAGTCTCGGAAGGTGGAAGGGTGGGAGAGGTCTAGCTGGTCAGAGTCATAGTCTGCCAGGATCCACGGAAACACTGGATACTGCATCAGATCATTGTAACTGCGACCAGCCAGAGTGTTCAGGTGCATCAGGTACTGGAAGTTGGATATCTCTCCTCTCTGTGCCAACAAACAGTTTAACTAATGATTCTGACAGTTTGAACTACTAGTTGAAACCCACTTATCCAATGATGTTTTTAAATTTGTAGAACTAACATTAAATTAGAACAATTATTTAAAAGTATTGCTTACACAGTACAGGGAAAACAGATAAATTCAACTATAATGCTGATATTCTGCAAATTTCTATGGGGATATAGCGTTTGTGTTTATATTTTATATCACTTTAAAAGTTGAAAGTGATGGTTTGGATTTGGATATTGGTTACTCACCACCCAGCGCTGTGTAACGGAGGTGTCACCGATGAGGTTGGAAAGTAGACCAGCGCCTTGCTCCACATTGGCTGTGCGCTTCTGGCCTGCGACTGACTGCTGGGCACTGTCCGCTATACCAGTGGCAAACGCCATGAACCTGCCCAACATTAGGTACAGTAGATAGAGTCTTGATATTTCTTACTCATTGGGACATTTTATTCAAATTTAAAAAATAAAACCTACACATTATGAAATGAGTACAAGGACATCTGATAGTCAGAAAGGCCATTATTAATTGCCATTTTTCAATTTTTTCAATTCAAATTGATGCATTTTAATTCAAAGCAACAAGCATTTTTCTATATACAGAATTTTTTATGAGTAACACAGCATTATTCTTACTTGTCAATGGAATGAAGAAACAACACTTAAAATTTACCCAAATTGTGTCCTGCAAATCGCGATTTGATGCATAGAATGGAATCGAGTCATAATTTTGATTACCTTTTTAAAATGCTCCCCTACTTATTTTCCAAGAACAGTTTCAGACAGGCTTTAAAAGCTGCTGGATAGTAAATATGTCATTTGAGACTTTTGTGTACTGATTCTTCCTTGCTTATGTGTTAAGCTAGTACCGAAAAATGCAGCTGTATTCGGCAACCAAATTCTACTGCTAGGAAAACCTACCCTACAAGTATTTAAAGTTGACTTATATTCTAATGCATCTTTATCTTTCTGCAGATAACAATTGATGACTTTGTCCTGGAAGAAAATGTTTTATTTGTGCTTCTGGTATAAAAATAATATTTTATCTACATTCTGTTCAAAACAAGCAAATTTTTAGAATAGCGGGATTGTCATGTATCAAAAAGTGTATGTACAGTACTAACTTTACAATAGTGTGTAGTGTATACATATTTGTGTTTAAAATATATTTGAATGAATCCAAAATATATTTCATAAACAGATTTTACCTTTGATACACCTTGTTGCGAACTTTGCGAGGAAAAGCCAAAAGATAATTTCTGCCATCTCCTGAAAAAACTTCCAGGGCCATTGGCTGAAGTAAGTATCTTCTTTTGTGTACTTCTCTGAAAAAAGTAAGAAGACTGATAAAGTGGTTGTGGATTTATATTGTTCAAAGCAAATATGTAGTAGAATAATTCAATAATTGGTATAGAACACATACAATGCTATTTATAAGGCAACCAGAATATATTTAGTGTTCTTTCCATGGATGCAAAAATGTTGGTCTACAGTAAAATGTACTAATAAAAATAAAGAGTTTGGTTCTAAACTGCTTTTACATTTTTACCTTCTAAAAGTAATAGTATTCCCAAGTGTACTAAAGAACTACAGCTGTAAATCATGCTAAATGTTTTCTGAATTTTTTTGAATGGTTTTTGAATTCTATACATATGCTATAGCTATAAGTAATTGGCAGATTTATTGAAATCAAATCCCTAATAATTATAATGAAATATCAAAGCTTGGAAACATTATTTTTTGATTATTTTGAATTTTACTGAATTTTCTACTTGGAACTCAAATCTATGTCTTAATGTCTTTACATAAAGTAATTAATGGGCCACACAAGTAGGGTTTTTTTTTAATAATAATGACGACTAAATGTCAAATAATTACCAACCCAAACCACACATATCCCGTTTTTTTGTCAAAATCCTAACAGTATAGTATAATCATCATGTCACAAAAGTCCGTAGTCAGGGACACTTTTTGATTCCCTACCTCACCTATAGTGGTGAGATATTCATTTAAAAAGTACAGTACCGGTATTCAGAGTTTTACTAGGTGTCATACATATTACATAAACAATTTAGAAATAGTAATTCTAGATAAGTCAGTTTTTAAGAGGGGCAATGTGCTCTATATTAAGTCTACTAACACAGACAAAACCATATTTTGAGCAATTCCTTAGCTTAACAGTTTTTTACTCAGAAATTAAGGTTATGTTTATGTTATACAGCCGACGACGTTTTGCCAAACCTTGTTTTAATGGTAGGAAGTCGTGTCCGTGTAACAGTTCCGTCGTGTCCGCCATGCTACCTGCGTCAGTGTGTCTCTTATAAATGTGGCCGGCTACCTCCATTAAATGACTGCTTTGTGTTGAAAATAAACGTGTGAACTTTATGTGTCGATGTGTATTTGTATCTTATAACGAAGACTTCTGTCAGATTTATGGACAAATCAATTTGATGACATGGGTTTGAAAATGGGTCATTACTGACCCGAAACTAGTCACCCTTGACTATATTAAGAACTGGAGACTGAATAAAAAGGTACGTAACCTATCATATCATTAATGGTAGGGCCAAATGGAGGGAATAGATTTCTTCCCCTAAGCCGCATATTTATTTGTTTACCAACATACATAGATATGTATTAGTAGAAAGATTCTAGGCCTACAGATTAGAAAGACCATAAAAGTCTCAATAATTTGAAAGATTATTTTTAACAGTAGTACAATTTTTAATAGTACAAGCGTGTTTCAAAACAATACAACAACATTTATAGTATCTTATCTTAGTCCTCAAATTATTGAGCACTCTACAAGTGTTCAATCGTGACTGATTATAACATTTTCTTAATTTTGCACAAATTAAACACAATGCAAACGGCAAAAGTAAATGTTATTTTAGAAGACAAGTTTTGCTTGGACAAATTAAGAAACACATAGTTTTATGATTGTGAGTGGACTATGTAAACTTTATTGATAAATTTGATGTTGTTTATTGTTTTGACTTACTATAAAGAATAGTTTTTAGCATGGTTGACACTTGCTAATATGATACATCAAGGAAAGGACTTTAACAGTGCCAGTTTGCCAGAAATGCTGGATGACCGAGTGCTGCCTTCATGAACACACGTGCGTAGCATGACACTGATATGTGAGCAATAGACAACACAAAGTAATGGTCAAAGATCTGTCATAACTGACGAGCAAATCCAGCTTCAACCTGCAAACTCTGCCAAACATACTAGAAAAACCTTAGGCCAAGGCAAAATTATTAAATGTGCCAAATTATCATAACCCGGACTAACTGGATATTACGCTAATTTAAAGATTCAAAAAGTATTCATCATAACAATTTGAGAGTCTACCTTCAAAGTACTGTTATATTACTTTCTAGTTCTAGGAACAGTTCTATATACCTGATATCATCGTAAGCAAATTTGGAGCACTGTTTTTTAGTGGCGCTTTGTCGAGGAGCTCCAGACGAAGGCAGGATGGGGTCGTGACACTCGAGAGGCAGCGACTCTATGTCTCGTATCTGATTCTTGAGTAATGTAAAGCCATCCACCACATAGAGATGTTCCTTGCCAAACAACAGCAGACCCTCCACTGTGTCCAGCCCTTGGATACGTGCACACCGGAACATGTGGCTGATCTAAATCACAAACATAGTTACATGAAGTGAAGGTAACATTTGGTTTTGCCACTGGTATTAAAGTTTAAGGAAGTGTTGGTATTGAATGTAAGAACACTAGGTCTCTGACTGACCTTCTCATTCTCCTCCAGCCTGCGCAATATAGACTGGTTGTCGGGAGCAGATTCTTCCTCGTTGGCTCCACTTTCACCCTCCGTCTCATCTCCAGCGTCCTCAGGTTCTGACACTGATCTCTTCACTGCCCGTCGCAGCGCACTGCTCATGTCTTGGATACCCACTGCCACTGCTGCATCAAACATAACACAACAATCATAAATAGGTACAAGACCAATAATTTCAAAAAATGAATGAAAAGATTGAAACAAGTAGAGTCTCAACTCATTAACTCGGCTCATTAACTGAATGTTAGTGATAAAATAGATAACCATAAGTTATGGCTGATGCATTCTAATGTACTAGGTGAAACCCGTCGAAATCGACGGTTACTTTCAAGGCTTACGCTAATTCATCTAACTGCGATAAATTGAGTCAAATTATACATATTTAGAGCTTTTAGCATTGATTAATAAAAGTGTAAAAACAATAATGATATTAATTGTGTCAGTTACCAAATATGGTTGATCATTCAATGAATAAAATATTTCCCATACTGTATGTCATCTGAGTTGTTAGTGTGCTCTCTGGTATCTCTTCCTTTGGAAGAACCTTTAAATTTAAATAGTATTAAAAACGTATTGGTTAAAAACTTCCACGATGTCATTAGTGTAATGCAGATTAATTACAACTATGATTTTATTTGAAAAAAATGTCTGTTTGTTGAGAAGACACGTACTAACTTCAAATGGAGTTGTATCCATTTGTTACAGTGTATGTTTGATTTTTCCTTCGCCACGTCACGTCAGTTATCGTACTACTGTGCCAATGAATAATCCTCTAGCATAGTTTTGAGAAATTGTTTGTGGTGTTACTGTTAAAGCTGGAAGTCCTTGACATGGGGATGTCAGTTAGTTGTCTCAGCCTTATCAGTTACATAAAGTTGTCAATATAATCTCTCTACGGAATGTTAGGTGTAGTGGAATATACTTGAAGTGAAGTTGGCTTTAGGTGCCTCCTCATTTATATGGCCGTGCAACTTCATTGGCAACAAATAATGCGAATGACATAGTAAGAGCACAATAAAATTCTTCTGCATATGAATTTTCTGTTGGAGAAATATAAGCCGAATTATAAATGTCACAATGCGAGTTTGAGCATTTTGTAACTATATTATATGGGTAAGTTAGATAGATTTTTTAGGTTGCTGTTTTTATATTGCAACACAAATGATATAGAGGAAAATCAATTTTAAAATCAGAAAATAACCTTGCAAATACTTCTTTTGGACAATTCAGTAACTCCCAATAAATGTGTGTTGTTTAAAACATAATTTAAAAATTAACAGCTGTTTTATTAAAAAGTACTATCCACATGACCAAAATGTAAACAAATCTGTGGAGGGATCTTTTAAAGGCTTCTGGGGCAGAGCCCTAAGGGAATTTACTTCGTTTTTCTTTTGATAACTCATCTACAGACCAAGACCTTTCTTTGGACACCTCTACCAAGTTTCTACGCCCAGTCGTTCTCTTAAATTAGTGTAGACAAAGTTTCCAATTAAATATTTAGATTCCCCCATGTTAATCTTATGGGAGAAATCCCAACTTTGATTGAAGATCCAGCCTGAACTAATAAATATTTCAAAAAAATAATAACACTTTGCAAAACTACAGATCAGGGCCATTCTGTTGACACTTTAATCATCAAAATCGGTCCAAATCAAGATCAAAATGTCATGAGACACTAAGACAGTTTTTAAATCCAAGGCTCTGTTGTTACAGAACCTAACATAGTTCTATTGACTTAATTTTGGTGTTGTAGCATCAAATTTAAATTAAAAATTGTATAGTTAAAAACAATGGATACAGATCATAGATAATTTGCTACCATTCTTGCAGATTAGGACCAACCATGTAAACCATATACAGACCCTGCTATGACTGCTATTTTTACTGCTATACCTGCGTTGTCGTCATGGTCCGGGTCATGCACCTGGGAGTGGGAGGAGGCAGAGTCTGGGGTGGGGTCCGGGACAAACTCGCGGTCCAGCAGACTGGTCGGACGATACTTGTGATACCACTCCTTGCTGTCCCAGCTGGAGGCCACCTTGTACTTGAGTGACTTCTGTTGGAACAAACCAGACAGAACTGACATGAGCACAGCAAATTTACTCAATAAGCAATAAAAAGCCAATTAATATGGGCATAGGACAGGATAACAATATTCTTACTAAGATATTACAATTTAGGATGCATTGTGGTTTCCATCATGAGTTAAGTTGACTAATACTTCTAATACTTGACCACTCACATTGTCCCCAGAGTCCAGCTCAGGTCTGTAAGGGTAGTGAAGGTAGAACAAGTCATTCTTTTTCATTTTCTTTCGCATCCTGCTAGGTCCTTCGGTCATGTCCAGCATCCACTTATCAAGCCTGATAAACATATGGTCATGAATGTTTGAATTAATGTATGAATTTATATTCATTACATGGTAAATTACACTGCCTTGGTATACACTGTAGATATGTTCTAAATAAGGGCTACGTTAAATTAAACAATATAAACCATAACACTGTACAAAGCAAGGACTATTTATACACTGCAACCACCAGCAACAAATTGAATTTGTCATTTTGTCATTAGTAATAACTGTTCACTTTCTTCCCCAGTACATAGTGTATGGAGAAATTATCATTTTGTTAACATTTTAGAGTTTGAATTGTAATGTACGCTTTGGGTCCCCGTGAATACAAAAATTAGTTTTCAAAGTGATGTGTGTGTGTGTGCAAACCCAGATGTATAGATGTATATAGTGACTAGTGAGTAATGACCAATCAATATAGTGCCAGGCAATGGACTAAAAAGTAAGGCGAGAATCACAGTAATTATTATCATATTGTTGTTATTTTGTTAAGAGGTGGGTGGAGTGGAGTCTTGCACTACTGACCTGCTAGGTGTCTCTGGCCCCCACAGCCCTCTCTCTCTGGTCAGCTCAGTCTCAGTCTGCAGCCATTCCTCCAGGATGTATCTCTGCATGTGTTGTTGACTCTGTATGTAAGTCTTGTTCTGCAGTTCTACCAACTCCTTGACCAGTGACACATGTATCAGGGTACACACTTCAATCTCTGGTCCTGTCAGTAGCGGACGAATCTTAATAGTCTCTTCTTTCTTCACCTTGGTTCTGCTCGCCAGTCGAGTAAGTCCACCAGTCACCTTCTGTATTTTCTGTAGGAGTTCAATTCAAGTATGACAACTGGTGTTTTTAACAGTTTAATACTAGTTTGAGGATAAACATTGGATTGCTGTAATTTGATAATAAATAGTACTTATTGTGGTTGTTTAGTATGGGCCTACTAAATTTACTTTGATTAAATTGGTCGAATGATGGTATACATAATGGAAGATGAAAGATGACTAACCTATGATGGAAATATTTTCATGACAGATCTTAGTACATGCACCATGAGATGAATACTGTGTTACTGGATGGTATTATGAGTGTATAGAGAGAGTATACAATACATACAGATTGTATCTGGTTGTGCAGTTCCCAGGGGTTCCTGTAACTAGCCTTGCGTTCTGACTCCACATAGTTGAGCCACAATTTGGTGGCAGCCTCCTGTATATGCTCCCTCACTAGACTCAGCTCTGGGGCCTTGCTGTTGGACAGTGTCATCTTGAACACCTACAATATCACATAAACACAGCCATCAAATTGCGATCCCAACTAACGTATTTCCAGTTAGTTCAAAGACAAAGGCTCTCTGATAATTACAAAATTGATTTTAATTGATCAGACAAAAATTGAACTGAGAAAACCTGGCATTTTCAATCATCTGACAAAGGTCTCAGACTTTTTTTCACTAAATTTTATTTTTACTCTTCTGAAAGAAATCAGCAGACTTTGGGGTAGAGTTTGGGGGAAATATGCTGACATCGGACATACTGAAAATCACAATAAAACATAGGGAAATAGTATGATAATCAAAATAAATAGCCCTCTTGACTCTCTATCATAGCAAGTTATCGTAGTCCAAAAATTGAAATTTTTTATACAGTAGGTACTCAGTAATCTGGCACTACAGAAGTCCTAAACAAACCAGACTAGCTAGTATCTACAGTTTTTGTTGTAGGTACAAAATATATAAGTTTGTGACTTTGAATTAACGTACAATATATGACCTGTTACTATCTTTTTTAATCAGAAGTGTAGTTTCACATATTTTGCTCACATTTCATATATCTTAGATGAGAACCGAGATTCCATCTTAGTTAGTAACCGGAATGGGTACTGATATTGAAAAAAGAATGACACATCACAAAGGTAGACATACCTCCTCAATGGCAGGTTTCTTAGAGACATAGAGCTCTTCCCAGACTCGTTTAGCAGCCACAGCCATCAGGTTGTGTCCTTGCTTGGCTGTCAGCTCCTCAGTGTCCTCGTTGGGGTTCACGTGCCACGTTGTCTTGGCATTGGAGTCTAACCTGCAGGTTATTATTACATTTATGTTATGCCCAATAACATGCATAATATACATCTTATTAAATAGGAGATGACTAGTATCATTTTTGTTTATGTAGGATAGGTAGTTAAACCAAGTCAGTATTGAGTAATATTTGGATTTTTTCACCTGATAACTTTTTCTAATTAATTGGGGAGTTGCACAGTTTTATTTCTAGTCTAGTATTATACTTCAGTCTCACTAATACTAATGTATTTAGTTTTAATATTTGAAACATATTCAAAAATATATGTTACAAAATGTCTCACCAGCAATACAAAAATAAAATGAAATTTTACAATTGATTGCTGTGAACTGCCGTGCAAGGATGTTGCAGCCAACATGCTCCAGAACTTGTTTTAAAATAGTTTGTATTTTTTTTATGTAGCCTATAAGGAAAAAATAATGGAACAGTTGATAGAAAAACATAACTGTTGGCTACTATCCATCTTAATAGTAATGTAAATGTATCAAAACTAAAGATAATTATTTAACTACAATCTTCAGAAGAAAACGGCTAAAATACTCATAACCGAGTAACATATCGATTTTGTACCGGAAATCAAGGTACTCTAACAAAACAAAACTAAATGAAACTGATAATTTTCGTTAAATAAGTATTTGGACTAATTAATGACAATGGGGAGTGGCGCAGGAATAAAGAACTGATTGAATTGTACAAAGACCCTGATATCATAGCAATAGGATAATGCTTGGTGCTGAAGATTAAGATGGTTGGGACATGTGTAGAGGAGAAATTTAGGCCATACAGTTAAAAGGGTATGGCTGGGACAACCAATGGGCGACGTCCGCTTGGAAGACTCATACTCAGATGACAGGACCTAAGGTTAGGAGCAAGTCTGGAGGTAGCAGAGAACAGACAACAGAGGAGGAAAATTATTGACGAGGCCAAAAACCACTTGTGTGGCCACAGGAGTATGAGTAAGGAGGGAAAATGATAAGCCTAACTCACAGACAAATCCACAGAGTTTAAAGGATTGATCTACATTTTCTCTCCATTACATGTATCTTACACTGCTTACAACACTTACATAATTTTTTGATCACTAGTTAACTGTAAGAGGCAGTATGTAAGGCATCCAATAAAGTCCAATTCGTGGTTTCCTGCTCCAAACACAAGGCCCCTATAAACACAGACAAACAATAAATTACATTTTGTTCAGCTATACTCATTCAATGTGATATGGTACAGTATTATATAGACTAGAACCCTTCCTAAATGTTTAAAATGATTTAAATTATTATTTTGATAGAATAAGCCATAAAGATGTTTCTATAAACATTTCAAAATTTTTTCAAAATTTTAAACCCTCTTTAACAATTTTAATTAATTTTGTAATTGTGACTTTCACAATTAATTACAACACAAGACATGCAGCAAGATACATCCTTCCCTGACACCGGTCAGTTCTTTTTGAGAAAACTCCTTCATGCATCGGACGCAAACTGAAGAATCTGTTACCAAATAATCTCCAAACGACTGGAAAATTCCTTAAGAAAGAAGTGAAAGAACTTCAAAAGTCTACAGGACAATCCAGTGTACACCTTAAATGAGTTCCTGGGCCTACTACAATGAAAAAATGCAGTTTCGACATGAATCCATTTCTTGATGTTATCGGTATCGGATTTGTAATGTACAAATAAATAAACAAGATAGAAGTCCTTTTACCTTTGACTATTGACACAACAGTCAGAATCCAATAGCCAATGGTTTTAGATTCCATAGCCTAATAACATGTGCAATTTTTACTAAAACAGCTTATTTAAATACACGGGATCATCAGACAGAGGATACTGACTTAGTTTTTGACATTGGATAATGCTTGGTTTTGAGCAGCATAAAGACTTAATAAAAATAATTGCTATACGTCTAGGGTTTTACAATGACACCTTAAGAGTCCTTGGAGCCTAGACACCATAACTCATAACGATTACAAAATTAGGGAGACAATTTGTAATTTCACGGTGCATTAAATATTTAAATTACGATTTACTTTGGTATTCGAAAAAATATTTTGAGATGATAACAAATATAAATAACTCTTCTTCAGCGGCTGTTTCAAATTTAAAAAATTAACATTGCTCTTATGGTGGGCGAATCCACGACCAAGATGGCTGTTAGTCTCTGTGGACTCTCTTGGGAAAAAATTACAAAACTATAAAGAACATTGATCGGAGATCACAGTGCACAAGATTTTTAAATTACAATAACTTTGGTATTTGATTAAACAAATATTTTTTAAATAACCCTTAAATATTTTAATAATGTCTTAAATATTTTAGATAAATAACCCTTCAACAGCAGTTTGAAATTATCCAAGATGGTCGCTTGCCTCCAAGGACTTTTAAGAGGGTCAAAACCGATTGCCTTTCAGAAAATTAAAGATCATATTGGCAACAAGGTATTTAACTTTTAGGATACTGTAGTAAAATTGCATTGTATTATTATTTTAAATTCAAAATCTGGTAATGAATGACTTATAAGAACTGTAGACATAGTGTTCCTTACCACATTTATGCAATCCCTGTACTTTAGCAAAACAGAGTATATGTGATTGGGGATGAAGAAGAATTTTTCCATTGTATTAAGTAAGTAAACATCGTTAAAACAGACAACAAGGCAAGCATTAAGTAAAATTAGATGTGCTTTAGTGAGACATTTAAAAATAGTGTTGAGTAAACAAAAACTGCTTTCACATTTTGCTTTATAAATTAAAAAAAATCATGTTGAAAAAATCCTGCCTCAAGGTACAACATGTGTGGATGAAATGTGTTGGAAATAATGGGGTTTTGTATTTTATAAAGTGATGGCAATTAGGAACATAATCATTTAACTTCTAGCAGCCAAATTCTTATAACTATATCAGTTTAACGTAACTTATACAAAATATAAAATTCATAAAAAATTGTAAACAAGTAAAAAAAAAAATTGAAATTCAATCAAAACAAAGCCACTAAATTAAATCGGAGTGGCAGATGAACGTAGTCACCTGTGGTTAGTCAGTTTGTGTAGAGTCTCCAACACAGGCATCTGATCAGCAATGGAGTCGGTACCTCTTGATAGTAGGAACAGTATGGTGCGGTTGAGACAATGGTAGAGTCCTTCCAGAGGTACAGAGGCGGGGCGGCGCTTGGCTTGAGCTATGAGCTTCAGAGTAAAGTCTAGCACTTCATGTGGGTCCTTGAGCAGCATCCCTGTATGTGGTGTACAAAATAATACTTGAATATTTTCATAAGGATATATTTCACTTAGGAGGTTTTTTAATTAATACAGAAAAATAGGGGTCTGCAAGTACTCAACCTGGAACCAAAAATCAAGGAATTTTTTACCGCCAAAGATGATTCAGGCATATTTTATAATGTGTATCTAGTGTAAATATTTTATTTACCTACTTAAGTTTTTCCATTATGTGCCATTATAAAGTATAATTACCGAATAGATCAATCATTAGGTCCCGTTCATGCTAAGTTAGATGTAAACATACAAAACACTACTTCATTAGTACACACACTGACTCATCCTACCACAGCTAAAGTTTTATAACTAACTTACCTCTTTTTGACTCCAACCTTGGACTATTGATAAAACTCGACATTCCATCCCCATGTTTAAGTTGTTCCCATTTTAAAAACCAAAATGGACATCATGAATTGAGCCATCCACACTTTAGACCAATCTGTCGATGTCTCAATCCAACCAACGACAGAAATAGAACTAAGCTGTCTCCTCAACTGATGATACAGCTTATGGTAAAGTAAAGGATATTTAAGTATCATGTCAACTACTGTATCTCAGAAACAATAAAAAGGCAAACATAGAGTTTTATACACTACCGTAGCACATTCTATGACTGGCTCATTCAGCTATGCTCTTTTTGAATAAAAATTGTGACAGCTGGTTCATATATATGGGATGTCTACTTCAGTATCAAAAGTAAAAAGTGCTCTACCTTCCTGGAAAAGCCAGTACAATTAGCCAAGTAAAAGGTTTCAGGAATACCTTGATTTGCTCACCTTGCCACAGTTTGTCTACAATCCTGGCAGTGAGGTAGCAAACGTTGGGTGTTATGTTAGCAGCGTTTCCACCAGCCACCACTGGCAGTGCTGCCTGTTCTCCTATCAGAACGTCGGCTGCCAACAGATGTTCCATCAGTGTGGATAGAACTTCAGTCTGGAACCTGGCTTGTTGACTTACTGTGGACCCTTCTGGTGCTGCCTGCATACATCAACAAGCTGTCAGTTGTAGCACATAAATGTTATCACTTTCAACCAGATTGAAACAACAACAAAATAACTACAAAATCACACACCAATATGTTTTTTAACATAAGCAGGCCTATGAATTTTTGCTTCGGGCATGAAATAAGAACAGTACAATAGTGATATACCCATACCCAAGAGTAGTGATATTTGTAGAGGAAAGATATGTAATGCACTATATAGGAGAATTGTTTCTCAAGATGAAACAGGATTACCAAGGCTAAAAAATAACATCCTTGCCACAGTAAATCTGCAGCCACAATAGCAAACTAACCTCCAAGACCAAGTCAATAGCAGGGGTGACTTTAGCGTTGACAGGCAAAGATAAGGAATCCACAACTATAACCCTGAGGAAGTCCATTACAAATCTGCGGGCTGGGTGATTGTTTAGCATACTGTCCTTGGATGGTGAACGTACAATTGCTCCATCCAACGAGAAAGTCTGTAAATAAACAAAATTCAATTGTTACAGTACAGTTACTTTAATACCGCAATGCAATCAAAATCAAATTAAATAAACCTAAAATTAAGTTCTTTAGGATTAAAAAATTTAGTTTTCTACTCTCAACAATCACATTGCTATGTCTATAAAACATGCATTTTAAATTTACATCTTATCTTATCTTACTAATATTATAAATGTGAAAGTATGTGTGTTTGTTTGTGTGTTTGAAGTTCAATCACGCATAAACCACTGGACGGATTGGGCTGAAATTTGGCATGATGATAGCTTACATTCCCGATTAACATATTCTTATCTCAAAAATCCTTTCGGGCTCCGCCCCAGTGGCTCTGTAATTCCCCATGTTAACCTTATGAGTATTCATATTTAAAGGGGATTAAAGAATTTAGTCAGCTGTTTCAACTAAAAAAGTTGGTTCTATGATATGGAAAAGCAATAAAAAGTTATAAGATTTACCAACAGGGCAGCACTATAGATTTTTTTCATTTATGAAAACAGCTAATTTGAACTAAGCAGCAACAAAAAACTGTGATTCGCAATGAGAACTGTCAAAGTAGGATTGTTTACAGTTATGTTTATGTTTTTCATTTCATGAATAATTTGTGATATTTTGCAAATTGTTGATAATTTATTTTTCTCTATTGTTTAGGTGAAGTGGTAGAACATTTGGGCTATGGTAGGTGTGTAATACTATAGAATACTGTAAATTTAAAAAAGCAAATTTTATCAAACTGTGTCCTCCGTTATTGCAAACGCAAAGCTTGAGTATAACTGCAATAAGCATTTTATACTTATATTCCAACCCCGTACGAAGGACGGGTACTCTGCTAGTAAAACATAATTTAGATAACTTCAACATTTTTTTGTGATGAACAGATCCCACAATTTCTGGTAATCTTTGGGGAAAATATATTTCCAATCTTTGGGACGGGATAACATTTAATCATGATTTTCTCAAATGGGATTTGTTCCAAGCAGTTTTGCTGTGTAGCGAGTGACGATCATGAAATATCTGCAGTCGCAGGATATTTTGCCGGTGATGATGATGATGTCTGGTCTGCATAATTGTGAGAGATGTTTACGATTTTGCCAAGATTGTGGGACATTTTACCGATACTCTGTGATTGAGAAAGATGTTCACGATGGCACCGTGATCACAAAAGAAGTTAAGATGACATCACAAATGTAGGAGATATCCAAGATTTATCTGCTATTGTGGCAAACAATGATGATAACCTCTGTAATCGTGACAGATGTTAACAATTTTGACGCTATGGAGTACTATACCTAGTACTTTTCACACAAAATTGTTGTTGTAGGTAATAACATTTTCAAATCTATTTCCTATTCCATTGAGATTAATACTAATATTCTAAAGATATCTAAATTTCCAGTAAAAATATGGTTTAGTGTAAGAGTAAAGTTAATAATTAGGTGCTGAAAGCTACTTGCTCTTACTGATAAGCTCACATCATCAGCTGGGGTAGACACTTGGCTGCGAGGTGGAGGGAACAATGTCTGAGCCAGAGCATTCAGCACCTCAGCACTCATCAGCACAGGCATCAGCTCAGCCATGTTGTGGTAGAGGAAGAACAGGAACTGTATGATGGTCACAGGGTAGTCTCTTAGCCACTCTGGTAGACTCTCAGGACTACAACAAGAGACATAACTGGAGCTACGACACAGAGTTACATTAAGCTTCCCTATTCTCAGAGTATTACCGAGTTGACTTATGATGGTGAGTTGCAATACAACCAGTTTTTACTTCTCTTATGGCCTGCTCACCTGTTCCATGTTTAAAAAATATTACATACAACATTGGTCTGTACCTCTAAAAACTGTGGTATCAGCCATGCTAGCTGATAAAGCAATTGACAAATGAACAGTTAAGACAAAAATTGCAAAGTCACCAGATTGCAAGTATATAGTATGTAGTATGTGTACTAATCAATACATAAAAAAACTTAAAGAAATTTTAAGGTTGTTACGGTTTGGTACGGAACAATAATTTGTCAGTTCCAGTTGAACTGAACACGCCATTTGTTGTGAAATGCAAAGGCAAGCTATTTTGGATTATAAAACTATTACGAATGTGCGATAATGAACTTGGAATTATTTATATTAGCTGACTTCAGAGTATTCCACAACAACATTTTACAATATTCTCTATAAAAATAAAATGGGAATTTTAAAATAACATGTTTTTGAATTTTCTCCGTAACCAATAATTGTACAAAAAAACTTTGATATACTAAATTATTAGTTGTTTTAAGCTCTTTAAAAAGGTCTGAAGAGAAATTGGAAAATTATGTGTTTAGAGGGTCAAAAATTAGAAAAAACAATTTTTACCCCATAAAACCCCGTTCCAATGGTACGATCATTCAAGTTTATCCCGTGTTACAACTTCAAACCAAATTTCATCAAAATCGGACAAAAATTACTCAATTTTTCGTGTTCACAGACGTTTTTGGCCTCTGGGGACATCAAAATGAAAAAAGTAAATCGGTCCCGGGCCTAGGTATTACCATGCCACCTACGGTAATAGCTACTTAAAAATCCAACTACCTGAAAACTACTTTGTATAAGAAAATAAAGACAAGGGTTGGTGCAGTATGAAATTTGGTCTGGTAAAAAAAATACCTCCGCCGCAGCAAACCTGCAGACTTCCATTTGCCTGATTATCAATTAAATCCATTGCAATAGCTTTGGGTTTAACAAGTAACTAGGTTTGCTGCTAGCTACAAGGAGGGTAATAAAGTACTTTTTTTATTAAAATCTGAATAGCTTAGTATGACTTAAATAAATTTGCCATGTTTGATCAAAATATATCCATAAACAAGCAAACTATGACAGTTAACCTCCATAAGAATAACATGGGAATTTTGAATTCACAATTTTTTAAATTTTTTCCATAACCAATGACCGTACAAAAACACTTCATTACTTCAATATAGTATATTATTTATTTTTTAAGCTCTTTAAAATGGTACAGAGAGAAATTGAGAATTTTAATGTTTTCAGGGTCAAAAATAAGAGAAACTGATTTTCACCCCATAAAACCCTGTTCCACACATATCTGTTATTCACCTTTTGTAGTCCTGACTAAGCATGGTGTGGACCATGGCTAGCAACACCGTGACAGCCTGGGGACACAGAGTCACTCTGCCACTGAGGGCTGTCACGGACTGACTAGCAGGGATACCAAACATGAAGTTCCACACATTGTCCAGGTCCAGCTGCAACCACACAACATATTAGGGGTCAGGGGTACAGAAAATCTAAGGTCGGTATGGTTCGGTACAGTACAATATTTTGTATCTCGGTTCTCGGTAAAAAATCGGTATGGAATGCGGCTACCAGTATTTTTGCGGTTTTCCTTTTCAGAATTGTATCTAAACCGTTATTTAAAATTTTAATACATTGATATTACTATGAAAATAGATAGTATACTACATTCATGGTTTTTTAACAACAATTACTGTACTACACATTATTAAAACCTTTTACTTACAACCCTTTGATCAAGGGATTGTCTACCGGATGATGTTGCTTTACACACATAATTACACTGCATGTATTGTATACATAGTGCACCTGTTTTCATGTTTGCTCTAGTCTTTGCATGTTTTCATAACCTAGGCTACAGTATTTTATTTTTAAGATGACTGTGAGACTTTGCATGTACACACTGCACTTGTTTATATTTTATTGTTTATATTTATATTTAGCCTTATTGCCTGTAAACTTTGGCTACTGTTAGTTTAACGACGTTCATCCATTGCATGTAATGTACATAGCGCTTTACGATGAATACAAATTCTTGATTCTAAAAATTCTTGATTCTTGATTCTATGACTGCAGAAGGCGTTCACAATTTTGCCGTAACCCCAGGAAAAACTTCATTGGTATGATCATGATGCCAAATCTGTGCAATATCTGGATGAATAAAAGTTGTTTTGTGAGTGATGGTTGTATCATGGAGGCTCTAATTCCTGTACATAGGAAGGAATTGCACAAGTGGACCCGTCTTAAAGATAATATCATAATTGATATGAATCATGACACTCTCCCCACACATCTAACCTCATTAAATATAATTATTTGATAGTGATCATGTACAGTACCTTAGGATCAGCTGGCAACAGTTTGACAGGCTGACCCATCATCAGAGCCATCAGCAGGAAGTAGACCTGAGCAATGTCAATGTGCTGAGTGAGTAGGTAGGCCAGGTGTTGAAACCCGGGAACACAGAGGGCTTCACTGTGTACCTGGGGCTGTGCCTTGGGTACAGATGTCCCCAGCTGGTAACCTGCATATCAAATACATGAACATAGGAGTCTGCTGCTGCATTGAGTAAATAGCAAATCTGTTTAGCAAGTTTTATGTACTAAAAACCAAAACCCGTATAAAAAGTTTCATTTTGTTAAAAAATCGTTCATACAGAAATATTTCTTCGGCCTTAAATGTGCTTACATGGGCCTATGGCACTTAATGACTAGTGCCCAATTGTATGCATTGACTGCATTCTTGAGTTGAACAATAACCATTAACATTTTTGAGTTACAAGAAAGGTACAAGAAATTAAGACATTTAACGAACCCGACAGTTCTAATGAGTGAAAAGCAGAAAAGCACTTATAAACAAATTAAATATTTTTTGGTTCACAAAGAAAAATATGTATTGAATAGTATTATTAGATAAAACATACTCCCCCAAGTAGATTTCTCATCCTTATGGAACAGCTGAAGACAATTTTATTTTTAGTTCTGTACGGTTTATGTATAGTTCTGTACGGTTTATGTAGAGGTCGTGTTTTGTTTACAATTTGTTTCCCAATATTACAGTCATTTAATACCTCGTTTAACCAAATAATACGATCTAATCATAAACAATAACTTGTCTCCTAGTTATATAATCAAACAGTAAAGCACAAATCAAGAAATTAACCCTAAAATAATAGCAACAAAATTTTGTCGACACTAGCGCCCAGTGTCACCGTACATGAACTAGACACGAAAAACGTGCGTCAAAATTTACAATCTATGGTAAAAGTAAGCAATCATAAAAAAACACAGCTGTTACAAGTGTAACTAAAGTACTGGAAAATAAAAAAATACCACAGGAAAGTTACACCATTCTTTATAAAAATGTTTCTCGTGTTACACATGAATTGACTTTGAATTTGAAGTAGGCTACACGTTTAAAGAAATGTCAAATAATTAGCTTCTTACATGTTACCACAGTGCAATAAAGGTTTCGCAAAGAGTACAGGTACCACACAAACACTGCTGCCAAAGAACAGAAATTGCCCTCTTTTACTTCATAATTTATTTATCAGTTGTTATTACAAATATACTGACCTAACACAACTCCAAGTTTGTTGTGCAAGACGAGCTCTGTGTCCTGGAGCCATCCCCCGTTGTTGGAGCCTTCTCTGAATTTGGCCATAAGGGAGGGTATGGAGGCCAGCACTACCAACACTCTTAGTCCCCAGACAACAGTGGAGGGGTGAAGATGACCTTGCATGAACAACAGCGACCAATCCATCCCCAGCACACACACCACCTCCTCACAGAAACTGTTAACACCACAGGACCCTGCTTAGTACTGTAATGAGGATGAAACTGGGAAGAATGGATTCAGGGGAAAAGAAAACTAGGAATATTCCAACAAAACGGGAAATAAAATTAAGGTGAAAAGGAAACTATTGTCAATGGATAGTTTGGGACTTAACCACGTTGTGATGTTGTGACAACTACTTAGTATTTTGCCTTATATATAACAATAAATGTATTGTAAAATCACACATTAGTGATGCATCTTAAGCTATCCTTGTCATGCGAATTGTTAAAGTTTTATACCGGTTCACAGACTTTTATCTAAAAAATACAGCTGAAGAACACATAAAACCACACTTTAAATGAAAGTTGCAAATATATATTCACAAGTTATATGTACCTTTAAAAACTAATTTAATTTAGTTTGCATTCTGAAGCCTAAAATGATTGTTGTGAAAGTGTAGCAACTTACGCAGTGTTTACTGTGTTCCTGGGTGTAAACAGCAAGGAATGCAGCAGCTGCAGACATCTGTTCCGCAGCAGTATCCAGTTGGCAGTGTCGGGAGGTACATCCACCTCACTCAGCTCCATGCTGGGCTGACGACTACGAGGTGAGCACTCCTGCAGCACAATGTCTCGCTCACTCACCGCATTGCTGGGTAGAGTGGCTGTGATGAACTGCCCAAAACTGTACAATATTACATCATTATCATCACTATTGAGTGAACCCTCGGCCTAACAGGTAACCTATAATCTGATATGTCAACTTAGGATCCTTTATTGTGTGCAATTTCATTATAAAGGGATCAAATAAGCAGGGGTTCACAAAACAGTATTGTTTATGAATAAGTAAAATTATTGAATTCAGTGTATTAAATTTGTAGTACATTCACTTTTGCACATTTAAAAAATCTGCAACAGTATTTTATTTTTGTTTTCTCAAACTATCTACAAGGCTAGAAAATGTACAAGGCATCTGTTACAATATAAAATCTGACTGGTTCTTTCTAGTGTAGTTATGGCTTGGTCCAAAGCAACTCTTGTTGTGCATAAAGTTGCCTTCATTAAAAATCCGTTAACTATTGAACCAACAAATAATTTTCAAAAAATTTGAATCAAATCTGTTAGTTGCCACTGGTGATATACTCACGCAAGAAGGTCTTGTGCTAAGGGTTGCCCAGCCAGAACAGCACCAAGAAGTGCTAGCAACACCTGCCTGGTGGCTGGGCTAGTCACTTCAGGCAGCACTCTCAGCAGTCTTCCAACTAGTTGCATTTCCCGCATGGTGTTGAGGTTGTGCCGCTTCTCACTAGACTCTGTCACTAGCTCATAAAGGTGTTCCAGCAAAGATCTCTGCAACTCTCCAGGAGCTCCATGCCAAACCTACAATCATCAACACTCTCAGCAGTCTTCCAACTAGTTGCATTTCCCACATGATGTTGAGGTTGTGCCGCTTCTCACTAGACTCTGTCACTAGCTCATAAAGGTGTTCCAGCAAAGATCTCTGCAACTCTCCAGGAGCTCCATGCCAAACCTACAATCATCAACACTCTCAGCAGTCTTCCAACTAGTTGCATTTCCCGCATGGTGTTGAGGTTGTGCCGCTTCTCACTAGACTCTATCACTAGCTCATAAAGGTGTTCCAGCAAAGATCTCTGCCACTCTCCAGAAGCTCCATGCCAAACCTACAATCATCAACACTCTCAGCAGTCTTCCAGCTAGTTGCATTTCCCGCATGATGTTGAGGTTGTGCCGCTTCTCACTAGACTCTGTCACTAGCTCATAAAGGTGTTCCAGCAAAGATCTCTGCCACTCTCCAGAAGCTCCTTGCCAAACCTACAATAACCAACTTTCTCAGCAGCTTTGTGTTGATTCTCACTAGACTAGCTTGTATAAATTACATAGCAAAGTATCACAGTCTACAAGACTATGATTTTGTAATATAAACTTTTTCCAAGACTTTATTTTCACAATAAGATAACAGATGTGTATTTATAGTAGCTTCAACCTACCTCAAGGTCACACAATAAGTCCTGAAAGCTGACAGGGTGAGGAATGGAGGAGCTCTCCCGTCCTGAGTCCACAGTTCCCACAAGACTGAAGGCCAAGTGAAGAATGTGGGAATTGAGAAGAGATCGCTTCTTGCGCAGTAGCATGGCTAGAGTCTGGTAGCCTCTGCGGCGATCCATCTCTTGCTGTACACTGCGATTGCCTCTCACAACACACACAAGAGCCTTCACTCCAGCATACAGACTCTCCACATCTTGGGCCATGGCAATCAGACCTGAAACAGAATAGCAATAGGCTATCAGTGGTTATCTCCTAAAGCAATGTTTTAAGGTATAATACACACTGCAACTCTTCATTAGCTATGACAAGTACTAAATTACACTTGAAACTTTAAAATCATAAAAATAATGGCTCACAATCAAAGCAGGAAAATAAGTTATGCACTATAGACAAATGGCTTATCTGAACAAAAACTGTTATTAATTGCAAATGAAAAAATTATAAAAATAAAAATTAATACTTACCTAACAGCACTGAGCAGCCGCCAACATTTTCTATCATCTTTGTGACAGGTTTAGGGGTAAAGACTCGGACACCGAGGTAGCCGACCACCACACCTCCCAGACTACGAGCAGGCCCACTCAAGTGACCTGCGGAGTTGTGCAGTACTCGGATAGGGGTGGCATTCTCATGAGAAGACATCCCCAGCTGTTGTAAGAATATTGTCAATGTTGTCACAGTCACCAGCTTCACAACTACTACTTTTTAGCAAAGAATTCTATTAGATTTGTTCAAAAGACACACAGAAAACACAGACATGCATAAGAAAACTTGAATATAATCAATACCTAAGACTATTATACTGCCTTTCGACATCATTCATAAAATAAAAAAAGACAGGCATACATGGTTTTGTAGTTTATTTCTCCTTTGAAATCTACAACTATTTGCAGGATATATTCAAATCACAGGGTGTTTAGTAGATAAAAAGACAAATTTACCATCAGCCATGAATTTTACTGTTGTTTTTATTATGTTAAAAATTGTTAAACTCAATTTGTGCACTAGGAGTGCGATTAAAAATATATATAAAAAATATCCAATTAAAGTACCAGTCATTTAAATAGAACGACTTATAGAGCACTGCATGGAGTTTTAAACTGAACACTGTTTGGCAACAATAAACAGAAATTGCATATGTCGAATTCATTTGTATATTTAGTTTAACCTGACTGCAAAACATAGTACCTGTTTGGCGATTGACTTGTTATCAACTCGACTGTAAACTTTGCGTATTTTGGCCAGAGTGAGGTGAGTAACAGCTTTAGCATTGAGTCCAAACACAACCTTCTCTTCAGCTACTAGTGCTGGCAACCCTGCAACATTGATAAAAAAAAATATTTAAATCCTGAATAAAAATACCACTATCTGTATGAAAATATTCTGTATACATAACCATAGGCTTTGGGAAGCCTAAACAATCCGTGGACACAAATGGTGACATCAACACCGATTCTATGGGGCCAAAGAGGCTCGAGCACTGCAATGCTAAGGGAAGAAGGGATCAGCACCCCCCCTCCCTTCAAAAAAGATAATTATTTGTATTAGAGGTTTGCAAAATTCCAAAAATTGGGTCAAGGCTGAATACAAGTCATTCCCGACCTAATTTTTGGACAAATGTTGAGGCCGAAGAGTGAATTTCACTGCAATCCCACGAGTCTTTCAAGATTTTGTCGAGATTGTGATAGACAATCATTATGTCCTGGGATTGAGAAAATGCTCATGAATTTCTCTGTAATCGCAAAACCTGTTCACGATTTTGTCACTTAAAGGAAAGGTTCACAATTTCTCTAAGATGTTAGGAGATGATCATGATGCTCCGATATTGTGGACAATTTTTATGATTTATCCGCGATTGTGGGAGATGATCACGATCAGTCTAATATTATTGTATTACGTGAGACATGAGATTGAATCCTAAAATATTTACTATCAACAGTGTAAAGAGGTTCGATTTACTATTATTTCTGGTGTGTGATGAAATTTAAAATGGTGTGTGTTTTTGTTATCTCTAGGTCTCGATGTTTACTAAGACCTGTACAAAAGATATATGTTTTAAAGTTTTATTTCATTGATCTAAAAACTATCTTTATTATTTATTGACTAAATTTGTCAAACTTTTGTATAGGCCTATAGTACTAAAATTTATAACTTGTTTGTACTAAAATCACCTTAAAGTACTCTTATTAAAATTGTTTCTAAAAATACTTATATCTTACTGTACCGTAATGCTGTTTTTTCTTGTTCTGAAAATCAAAACACAAAATAATTTATCCCCTGAAGCAAAAATTGCTGTATGCAAATCTCTTTATTTCTACACAGAGATATCTCAATGGACTGTAGATAACTAATTTCAATAAATATTTTAATTCCTAATTTCACTTTTATTTCACTTCTTCTTTTTATTCACTTTTGTCTATTATTTAACTATAACAAAATGGTTTAGTTGACGCTGATTCTGTTGATCATTCTTCCCTGTCATTAATCAAAAGGTTAATCTGGGTGAAAATTTAAATTACTTAACCTAAATCTTTTACATTAATCATAGTTTAGACCCTCCCAATAATGTTCAAAAGTTGGCACCAATGAATAGTCAAGGGACTTAAAAAACCCTAAACAATACCGAGACATAAATAGATAGAGTACAGTATTTAACAAATCTAAATAATATCTTGACATTGATAGTCTTACTTAGGTAAATCAGAAGAATACCTAGACAAAGTAGTTAAGTACTAAGATAAACCTGATCAATGTATTGAATATTGATACAAATAGCCCAGGTACTTGGACAAACTTGGAAAACATCCTTTTCTGCCTTTTTTGTTTCTTAGTTCAGTTTAAAAAGCTTTAGTTAATAAAATTCTACAAGTGAACCCGTAGCATTCTTGTTTCATTAGTTATTTATCAGTATAATTCTGTTAAATCTGGTTCAAACCAGCTAAATATTGAATGTTGCATTGTCAGTAAATAAGATATCAGTGAAACATAACAACTTTATGTCAATATTATAGATCCATGAACACGCTTACAGAGAATTTCTACATAGGCTGCAGGCAGCAGGTAGGTCTAACGTTTCCGGTTATATATATAAAAAAAAAAAATAGTTATAGGCCTAATTGTATTACTGTTAACAGAGCAACTATTTCTTGTCCAGCCTCTGTAATTTTGATGTGTCAAAATAAAAGTTTTTTTATAGGTTGCTAACCTTTTATAAAAGATTATAATATTAGTAAGATTATTAACTTCAATTTTTGCAATAACAGTTCAGGAGCCACTCATAATGAATAAATACCTCCGCTGCAGCAAACCCTCTGACGAATTTCCATTTGCCTCATCAGATTTCTAGTGAAATATTCCCTTAAACATGTTAGATTTGTTCCCCATTTTTAAATAACATTAGGCTTATTGAGTACTTAGATTTGCCGCTTCAAAGATGTCATTAAGTGACGTTTATTTACATATTAATAGCTTGGTATGAAATAAATTAATTTACCAAGTTTGATCAAAATATATCTAATGTAACAAATAAACATAGTACACGTTTGTATACAAAATTTCATCGAAATTCAATGATTTTTACTAAAGTTTGAGTTATCATATCATGCTAACCAGCAATGCTAACGGACACACAAACAAGAATATAAAACAATGCCCCTAGAATAGACCCTTGACGTACTTCATATTTTATTGTTTTAATTCCTGAGGCTGTTTGAATGGTTTAAACATTTTTTAATAGAGTTATTTCAACATAAATTTGTAATAAAAACAACAAAATATTCATAAGAACAAAAACAAATTAAACTCTTGAGATTTGCTCTGGAACATACTTGAAAGTCTTATCAAATAAGAATAATAGCCAACAACAATGTCTCAGATTGAGGAACCAGTTTATCAGTGACTATACAAACAAACTGATGAGCCAGTATAGGCTGCCTCTGAGTTTACTGTATCAATGAGGATGAATGCCCCCTGTGTATGGGGGGGAGGGGGAGGGAGGAGTAAACAGATGACTGGCCAAGCGGAGAGATAACCTAAGGTCACTCCAGAGACGTAGAGCTCACCAGCTCAGTGTATCTACCAGACTGCTACCATCACCATGTCATCACCACCACTGACACTGACACTGCTGCTGTTAAACACTATCTTGTGAGTCATACGTCATACACACTTAGCTTACGCTTACGTTATACACTTGAACAAATTAATTAATTGTAAACTACAAAAAAGGCCTTTAAACTTGTTGGTGCTATAATTGTATTTGATCATCTTGGATAGTATGAAAATGAAAGTTATTTTCATATTGAATTAGCAGTTTACTAGTATTTTGAAAAGAAGAGTTATGATTCTTTGAACAGAAATTAAGATGCGCTGTGGTGTATAAATAAGGAAAAATGGTATAGTATTGCAAGTTTATATAGTTTTACCAGACAATTCCAAGGAAATAGTTTTCAGTTTATAACTATACCGTCTTTAGAATAAAGAATTTATAAGTCATACTCAAAATGTAATGTTTTTAGTCAAGAAACAATTTTTGTTTTGTTTTATTAAGTAAACATATTCTAGTCAATATTTAATAACAAAACTCAGCCTTAGCTTTTTATTAAATCTTTTTTAGAAATACGTTTTCACATAATAACATTAAAACAACGATTTATTCAAACAATACAAACTGAAAAGAGAACATGTTTCAATAATGTACTGTATTTTTTTCAAACGATTGTTTAATATATTATTATGTTATATTGTCTCTTAGAACATACTGAGCCCTCCTTATAGATACATTTAATAAAAAATGTAATGGTTTCATTGAACAATTAACCATTGTTGTACTTTTTGTGATTCAATCATACCATTGACTATTGGATACTGAAGGGTTTACTAAACAAACATTAGCATATTTAATCTTTTAAATATCAAGGTTTGTAATAACTGTAAATGTTTTATGGTACTATTGTTTTATAATGATAAAAGTAAACATTACATTTTGCAACATGTGTTATTAAAAGATTCCTTAACATCATAGGCAAGTTTTTTCTACACAAAGAAACAAATTAAATTGGTGCAAAAAGAACTTGCAACAACTTTTTTTACAGTTAAGCGCATTAAATTAATTTTATAAGTGCCAGTTGGGAAAGTAAATCAAAATATTTGTAATAACACTTTGAAACATATATTTACACTCATACTGTTTTAACAAGACAGTTAATACATATAAATTATGGTAGTGGTAGTCGATTTAGATTGAACGACTCAATCATCAGCAGACCCAATCGACTTTTAATTGTCTTTCCGTAAAATTAATAACACATACTATTCTGAATGAAAATAAAATGAAAGCATTACAACCATTATTTCTGTGCTGAATTGTTATGAAGTTGAAGAAGGGTTTTATAATTCTGGTGTTAATCAACTCCAAACAAACCTTATCAAACCAAACAGTTAAAAGTGTCAAGCTGATAAAACACAAAATTTCAAATCCACGCAAACAGACACACTGACCAATAAATTTCCATTTCAGTAATTAAGAAATAAAACATATTGAAACATTTGAAAAATATTATTTATCCAACTAAATTTCTAGAAAAAGTTAAATGTTTTTGGCAAATTTAAGACAGACCACTTAAAAAAACAATTAAAGTATAATTGTTTTATTACTTTGAAAAAACATAGAAGAACTTTAGAGCTTTAATGTGTGTAAAGTTGTTTTCAGAAAAGATTCAACATTCACAAACTTGTGAAAAATTTTACTTTAATCTTTAATTATAGTACTCATCACAAATAAATACCGTTTTGAGTTTATATTTTCATTTTAGTTTATTCTGAACAATTATATTGTAAGAACAAATGACAGAACTGTATTTTCTACAACTCCATGACATTAGAGAACCAGTTACAAGCAATAGTAGCAATTTACTGGAGCAGCTCAGCGTGTAACAGTTTATAGTTCAAGTGGAAGAGGAAACAGGTGATTCAGTTGGAGAAACGGGACTGGGACTTGCTCCATTAAACAAACAGAAAGCAACTAAGAGGTCAAGTGTATTAAGTGTAGACACTGACAACATTGTCTAGAGTCTAGAGAACAGTCTACTTGTCATGCATGGTCTGTCACTGTCACAGTTAGGAATGTTGGTTCAACAATCTACAATGATCCAGCTCACTCAAACACAATACTGTACATACCACTTCATCCATACATCACTCTAATCATTGTATTCTTTCTTGCTGTAGATTTTAACATAATTTAACTTGTATCAATGAAATACGTTTATTCTTTTGGAAATTATAAAACAATGATGAATATTATTAACTTTGTATAATCTATACAAATGATTAACAAGTCACATAGTGTATTATGTCTTGCCAATTAAATATATTTTATATATAATCAAACCTAACAATTTCCACTTTATAAGACAACTAGCTGTACCCGCGGGCTTCGCCCCGTTTAACTTCATAAGTATTCGCATGGCTCATTCACGTCCTGGTTGAAGTTCGTTCGCTACGCTCACTCATCTTTAGGTTGGAGCTCGTTCGCTGCGCTCACTTGCCTTCAGGTTAGCTCGTTTGCTACGCTAACTCGCCTCCAGGTTGAAGTTTGTTCGCTACGCTCACTCACCTTTTGGTTGAAAATTAGCTGTTGTCATAAATTAAAAAAAAAAAAAATAGTGCTGCACCCTGTTGGTAATCCTTGTAACTTTTATGCTATTGCACATCATAGAACAGAACCAACTTGTTTAATTGAAACAGCTGTTAAGATTCATTAATTCCTTTTAAATATGAAAAATAATAAGATTAACATGGGGAACTACAGAGCCACTGGGGCGGAGCCCGAAAGGGTTTTTGAGATAAGAATATGCTTTAATGTTAATCGGGAATGTGAGCTATCATCATGCCAAATTTCAGCCCAATCCGTCCAGTAGTTTATGCGTGATTGAGCAACAAACATACACACAAACTCACAAACTTTCAGATTTATAATATTAGTAAGATTAAATGAAATGCAAAGTTTAAATAGAACTTTACTTTATTTCAGACTGGTGGGAATGTCCATAAGCCTAGCAGAGGGGAAGTCACCAGCATCTAAACATCTTCCTTGTCCAATAGAACCATACACTGATGTTGATTTAAATAAGGTAAGAGCCAAGTAAGTTTATATTGGTTTATTTTACCTGCTGTATTAGTGAAAATACAACATGAACTAAACTTAAATGATTTATTTAATGAGATTGTACATAAATAAAGAGTAAAAATATAAACAACTCAAACCAAAATTAATAAAGTTAGGCCATCACCTTCATGTACTTTCCCGAGTTCAGTGTTACAATTATTATAATCTAAATTGTGGTATCAGTATAAAGCATAAACTTTGATAGGCTACCTTGTATTTACAATTGATTTCAACAACCAACCTTTGTGAGTTTTTTTTTCACAAAAAGTATGAAGTTTATCAATTACTTTTAAAATTAAAGAAGAGGTTAGAAATCTTGCACAGAATCAGTGACGTAAATAGATGTCTGTATCTGTGATAGTTAAGGCGCCTAGGTTATCTCTTGGTGTCAGGAAAACTTTCAACAGTTATGAATGAAACCGGTTTATAACTTTTTTATAGCCTGAATTTATCTCAAATCATCTACACTTTTGTAAATGCAAAATGATAAACCTGTGAAATGGGTTCTGTAAGTTTTGGATGGTTTTCAATCTTATGTACCCAGTCAAAATACAACAGCCCAAAAGCATCAACTGCATTAGATTTATTGCAATTATTATAACAACTATTTTCATAGAATGAGTTTAAAATAAGTGAAAATAAGCCACTTTTGAAGTTTGCTTGTTTATGTTTTTATCTTAAAGAAAAAAAAATAAGTGTTTTATTTGTTTGAAAATGGTAAAATATTTATCATTCACAGAAAAATTACAACACTTTTGTTGTCTTTTAATATGAAGGATAAATTGATTTTTTGGTCATATGTCCTTTGGTTTTAGTTTAAGTACATATTTCAAACATAATCCAATCCCAAAAATGAATTGGACAACACCCATGAGAAGAAGTCTACCTATCACAACAACACCGTGGTCATCTCTTGGGATAGCATGATTATCTCTCTCGATCACTGCAACATCCAGGTCATCTCGCACGATCAATGTGACATATAATCATCTCCGGCAATCGCATCAGTAACCGTGATCATCTTATGCGATCACGCCAGCACTGTGACTGTCTCACACGGTCATAAAAACACCATAGATAATTTCCTACGATCAAAATTGTCTCACTGTACACTACTACCAAAAAAGATAGCCAAGGGAATGATGTTAATGAATAGAACGCTTTGCAATAAGCAACTGGCAATTACTCAAAATTTCCTGGCACAATAATCAAAATTCACTTACAATTCACGGTTTTCCCAATCGACTGGACAGCCTCGTAAATTAATATTAGAGTAAATCTTACAAAATAAATCAAATATATGAACACTTTTAGGTAGGAGGCACATGGTATGCAGTGCGGGGAATAGAGCATGAGAGTATTAAGCAGACAAGCAGACAACGCAACAACAACGCCTGTCCTGTCATCACACTCAAGCTGGTGGACACAAGACACATAGACTTCTCATATGACTCCAAGAATGGCTCAGAGCCTAAACACTACAACATGACAGTCAAGGACCCAGCACACCCCAGTGTCTGGACCACTGAGAAAGGTATCTTTTGCATCACTTAAAATTTTGAATTGAGTCAACAGTTTGGGTATTGTAATCACCATACAGTAAAGTCCCTCTTACCATCCTTTAATCCCCTCCAACCCCTTTTAAACTGAAAGCTGGATTAACCTAAAGCAAAGTAAATACAATCATATCAATTGAAGAATGAGACAGGCAAAGGGAACCGACTGCCGTGGCACAGATAGTTGGCTTGGCTTGGCCAATGGTAAGTAATGGAACAGACAAAACTACGGATTTTATACCGTAATATAGATTAAATTCAGAAAACAACTTTTCATCATTTTAAGAAATAGATTTTGTGTATATATTTTAAGACAACGGTAATTTCAATTAGGTAAAAAAGAACTGTAGATCTTCTAATTTAATACAGTGTTTAAATTTCTTCTTTTCTTTCTTTTTTCAATACAGCCTAAAACACACCAGCGTCAGTGTGTTAGCTCATAGTATTAAATACTGAAATATTAATTATAGAAAATCATAAATGTCACTTTTGTGTTTTCTCTTTGTACTACAGGTATTATTTTAACCCTTTCAGTGCTAGGCCAATAATTCATATTTTGTAAGACTTTTTTGTTTGCCTTTGAATTCCATTACACGTTGTTGAATTTTAACTGTCATGTTGTCACTATTTTATTAATTAGGCTAATTTTGAATAATAACACAATAAAAAAATATATAAGAAAGATAAATCCCGGTATTTGTAGTAAACATCAAATATAACTTAGTTTTTGTTGTAATTTTCCTGGTTTTCCTATACATTTTTATGTTCTGATAGCATTATTTGAAACCGAAATCTCACAAAATCAAAAGACATATAGTTTACAATGTAATAATGAATTTAACCCTGATTTAGTTGGACGAGGTTATTGTAATATAGCAATTTTAGGGAAACTAATGTTTTGCAGCAAAGTCTCAGGAACACATTTACTACTACTAAAACTAAAAGATTGCATCTAAATAGTCCGTGACTAGCTGGTGCTGCTACCTAGTAACGCATTGAATAACCATCTGCAGCGTCATCTGTTCGCAATCGGTGGCGACAGCTTAAATACCGGGTTTTGACTCCCCAGTCTTCAAGCACAGATAGCCGAGAAGGCTAGGGCGTGTGTCACTTGGCCAGTGGCATTCGTCTGCTCGGGTTCGAATCCCGTCCTATGTGGCAAATAATTGGTGACCTGTGTGTTTGTAGCGATATACTACAACCACTGGGGCATAGTGAGGTGTTCATAATCCTTGGTTTAGACATACACCTCAAAATCATCGGATTGGGCGAATCTTTTAGCTAAGTGGTTGGTAGTGTATCCTATGAACATGCAGGTCACCAATGGCCGTTTTGCTATTTTTTTTTAATAACCTTCCTCTCTATATCCCTTAGGGTTTTTTTAAAACAACGATATATCGTTTCATAGCACTGAAAGGGTTAAGTAATTATGCCTATTTTTAGAAGGCTAAATTTTCTTTAATATTGGATTTAAAAAATAAATACCTTTAATAATAGTTTTTTAATTATTTTAAAGTGTTTAGTGTTTAATATATTTCTGACACATACTTTGGGAAACGCTGATTTATAGCAGCACTAAATACACTTGTCGAGTTGAGGGAATGGGTGGATTCATTGTGAGCTGTACTACAATTTAGGTATTTGTCTGACTTACTTATACTTACAGTGTGTATTCACCAACAACTTGTAAAAAAGAATACAGAATTTAGTGATCATATGATAAGAGAAAACATAAAATTTATAGATAAAAAAAACTTTTTAAAATACCTCATTTTTAAACACACTAAAAAGTATAAAATAATTTATAAATATGTGGAGAGAATAAATACTTGTAAGATTTAAAACGAAAAACGTGGGACGCATGCAATAGCTAATTTATGATTTTCTTAACCTATTAAATTATTATTATTATTATCTATTGCATGCGTCCCACGTTTTTCGATTTAAATCTTACAAGTATCTGTTCTCTCCACATATTTATAAATTATTTTATAGTTTTTAGTCTGTAATGTGTACATACTAAACATCCATTAAAAATATATTTTATGGCTTATTAATAAACAACCAAACCTTTTTAACTGTAATCGCATGTTGTTGCTACTATTCTCATAATCAAGAAAATTTATAATCTCTCGGGAGCAGAACCTGTACCTCTTAACCTCTGCTCTTTAAACAAACTGTCAAATTAAAGTATTTACAGCTGACTATTATAAATAATAATAGTAATAATAAACTGACTATTGATATATTTACATTCATCCAAAAATTTTGAAGCCCATGGAGCGTAGCCCAAGGGAAATATGAAAAAAATTATTTAATATTGCATTGTGAAACATATAATATCCATATTTAATATCCATTTGTGAACTATGTTTCAAGTTTCAAGTCTCTAGCTCGTTGGGAAGTTGGTTTAAAATCGATTGCAAAATTTGTACCGGACAAGAAAGCGAGCTAATAAAAACGTTTAAAAATAGTATTATGGGTAAACTATAACAGAAATGTTACTTAAGGTAGAATAAAATCCTTCAACACTGTGATGGATACGATTCAACTACTGTTTCACAAGAGTAAACCAATGATTGCAGGCACTAAGAAGCACGTGCCGTTTGCTAAACTCCAAGTCAACGACATGACAGAAAACTCCCTGGCACTCACCATGTGTGGCACTCAGAGACTGGCTAGTGTCATACTCTCAAGGTCAGTTTGTCCAGGACTCTAACTCTAGTACACCAATGTTGGGATTACTTAATTATTTTAACTAGCCAAAAATCCAGTTAACATTTTGAAAACAAAATTAAAACATAAAACAATGTCTGTCTCCCTTAATCGCTGCAACACCATGATCATTTTATTTCCCACAATCACGGTGACATCATTGTCTTGGTTGGTCGACAAAATATCCATGATTAATTACCTCGATAGCAGCAACAACCGTGATCATCTACTGCAATTGCATTTTTCTTACTACACAATGACCTTAAAATAGGACTAATGGAACGCCTTTAGCTCGGAGATAGGCGTTTGCCAATTGTTCTAATCTAACTAAATTTCCCAATCATCAAAATTCAAGTTACAATTCCTGGTTTTTCTTGGTTTTGCAGTTAGCTGTGCACCTTTTTTAGTGTTTCGAAACACACAGCTTTATTTAAATTCAAATACAGTTATTACTCTTTTAGTATTTCTACAATTAGGTGGTTAGGATTAGCTGGACGATTTTAATAGCGAGGTACAGTACAGCTTAGCAAGGTTTAGAGTTTAGATTACCGGTATTCTGGTGAATGTACAATGTTTTTTTAATAATATTGTTTTAATATACAGTACCTGATTGGAAGAAATCCAAATTGAATTTTGTTTCTATATAACAAATGTATATAAACAATGATAAAAAAATAATTCTAAATATAAAAATATACAAAAAATGTTTCTTCAGGAAAATTTGTATTTTCTCCAAGAACTTCGCTCACCAGTGCCTTCTGCCCTGGCTCTGGCGACTGTTCTACTGTACTTACACTAGATGCAATGGATCATTAAATAATTTTATCAAATTTCTATCAACTGAAAGTGAATTAATTTAGGTAGTTTAGTCAATACCGAATTTTAAGATTATACAACAGAGTTTGGCAAAAGTATGATAGATTCAGGGCTGTGCGAATCCAGAAATTTTGGCTCGAATCCGAATTCGAAACATAGCTGTACAGATTTTATCGAATCCGGATCGAATCCGAATATTTTAATCAATCCCGAGTCGAATCTGGGTCGTATCCGAATCTCAAATTTACAGCCATTATCGAACCTGGATCGAATCCGAATCTGAAATTTAAAGCTGTTATCGAATCCGAATATTTAAACCTGTTCAGAGTCGAATCCAAATCCGAGGAAAGTCAGCAGTACCAATTTTCACATTTTTAGACCACATTTTCTGGGGCTGAAATAACTTAGGGAATTGCTTAAAAAAATTCTTGAAATGGGCCAAATAAAAAAGTTATAAAATTTAGGCCTACCTATTTGAAGTTTTTGAAACTAAAAAATTGGGCATAAGTTAGGCATACCACCTAGGCCTAAGTTACTCGCTAAAAGTGATGGACTACCAATTTGTGTAGTCTAAAACATAGGCCCAGCCTATTATACACCTCTGTGTTAATCCTCCACACAAGCCTATGTCTGCTTTACTATTACAAGTAACAACTAACACTGTGAGGTTAAGTTTACTGATAGCCAAGATAGGGTTCAAATGCGACCTACACTAATGTGCCTAAAGCCTAACACCAAGTTGGTCAGGTTCCTAACATGAACCAGTCAACAGCAAATCGGAGTGCACAAGTAGTTTTTTAGTGTCTAAAAAATTATATTGAAAATTATGTTCAATCAGAATCTAGTAAATTTGAATATCGAATCCCAACTCGGATCTATTTCCAAAAATTCGAATATCGAATCCGAACCCGGATCTCTTACCAGTAAATTCGAATATCGATTCCGAATCCGAATCCAGTTAGAAACAGTAGATTCGTTCTCGAATCCGAATCGAATCTCTAAAAAGATTCGGATTCGATTCGTTTTTCGAACTATTCGCACAGCCCTGGATAGATTGATAGCACTCAGTAATACGGCACAACTGAAATCCCTTATAGCAAGATTCTTTTTGAAATAAATATATACGAGTACAACTGAATTCATTAATATTGATTGGGCTTGTATCCAACTAATATTATAAGTGAGAAAGTTTGGATGTATGGATGGATGGATGGATGGATGGTTTGTGACAAGTAAACGCGAAAAATACTGGTCGGATTGGGCTGAAATTTGGTGTGACGATAGCTCACACTCCCTTATTATCATATAGACACATTCTTACCTCAAAAATCCATTCGGGCTTCGCCCCAGTGGCTCTGGAGTTTCCCATGTTAACCTTATGAGTATTCATATTTAAAAAGAATAAAAGAATTTTGTCAGCTATTTCAACTACACAAGTTGGTTCTATGATATTAAATAGCATTAAAAAGTTATGAGTTTTACCAACAGGGTGCAGCACTATTAATTTTGTTTGCATTTATCACAACATCTAATTTGAACCAAACTCCTACAACATAATATGTAAAGATCAAAACGGTTTCTATTTCACATCATCTTCCCATTGCAAAGCACGGGTACAATAGCTAGTTGGTTTATATTTATAATGTTGTTTGATTTATTTGTCTTCTGTGCGTAGGGAGAAGAGGTTTGACGGAGACATAGTTGAAGCCGTTACCAAGAGGTTGGCTGGAAAAGGACTCAACACAACTCGCAGCTTTGATCGCTGCAAAACATAGGCTTCACAAGACAACAAATATCTCCTTTTGATATTATATTACAATTTTACTTTTGGTATTAAGTAGGATTATTTTTAATAGTAAGTTATTTGATACTTTTTGTATTGAGCCTAGATGAGAGTTTACTATAGACTATGATATAAAATAAAAACTTTTTACAAGTAAAAATGGGAATTTATTTTTCAACCATTTTTTTATGAGCTGCTTTGATAAAAAAAACCATGTCAGGATTGTGGATACACAAACAAGCATAATTACAAATAGGCCTATGTCAAATTACCTCACAATTAATTTTAAACATATGCACAGTTCTAGCATACAACAAAGCAAATGTATACTTTAGGTGGCTAAACGTAATTAGTCTTAGAGCAGTTCATGTACTTTCTAACTAGTACACATTCTAATAAAATATTGAAATATGTAGGCCTATGTAATTTTAACATTATTTCTGTAGTTGATAAACAAGATAAGCTTGGTTCAATTATACTAAAAGTAAACCCCTGATAATTACTAGCGATGGTTTGGTTTTTAAAGTTGATTATCAGTTTTACCAGTTATGAACAAAAAAACTGGAATGGAGAATTGCTAGAAAATGTCAGTTTTGGTTATTGATTGTTATAAAATAATTTAGAGATGCGGGGAAACTTTTAGGATTTTGCCACCATTGCAAAGGACAATGATGATGTATTTGCAGGAGATGCTCTTGATTTTGCTGGGATCGCAGGGATGTTTAAAATTTCACTATAGCGGTATTTGATAATGATGTATCTTTGCCATTGCGGGGTGTGTGTATATGGTTCAGTTGCGATTGCGGGAGCAACCTGGATAAATATCTTTCTACTGCCCACAATTACAGTGAATAATTTATTAGTTTCAAAAGCTCGACAAATAGTGATAATAGAAAAAATACCTTAATTTCAAAAAAGAATTAAAAAAAAAAACTTCTCAAGTCTTTCATCCAATTGAAAAACGAACATGTTAACTATTGGAAAAATAGAGGCTAATTAAATCTTTCATCACGAAACAATTTCATGATAATTTCTATTTATCTTCATAACTCAATGAAGGTATTGCAATTACTACTAATCATATAGCTGGTATAAGAGTTCATACTAATTCAATAAGTTGGCTTTCTAGTAAATTACGGTTAGGTAATTTGTTGGTAGTTAATGAAATTATTATAAATAAAACTGTAGTTGTAATTATTATAATAATTATTATGTATGGTCATTGAATTTTTGAGGTTGGGACAATTTGAAAATTTGCAATCCTTTGGTTAACTGAAAAAAAGATTAGATTAAAAAGACTACCGGTATGGTAGTTCATTTCTTTATGTAAAATATCATTCCTTGAAAACCTGTCATATAAATTGTCAGTGATAAATCATTATCAACAATCTATTGTTCATCTTATAACAATGTATATGGTCATATTATAAATAAATGTTTATCCTATCACTGAAAACTTGTTGGCACTCAGAGACTGGTCAGTGACAATATTGAACCTGGTTCTAGGACTGCCCTAGGTCTATCAAGGAGTGCCATTGACTTTATAGTACAGGGTGGGGCAATGAAAGCACCCCAATTTATAAGTAGCACAAACTCAATAATATTCACCCTATGGATATAAATAGCACATCAAAACAAAGATTATCTTTTGCCATTTTAACTTAACAAAGTCATTTTTGCATTTGACGTCCTTGTTCTAATATACTTGAAGTTCGAGGTTTTTCAAAGTCACCACACAGATTTGCTTGAACCGAAGCTAAGAATTGTCCAAAAACTAAAGTGATTCCTGAAGAAATGCTACTTGACATTCCTTTTTCGTCACTTGAAAACTCCATCAAATACTCCTCCAGCATTTCTTCAGGAATCACTTTAGTTTTTGGACAATTCTTAGCTTCAGTTCAAGCAAATCTGTGTGGTGACTTTGAAAAACCTCGAACTTCAAGTATATTAGATTTAACCCCCCCCCCCTCAAAATGAGCCAATCTAAAGCTTTCAAAAACAAAAGCTTCCTGGCAAATCTCTTTGGACTTTGAGTTACTGCAACTCACACTTTTTCAACATTTGCTGGTGTACAAAGAGTTTTGCGGTACCCACCGATTATTTTTAAGGTTTAAGCGTTTATCCTAAATAATTTTACCCAGTTCGCCATTGTTTCTAATCTGGGACAGCGCCATGTTGACCAAGGATGGAATGTGGTCCAAACAATCTCTGGGTTTTGGCACAAGAATCGCTATTTTAAAAATAGGTTTCCACATAAAAATCTCAGTGTAATAGCCTCAGGCATAATATTTACTAAAATGGCATAGTTTAATTGATGTTATAAGCACAGCTGTTCATTCATTGTTGCTTTACTTATAGTGTGACAACAAAAGAAAATTGGGGCGCCCTCACTGCCTCACCTTACACAATGGATATACCTAACTCATTAGTCTGAGAACAAGGTAAGTAGGGTTTTAAGCATCAAGGGGATCTTGAATTCGTAGTGCAAACTACATTTCGTTGCTTGCAAGACAAAGGGTTTAGGCTTATCATCATGTGTACTTACGCCCCTTCGTTTTGCAAGCTCAATTTTGTTAACACTTCTCCTCTGTAAGCGTTAAGCTGATTTAATTTATTTTTGTTTTTGCTAATTGTCCTGATATTGCTTAATTTGTACATGAATGTGTTACATTTCTTATATTTCTTATACCAGTAAGAAAGTGACCTCCCACCAAAAGTTTTAGAAATAGTGTTTTTACGAATAGGTTTTTGGATAGAGTTGAAATCTTTCCAGATAAGATGGCTTTGCAGAAATAATAGTTTGGTTCACATATTGTCTTATGAGGGCTGTTTGTAAATTAAAGCCTCCATCGAGCTCTATGAGCTATGCTTTGCTTGGCCTCGTCATGGTAGCCAAAAGAATGTGAGAGGAAATCTACGCTCACACCAAGTACGAATCATTTTCTGTTTCGTTTCTGTAGGAAGAGGGTCAACCAATGTTTATCCATTGCCAGTTGACAGAATATGGGTATGTAGAAAAGTGTTTCATCATAGATAATGTGCATACCTAGGTAACTTAGGGAATTTTGCAGGAGGCTGAACGGCTGAACCCATTTGCACAAAAAGGCCGGCAGCATGATAAATCACTTTCAATGCAAGACAGTAATTAATTAAGTTTGAGGAACCTTTGCTAGCTGATCCGCATTTTAAGACTACCAGGGTACTGTAGTCCTTTCATAGAGACATCATCCATCAGTTAGGAAATTTCTTTTCTTCAATCATACTGTGAACCACACGATAAATTCCCTTTCTTTGGTTACAACCTCTATCGGGACTAATGAACCACTACAGTCAGTGTACATCATCGAAAAGATCATACAAATGTTTACGATCAAGTCCAAACTCTTTCCAAACTCCAATGCAATTTGCTCTATTCACGTGCAACACAACACACAAACAACAACAAAAAATGGGAAAATGGGCTTAAATATTGGTTGACCTCTTGGACTAAAGTAATCTAGGCACACAACACAATTTGTACTTGGCCGGAGCCACAATTTCCATTCACACAATTTATATTACAACGAGAATAATCCTCACATTGGAGTTGGAACCACTAGACTCGTAGGATATATAGCTAAAGATCCTGGCATTGGTATCTATATATTGGCTCATATATAGCTGGTATCTGGTAAGTGTATGGCCAGTGAAGATACTCACCATTAACCTGAGTGGCCTGTAGACTGCCAAGATAGTGAGGTCCTCGCTGGTAGATGGCGCTGATGATATGAGGACTTAGCACCTCCTCCAGCAAGTGGCATGGACCTTGCTTCCAACAGAGACGAGAGTAGCGACGCCACTGTGGAGGAGTGCCGATGTAACCATATACTGATGATGCTACCGTCAGGTTGGCAGCTCCACCACCAGGGTTCTGGGATATGTAGTGCAACTGGAACAACAACACCGCCTTAGCATTATAAAACAACAGAGGCAAGAGTAGTGACACCAGTGTGTCAGTGCCGATGTAACCATATACTGATGATGCTACCGTCAGGTTGGCAGCTCCACCACCAGGGTTCTGGGATATGTAGTGCAACTGGAACAACAACACCGCCTTAGCATTATAAAACAACAGAGGCAAGAGTAGTGACACCAGTGTGTCAGTGCCGATGTAACCATATACTGATGATGCTACCGTCAGGTTGGCAGCTCCACCACCAGGGTTCTGGGATATGTAGTGCAACTGGAACAACAACACCGCCTTAGCCTTATAAAACAACAGAGGCAAGAGTAGTGACACCAGTGTGTCAGTGCCGATCTAACCATGTACTGATGATGCTACCGTCAGGTTGGCAGCTCCACCACCAGGGTTCTGGGATATGTAGTGCAACTGGAACAACAACACCACCTTAGCCTTATAAAACAACAGAGGCAAGAGTAGTGACACCAGTGTGTCAGTGCCGATCTAACCATGTACTGATGATGCTACAGTCAGGTTGGCAGCTCCACCACCAGGGTTCTGGGATATGTAGTGCAGCTGGAACAACAACACCACTTTAGCCTTATAAAACAACACAGGCAAGAGTAGTGACACCAGTGTGTCAGTGCCGATGTAACCATATACTGATGAAGCTACCGTCAGGTTGGCAGCTCCACCACCAGGGTTCTGGGATATGTAGTGCAACTGGAACAACAACACCGCCTTAGCCTTATAAAACAACAGAGGCAAGAGTAGTGACACCAGTGTGTCAGTGCCGATCTAACCATGTACTGATGATGCTACCGTCAGGTTGGCAGCTCCACCACCAGGGTTCTGGGATATGTAGTGCAACTGGAACAACAACACCACCTTAGTCTTATAAAACAACAGAGGCAAGAGTAGTGACACCAGTGTGTCAGTGCCGATCTAACCATGTACTGATGATGCTACAGTCAGGTTGGCAGCTCCACCACCAGGGTTCTGGGATATGTAGTGCAGCTGGAACAACAACACCACTTTAGCCTTATAAAACAACAGAGGCAAGAGTAGTGACACCAGTGTGTGAGTGCCGATCTAACCATGTACTGATGATGCTACAGTCAGGTTGGCAGCTCCACCACCAGGGTTCTGGGATATGTAGTGCAACTGGAACAACAACACCGCCTTAGCCTTATAAAACAACAGAGGCAAGAGTAGTGACACCAGTGTGTGAGTGCCGATCTAACCATGTACTGATGATGCTACAGTCAGGTTGGCAGCTCCACCACCAGGGTTCTGGGATATGTAGTGCAGCTGGAACAACAACACCGCCTTAGCCTTATAAAACAACAGAGGCAAGAGTAGTGACACCAGTGTGTCAGTGCCGATCTAACCATGTACTGATGATGCTACAGTCAGGTTGGCAGCTCCACCACCAGGGTTCTGGGATATGTAGTGCAACTGGAACAACAACACCGCCTTAGCCTTATAAAACAACAGAGGCAAGAGTAGTGACACCAGTGTGTCAGTGCCGATGTAACCATATACTGATGATGCTACCGTCAGGTTGGCAGCTCCACCACCAGGGTTCTGGGATATGTAGTGCAGCTGGAACAACAACACCACTTTAGCCTTATAAAACAACAGAGGCAAGAGTAGTGACACCAGTGTGTCAGTGCCGATCTAACCATGTACTGATGATGCTACAGTCAGGTTGGCAGCTCCACCACCAGGGTTCTGGGATATGTAGTGCAGCTGGAACAACAACACCACTTTAGCCTTATGAAACAACAGAGGCAAGAGTAGTGACACCAGTGTGTCAGTGCCGATGTAACCATATACTGATGATGCTACCGTCAGGTTGGCAGCTCCACCACCAGGGTTCTGGGATATGTAGTGCAACTGGAACAACAACACCACTTTAGCCTTATAAAACAACAGAGGCAAGAGTAGTGACACCAGTGTGTCAGTGCCGATCTAACCATGTACTGATGATGCTACAGTCAGGTTGGCAGCTCCACCACCAGGGTTCTGGGATATGTAGTGCAACTGGAACAACAACACCACCTTAGCCTTATAAAACAACAGAGGCAAGAGTAGTGACACCAGTGTGTCAGTGCCGATGTAACCATATACTGATGATGCTACCGTCAGGTTGGAAAGCTTTTCAATTCGGGAAAAATATATTTCAATCTTTGAATGCGATTAAATTTTAGTTTTTTCAAAATAACTTTTGGGAAAAATATATTTTAATCTTTGAATGGGAATACATTTTAGTTTTTTCAAAATCAGATTTGTTCCAACTGTATGAAATTTTGTTATGATTGTTAATGATGATGATGATTATTTCTCACAATCACAGATTACAGCCATGGAACATAGAACAGTGCATTGAATAAAAATAGATATTGTTTGTCATTATTGCTATCTACAACAGTCATTATTGCTATCTACAACAGTAATTATTGCTATCTACAACAGTCATTATTGCTATCGTGACTTTTAAACACACTAAAGTTTCCTCTGTTGCAAAGGAAACAAAATCCCATCCCTTTCCCATCTCATAAATCAGGGAGGAAACGAAAACCTCGTTCCAAACTAAAAGTACGATGCTGTCTGTTGAAGCAACCGCTGTATACCTTCTGGGTAGTGATGAGTTGAGAGTCAACATAGATTGAGAAGGAAGAGTTTTTCAGGACAGCTCTGTTGAGGACTAACACAATGTGATGCCACTGACCCTCCTGTAGCAAGTCAGGACACCAGACCCTGGCACAGGAGTCTCCCGTTCCCTCTGGCTCCCAGTCTGCACTGGCTGCAACCAACCACAAAATCTATACAAATGTTTCCATAACAAAGAAATACACCTGGCCTTCATTGTAAGACATAAAAAAGGAGATGCAAGTATATAAAATAGTAACCCTCCAATTAACCCAATTTGAAAGATGTGACAATGATTCTTTGTGCAACAAAAAATAAACTGACTTCCTTTTCACTAACCATTTATTTGGTTTTCTTGATAACATTTTTTAGAGTGTTCAATATTGTTGATAGTCGTATTATGTGTGTTGACTCACTATGGCTCAGTGGAGTCTCTTGTGTAGTGATAATGATAGCCTTGTCTCTAGCAGACAGCAAGACAGCCAGACAGATGAGATGGTCGTCCCTGGCTGAGTGAAGGTTGCGCACTAGAGTCAACAGACGCACACAGTGAGGGTCACTGCGGGGATCACTGAACCTCTCCACACATATCCACGTGGAGTAGCTCAGGCCTGTCTGTGGTGGGAATATACGGTCTCCTGCAAACGACAAATTTACAGTGGAGTTAAAAATCTCTTAAAGCACTAAATTATTTCAACTTTCGATATTTCCATAATCTTAAAGACATAGTATAAGCTTAAGTAACTTGAATACATTGAATTTGTTTTGAAAACAAAAGAGGCAGCTTGAATATCTATTTAGTACATAAAACTCTGACTCATGTGTAATATTTCTTACCTTAATGACATGTTACATAGGCCACCCTAGGAGTACCATTAACAGGGTGTCTACTACATTCTGGATAAAAAATTCATGGACAATTCCCGTACATTTAAGGACACTTTGCCGTAACCTTTGTCGGTGTCATTAGGCCTACTGAATAATTTTCCTGATTTGTCAAACTGTATTAATCTTGTTACTAGTGTACATGTTGCTCGATTTCGAGCAATTGCAAAGTATTACATGAGTTATTTCAAAACGAATAGCAATCATTTTAAAAGAGTCAACTCGAAGATTACCGTTGTGTAACTCAGACCATGTTTATCTTCGTTATTGTTAACCTAAAGCATTCCGGCCGGTTTTCTCCTTCTCAAAATGCCTCGCTGTACAGGCAACAGAGGTCATTGATAGAGGGCCAATAGAGAACGAAAAGTCGTTTTGGGGTAGTGTTAGGGCGCATTTGTAACTTATAGTTGAGATTGTCCAGGGTCAGGTGCTGACTGTGATGAGTTAAGCCATAGATTTTTGTCTATCGTTAAGCCTATTACGCTCCACTGTTCTTCAAATGTATTTCACCAAGGCTCTTAGTGAGTGAATTTGATGATTTCTGGTAGTAACACAAACATATCTTTATTTAAGTGACACTATCTACTTTAGCAGCAAGGATTACATTGAAACAATCTAAAAAAGGAGACAATTTAAGGTGTTAAATTGAAGAATTAACTATGGGAAAGTATACAGGTGACAAGAGTTACATTACAGGAGGTAGAAAGATGTACCTGAGCCGATGCCACCCACAACATTAGTGTCAGGAGCAGTGAGGGTCGCCACATTGACCACACTGGGGCCGGTGGGACTCTGGGGCGCTACAGAAGGCAAATACAGACACCCGAACCCCTCCGCCCCCATGTCTAGCTCCACGAACGGGGGCTGAGGAGCACTGCCCTGGGCCTGGGACCTGGGTGTGGTCATGGAAACTAGTGTCTTGACTCTGGTGAGAGGCACAGGACCTCCAGCACTGCGGTTGTGGCAGAGGAACAACGAGTCCATAGGCAAACAGCACAGCGGGTCACCTAGCCTCAGGAACTCTCTGTAAAACAAGGCCAATATCGTGTCAATACCTCCCCATAAACCCTATGCACAACTTGCAATACAATAAGGAATTGGTTAGCTGCCAAATAAATACACAAGATTTTTACTAATGTTAACTTTAATCTAATATGAATTTAAAAAGTCAAGAAGTACAGTCGAAATAGACTTTAATATAAAACTCTTTAACTGAATACATAATTTTTATGATACCATTTATTTAACCTGAAACTCACAAAACTCTTTTGGTATGGTATAACCACCAACAAATTTCATTGGTTTCACCCAAGTATTCTCTGGTCCTGTAGACACCCTTCCCTGGCCTACTTTTACCTAAGATCCTTAGGTTCCAGACTTTGTGTAGCAAGTCTCTCCAGCATGTACTGTAGTGGAGGGTGTAGAGGGTGAGTCTCCTGCTCTAGGGCCTTGTGACCGACCACTAGCAGTTGACAAGGCTGACCAGTATCGCACATTACCTGTCAAATTACAAACATAAGTAAGTGTCTCCAGCATGTACTGAGTCAAGCCTAGCCTACAAGCTCAAGAGATAGGGCACCAGGTCAGAAAATAAAGATTTTCAACCGCAAATGCAGAAAGGTCACACAATAAAAAAACTCAGGCTTCCGCCAACTAGCCAACATTTTGGGTGACAGCAATAACATTTCCGTGATCACATGGACGATGTGTCCACAAAATGGTAAAAGATGTTCAATATTTTGCAGCGATCCCGGGAGATGTGAAAGAAGTCTAAATGACCACAGAAGATGATTTTTCCCTGATGGCGGAAAACAATGATGATGTATACACTACTGAATGAGATGTCCAGGATTTTGCTGAGGTCGCAGAAAGATATTTAGACAAAGATGTCTATAACTGCGGAACATAATTAGGATTTTGCTGCAATCGTGGATGACGGTGATGATGTTTTAGCAACTGTGGTAGTTGTTCAATATTTTACTGCAATGGCAGATGATGATGATGTCTACAAGACCGTGGGAGATGTCCAGGATTTTGACACAATAAAAAATAATGTCTACAGGCTAATGGAAGATGATAATTATGTTTCCGCAATTGTTGTTACCGTGATCATGGATTAGTCATGATAACATTCTGAGGAATGCCAATTTCACCAACTTTATGACTAGATAATAAATTTAGTAGGTCATAGGTCTACTGTTTTTTATGGGTAACCATATCAGACATTCTCTAAAAATCATTTGTTTAAATTGACTCATTTGTTTCATGAACTCAAAGTTTTGTTCAATTGTGAATTTCTTGTAACTTAATCTTGACAACCTTAGTATAACATAACTACGGTATCCCAATATTTCACATAGTATTTGAGATACTGGATTAATTAACTACTGTAGAACCCCTCATATCCGACCTTGGAATAACCAACTTCTCGGGATATCCGACCTAGTGTCTGTCAACTTGTTTGAGCGCGATCGGTTAGCCATAAGGCCGGTCGCGGATGTTGCCGTAATCATGGCTGACAATGACCACTGTTGCCGCTAACGGGTGTTGCAGCCATCGCGGGATACGATTACCGCAATTGTGGAGACTGCAAGTTACGCTCACAGGTGTTGCCGCGGTTGCGGGAGACGATTACTGATGTCGCCAAGACTGCTAGTCTCGTTCACGGGTGTTGCTGCCGTCACGGGAGACGATTACCGAAGTTGCGGAGACTGCAAGTTACACTCATAGGTGTTGCCGCCATCGCGGGAGACGATTACGAAAGTCGCAGAGACTGCAAGCTGCGCTCACGGGTGTTGCCGTGGTCATGAGCGACGATTACCGAAGTCTTGACTGCAGGTTATGCTCCTCCCAATATTCAACCTTTTGGCCGTTCCGACCATGGCCCGGTCCCGTCATAATCGGATATGATGTGTTCTACTGTATCATCACTTAGTCTCAACTAATTTAACGCTAAATGTATGAACAAAGTGTAAGGTATTACATCCAATGCAGACTTTATTTACCTGTTGGTTTCGTTCACTGCGAACTAATGACTTGACAACTTCTGTCATGTAAACTTGCAGAGTCAAAGATTGCTGAAAATATAAATATTATAAGTTTGAAGCTAATATTTTAAAACCTGTTTAGTGGTTCATTATAGGATTATGTTTTACCAATCTAGCCTAAAAAGTAATATGGCAATATGTGGCTCTAAATAATGTTTTTGCAGTCAAAATTAAAAGTAGGGATAGACAGGCTATGAATCTTAATTGGGTATGAAAATGATTATGTTTGATGGGTAAGTCTTATATTTGATATAATGATGATGTATTTTGTTAAAGATAATATTGCTGTGATGGTCAACCTATTATTTATGATTAGCTCTTGGTGTTTTTATAATAAGGCTGAGGTTTCGCAGCTAAATTGCATAAAACAAATCAATTATTTCTGTTGAACTGTTTTTGTTATCTATTTATTTTTACCCATTGTCGGTTGTTAGTTTTTATACAACGTTACAATAAAGACTGAAAACAGTGAAAACTTAGTTTGTTTGCAATTAGCAAGAATTTACTCAAGACCTAAAAAATCCTGAAGTGTTTTTTGATGAACAGGAAGAAAAACCCTGTCTCAAAAACTACGAAGGAAATATAAATCCTGTTGACCCGTTCCAAACTAAAACTACAAAACTATCCATCCCAATTAAAATAGAAGAGTTATATCAATTATAAAACTATAAAATATTGTATTACTAACAAAGATAGTAAATGAAATATTGTAACAGGTTTCTTACTTTCAAAAAATAAGGTACCAAAAGTTTTTTTGAACAAAAAAAAAATCTTTACTAATGATATTGTGGCATTTCTCTTTTTTGTTTAAAGACAAAAAAGCTTGTAGCTTGGTTGTTTAGCGGTAAGTGATTGCAGGTTTGGAATGATTGAAAAGCTTCTCAAAGTATAAATCTAAATATCATAAATTGAATATATAATTTAAATAAGTACTCAGACCTACCTTTATGAGAATAGAGAATGGTAGCTCAACACTATATGCTTAAAAGTAAAATTCAAGATTATTGTACATCAAGTTTGTATTGAACTGGAAAGTTTATAACCCCCAATAAACTATAGCTGAGCATCCTCGTTAACAGTGTTCTGTTGGTTCTCTTTTAAGGTAATTGTGTAGTAAGAGCAACGTGATCATGGTAGACAATTAGTGTTTTTGAGTTCGGGAGAGACAATCATGATGTTTTTATCACAGAAGCTATAAAAATATGGCTATTTATAAAAGTACATTGTTTTATTGTTATAAAGCCATTTTACTGTGTATTACTTGCTGATGGTAATTCAAACAGGGTCTGGTGTATTACTTGTGGTTGTAATGGTGATGTACCTGTGTTTCCTCCAAGTCCTGGATGGAAGGTATAAGTTGCAGCATAGCTACCACAACACCAGAGTGAACTACCACAGGGTCTGGAGCTGGCGGTGTCAGGTTCAGAGAGTTGATCCTGCGACCTGAAGATGGAGACTCTAGCGATCTTTGACTCTGCAACACACACCACACCATAGTTCAAACAGGAGAGAAAAAAAACTATGACTTGTCAGAACAGTCTGTTTTAGAGCCTCCAAAGTAAATATACTTCAACATCACATGTTGATTGTTCAAAGTAACTAAAAAAACTAAAAAGTATACTTTCTATCAAATTAGATAGAAAATTAACGATTGATGTTATTTCATAAGTTTACATGCTAAATAGATAAACAAAATAGGCCAAGGCTATCAAAAAAAATTGCTTGGTAACATTCAATTTTAATTTTATGAACATCTTAAATTATTTTTTTAGTTTCACAAATTGCATTTTTAAACATAATGTTGCGGGCTTAACAGGTTCTTTACTATAAAAACTTGGCGATTTTATAATAGCTAATTTATTTACACTAATATTCTTTATTTACAAATATTACAATTAATTACCTAACACCTAACTAACCCTACCTAGCTAAAGCCTATTCTTATTTACAATGCTTCAACTTACAGCTAGCCTTAACCCATTGGCGCCGACTTACGAGCGTTACTCGTATGGCCGCTGCAGGCCCGGCGGCCGACTTACGAGAGCCGCTCGTGTCACCGCTAGGCAGCGCCATTTGTTATTTAGTTATTATTATTTTTCGCCCTTTTTGTTTCTTCTAACTATTATAATGTTTATAAATATCTTGCTTCTTGATTTGCGTAATTACCCATTTATTTTAGCGAATAACAAACAATTTTGTGTTGCCATGGAAACCACATATCACAAAAATCAGCTGCGGTAAGGTAAACAAACAATTTAAAAAAAATGTTATTACTTATAAAAGTATACAACTTTTGATTTTTCTACGTAGGGAATCGATTGACCTTTATATAATAGTAGTGTTATTTGGTGTCTGGATTAATCTTGGAATTTGTATATCAAGTTTACTTTCAAAATATTGTTTTTAAAATTTTTATTTTTATAATCTTTATATATATCTTTTTTTTTAGTTTAGAACTTTGACTATCCAATTACCACTTTTCTGTAGACAATTTTACTGTGAACAAAATGGTGGAAGAATTATTAATTTATTACCTAAGGTTTTCTTTCTATAGCAGTTAGAGTAAAAGTCTACAAATTCGGTAAAATTAATTGCCGCCAGAGGGTGCTGCAGGTAGCGCATTAATTACTTCCCCAATGGGTTAACAGGATTTATCACTACTCTCCAATGACACTACACTCTCACTACACCGTCACTGTCACTGTCACTGGTCACTCACAACTGCCGTGTGCCGGAAGACGGCCCCTTATAAGCTTGCCGTAGAACATTCTAGAGGAATCAGGCCTCTTCGGACAAAGCTGTTTACGAACGCAGTGGAAGCTATAGAAGGTTCTGGGCCTTCTATTCACGTAGTCCGTTGACATAGGTCTATTGTCTGTCACTGGTGCGTTAGGAGAAACCCGTGTAGACAAACAATCCTTTTGAGACGGCGCCTGGCTATTGTTGCGCGGGGCTCCTGACTTGTAACAATAACTTATTTGATTTTGATGTAAACATTCAGTGGCAGTAATAATAACTCTTTAGAAGGCTATCATCAATAAAAAAATTTTTTTACACACTGCAAGTTTTGAAATACATAAAAAAATAGTACATAGTTCAGAAAACATGTCATAATATCTAAAGTATCTAATCATCCGGCATAATATCTGAAGTTGATGCGATTGGGGTTTGCCTATGGTTGTCATTTCTAAAGAAAATGGCACAGTGAGGTTGTGCGTGAATTACAAAACAGGCGTAAATGATCGTCTTGTTTCAACTTCCTGATCAAACACATTCCAGATATTTTACACTGTTTGCGAGACTTTAAATATTTTTGCAAGCTTTTTACAAGGCTTATTTGCACATTTCAGTTGATGCCCCAAGCAGCAAAATTCAAACTATTACTACACACCGTGGAACATAATGGATGCACAGACTTAGTTTCGGAATCAAGACCGCACCTGCCGAATTCAATCGCATTCTAAGCCAAATTCTAAACGGGTTACTAAAGACTGAAGTTTATTTCGACGACATAATTGTGCACGGTACAACAAAAGATGAATGCTACAATTATTTACGGTTGTGTCTATCCCATCCTCGTCGCCAATTATTGTGACTTTGAATTAGAGTTAATAATTGCACGCATTTGAACAAACTCTTTTATTGAATATTGATTGTAATATTTATAAACTGTAAATTGCAAAAAGGTAAACATTGAATTACATTGTTTTATAATTAATAACAACAGCTGATCATAGAAAGTATAAAGGATACTACTACATTTACTATCGAATGTTACCAGTTCGATGCTAAGCAAGATTTATTTGGGACAAATAAGCAATGCCATTTTTTATTGGGATATCGAATAGTTAACAATGGATCTAACAAAAAGTTGACATTAGATAGTAACAAGATCAGGGTATAGACTGTTTTCTCTTACAATGAAAAATATTTTCTTAATGGCAATGTCATGAATAAATACACATAAAACATTAATGTAACTTACCTCAATATTCTGTCTTCTGTGAGAGGGTGACTTGAATGACACAATGTTCTGATTGGGTTTGTCATAACTGTCTAGGGCAATGTTGTAAAGCATCCTCATCACTAGACATGCGTATGCAAGTTGTAGAGGAATGTTTTCCGGAATCCTGAAAATAATTGATAAAAAGTATAATAACAGCATTAATTAAATAATTCAAAAGTGCACACAATAGAGAATGACATTCAAGTTATCTTGCATTCAAGACAACATCGTGTTTATTTTGGATTTGGCTTTTCTTTGACATTACTGTTAGGAACAATTTTTCAACTCACAGGGTGTCTAGTTTATTTCCATTATAAAATTCAAGACTAATTCAAGACTTTTCAAGACTAATTCCAGATTTTTCAAGACTAGTTTTTTAACAATTAGTGGGCGTTGATACCAAAATGTATCGATTCTCAAATCTTGATACGGATACCAATTTTTATAGCTTAACCAAATTTTCTAAATAATACTACACCAACCCCTGTCTTTGTAAAAAAAGTAGTATTATGATAATGTGGAGTTTTCAAGTAAAGAAATAATGCAGCAATAAAAAATTCTATCTAGCAAATTTGGTTGTTTTTTTATCATGAAATCTTCCGCGTACCGTACGTTTAGACATCAACATTGACTGCAGCGGTTACAGAATTGTGATCGTCGTCGTCCGCGATCGCGGCAAAATCATGAACATTTCCCGCGGCTGTTTAGACATCACCGTCGTCTCCCCCGGTCACGGAAACGTCATCATCGTCATCTCCCGCGGTCACGGAAACGTCATCATCATCTCCCGCGATCACGGAAACGTTATCGTCGTCATCCGCGATTGCGGCAAAATCATGAACATTTCCCGCAGCTATTTGTACATCACCGTACTCTTCCGCGGTCACGGACACGTTATCGTCGACGTTCGCAATCACCGCAAAATCATGAACATTTCCCGCAGCCGTGTAGACATCGTCGTCATCTTCCGCGGTCACGGAAACGTCATCGTCATCTCCTGCGGTCACGGAAACGTCATCGTCATCTCCTGCGGACACGGAAACGTCATCGTCGTCGTCCGCGATCGCGACAAAATCATGAACATTTCCCGCGGCCAAGTAGATATTATTGTCGTCTCCCACGGTCACGGAAACGTCATCGTCATCTCCCGCGGTCACGGAAACGTCATCGTCGTCTCCCGCGGTCACGGAGACGACATCGTCATCTCCCGCGTTCACGGAAACGTTATCGTCGTCGTCCGCGATTGCGGCAAAATCATGAACATTTCCCGCGGCCGTGTAGACATCATCGTCGTCTCCCGCGGTCACAGAAACGTCATCGTCATCTCCCGCGGTCACGGAAACGTTATCGTCGTCGTCCACGATCGCGGCAAAATCATGAACATATTCCGCGGCTGTTTAGACATCAACGTCATCTCCCGCGGTCACGGAAACGTTATCGTCGTCGTCCGCGATCAAGGCAAAATCATGAACATTTGGCCGTGTAGAAATCATCGTCGTCTCCCGCGGTCACGGAAACGTCATCGTCGTCCTCCGCGATCGCGGCAAAATCGTCAGAACATTTCCCTCGGCCGTGTAAACTTCATCGTCGTCTCCCACGGTCGCCGAAACGTCATCGTCGTCTCCCGCGGTCGCCGAAACGTCATCGTCGTCTCCCGCGGTCACGGAAACTTCATCTTCGTCTCCCGCGGTCACGGAGATGTCATCGTCGTCCTCCGCGATCACGGAAAAATCGTCAGAACATTTCCCTCGGCCGTGTAAACATCATCGTCATCTCCCACGGTCGTCGAAACGTCATCGTCGTCTCCCGCGGTAACGGAAACGTCATCACCGACGTCCGCGACAGCGACAAAATAATGAAAATTTCTTGCGGTCGTGTAGACATCATCATTGACTCCCACGGTCACGGAAACGTCATCGTCATCTCCTGCGGTCACGGAAACGTCATCGTCGTCTCCCGCGGCCACGGAAACGTCATCGTCGTTGTCCACTATCGCGGCAAAACCGTGAACATTTCCCGAGGCCGTGTAGACATTATCATCATCATTGGTTTTTGCGGTTACGTAAACGCAATACGACGATCGCGGCAAAATCATGAAAATTCCCGACTTTAAAATCAAATTTAAGACTAAATCCCGACATTTCAAGACCATTTTGAAATTCAATACTAATTCCCGACTACTAGACACCCTGAACTCAACATATTTACAAATGGTTTTAACTGTGTTATGAGTTGAAAGATTATTATTATATAAACAAGTAGGGGTCCAAGTACAAAGCTCCGTGAGCTATGTAGCAATGCTGCAGTTAAATGCAATATTTCCATTTGACTAGTTCAGGTCAAATAATTTAGTTATTAACATACTTAAAAAAAAAAAAAAACGCGTTACAGTTAATTCAAGAACAAAACTTATGTATTATGATTTTGTTTTATAATTTCTTGATATTAAAGTTTTTCAATTATAAATCCTAAAGAATACTTACGTTGGTTCTAGAACATTTCCAGTAAAGATACCGTGGAAAAGTTCCTCTTCCTTGGAAGATGTGCAAGATCCTTCACTATCATCAATCTCAGTTCGTAGAGAGAAACACCCAAGAAGTCGTAATGTGTCGCAGAGACTTGTCATGCAAATCTGTTAACATGTAAATGATTACTATTTCAGATACTAAAGTCATAATATAAACAATAAATTTGCTGTGATAATTTTATTACTAAGAACCAGAAAATGCTCCAATATAAATGACATTCTGCCCAAAAAAAGTTAAATTTATTTTACCAATTGGCATGTGGCATTTAGTTTAATGAATCCCCCATGAAATGTTGTGTGGTTGATAACAACATTTTATCAACATCTTTACATATAAACATATAATTTTCATCAATTAAAATCACTGAAAAACTATTACCTCCAAATGAAAAAACTTGGCGTTAGCAGGCTCGAAGCGCATTGCAACAGTAATAGTGTTGAACACTGTGTGCAGCAGACTGAGAGTTTGTGACAGTGGGACAGAGTCCCAAGGTGGGACAGGGTTCTCCTTCAAACACCCTTCCATAGACACCAGCACACTCATGACGTACACAAAACCTCCCACTTTGCGGAACACAGTGCGAGTGCGGTGGCTTTCCTTCAGGCACATCAGCAGCGACTGAAAAACAATATTTTTGAACAATTTCAAAACTTCATATCCCTCCGTTCCCATTACCTTATCTTGCTAGTTCTATAAGTCGATCAAGTTTATCCAACTCTACACGTGCATACCAAATGTTATCAAAATCGGACCAAAATACGTAGGAATAGGTTTCATGAGTAAACCCTTGGATTTTTCTACTGTGATAGTTGATGTAACATAAAATTAGTGATGTGTCGGTACATCACGTCAAATGTCGGTTCCTTGGCAAAAGAACCGGAACCGAGAAACGATGGTGAAAAGTCGGTACCGGTACCTTTGTTACCGCTAATGCTGGCAAGTTACTGATATTGCCACGATCTTGAAAGATGATTTTGCCGCGATTGCGATCGCGGACGTCGACATCTACATGGCCGCAAGAGATGTTTATGATTTTGCCGCGATGTCGGGAGATGATAATGACGTCTACACAACCGTGGGTGATGTTCATGATGTTGCCGCAATTTTAGAAGATGATGATGTCTACATGGGCAGGGGAGATTTTCATGATCTTGCCACCATTGCGTAAAACAATGATGATGTCTACATGGCCGCGGAAGATGTTCATGATCTTGCCGCAACCGTGAAAAACAGTGACGATGTTTCAGTAACTGAGAAAGATATTTTGGATTTTGCAGTGATCTCAGAATACAACGATTATCACGATATTACTTTGAGTTTGGCCCGACTGAAAATATCAGGCTGGCACACCAGTACCTTAAATATGGAAGTTATTTCATGTGATAAGAAGGGTACACTTGGAAATTGGATAGTTAGAAAGTTTAATTCCTCTATAAATTTTTTACTTAAACACCCTAATAGCCTACTTCAAAAATACTTAGGCTAATAGAAAGACATAAAGACAGGGATTGTTGTAGTATAACCAATCCATTCAGAAAACTTGGTAAAAAAATGGTATGAGTATTAAGAATTGTTTGTTTTTTTAGATATCGGTATCGAGAATTGATAAATTTTGGTACAGATACACCAATTTCATCAAATATTTTTATCACGTCTACATTATATATTATTTTGATTTGAATGTGTGTTTTGGTTATTTAAGTGTTTTTCTTTTTACAAATGAAATAAGTTTTATTGTCTTAACACGTTCGCTGCTGAAAACCTTTACACAGGTGCCCCTAAACTGCGGCGAAGCCCCGGCGCGCTACTGAATCAGCGGTCGCTATTGGCATTGAAATATCTCAGTAAGACGAATCACAAAAGAGCAGTGGTGGTTGTTCTGCGTTACCCCGAATGTGGACGTAGTTCACTGAAACACCCAACGATAGCAGCACTACCTGGATCAATAACCTGAGTCTTTGTAATATGGCTCGAATTGTGAAAATCCCCAAAAACGGGACAAAAGCATTGCCAGACGGGATTTTACGGGAATGCTTAGTACACCAAAATAAAGAATATATCAAGAATATACCAAAATAAAGCTCGTATTCTAAACTACAGCCAGCCTGGCAACAATCACATTGTCGCCGGCCGAGTGCTGGGCTCAGACAGACGCAATATTTGGCAGGGGAGCACACTACTGATATAGCAGTACGCCGCAGCAAACGTGTTAATCCCTTAAGTTTTGTATTAAAACCAACCTATACTAATACAAAATACTGTAAAATTAAAATACGTATATATTTTGTTTTAAAAATAAAAAAATAGTAGCCTATCCTAGAAATTTAAAATAAGGTACCAATAGTACCGCAACCGAAAAATGAGAATGGATTTTGGCTAGAAACCGGTATCGGTACCGACTTTGAAAAAGTGGTACTAACCTATCACTACATAAAATACATTATAGTTTACAATAAGATGGCCTTCCAGTTTTGGCTTGGTAAAAAAGCTGGATTATTTCACAGAAATATTTAATACAATTAAAGTATTAACATTATGCTATCTTAAAACTGGAAGTAATGGAACTTTATTTTATTTTATTTTGCTTCCAACGGACCAAACAAACCAATTTACAATTATGTTTACAATAAATATTCAATGTTACTAATGGAACTGACAATTTATATTACACTACTAAGTGTGGACTTTTTTGTAGGACCCCAACAGTAAACAAAGAACTGTTCAAACATTCATATTTATTTTAAGGCACTTTCCTATTTAATATGTTGCCATTTGTAAGATTATAAGAAGTAATTATCTCAATAGTTTATGTAACAGAATGAAAGAATGGTTAGACAGCATAAATGGTACTTTGTAACTTTAGGAATGTTTTAAAATTAAACCTCATGTTGTTGTCTACCTTGTTAAATTGTAGTATATGTTTAGATATTTTGTGTTATATTAAAATTATTCTCTGTTTGTAAAAAAATTAGTTTGGTTTATTAATTTAGTTAGTTTTTGAGTATTAATCATTGTTTCTGTGAATATTCTATATATTCGTACCCCACATTACTTACAAGGCTGTCAAATAATTATGTTTAGATTTTAAAACTTAAAAGTATTAATTTATGTTATACAACAGATAGAAGCCAGGAGTAATAAGTTTAGTAACAGAACTTTTATGTTTATGTTGATAACAAGTTTTTGAGTATACTGATCACAGCTATAGGATAAAGTGGTAAGTTAATTTCTGAGATGTACTAATTTTTTGTTAAATTTTTGTTTTTGTGGAAATAAATTTATTCATTTACAGAAATCAGTAATTTACATCAGCACTATATGTCAACAGTCGTACCTTGAGTATGTGAGACTTGAGAGTGAGAGAGGCGGGGGGAGCTGAGTGCATCATCCCCAGCAGTGTGGCCATGTCATCCTCACCTCCCGAGGCCAGGATCAGCTCACGAATGATGCCTGCAACAAACATGTGCAACTGTTATGGGTCTGAAATGCATTGAAAAAGACACACCTTTTAATGTGGCCTTGAGTTATCTTCGTATTTTTTGTAACACAACCCTGTTAGGAGTAAAAGGTTTTTGATAATGTTGAGATCATTGATAGAAAAAACCTTTGATGGATTCTATCCATCTTCACAGTAATGTCAATATATCAAAATGATTTTCTACCGAGAACCACGGAACTAGCAACCATACAATGTAAATGCAATCAATGATATAATTATCTCAGAAATAACTGTTGTTTTGTTGTTAAATAATCAGATATGTTTAGTTAAACAGCAAGTTAACTTTCTACTAAGTATTCTTGAAGGTATTGAAGGATGCTAACATTTCAAATTAAATATTGATATTTCATTCTTAGAGTATTCCCAAAGAAAGGGTTTACAAAGGTAAATGAGGTGAGACTAGTTTTAAACTCAGTTCTTGTTTAATCATCCTCGTCTGTAATTTAAAATTAAAGTCAACTCTATATCATTTCATTGTATTTTGAAAAGAATAAATTGTGACAAATCAACTTAATACATTTACATTACGAGTACGACACATACATCATATAAAAAGCTATGCTAAATCAAAACTTTCAGCCTCGCATACCTCTAGTTCTAACTATAGTTACATTTTTTTTAAGGTATGACTATTGTGGATTAACTGACCGAGTGCCTGGTGCCGACTGTCCATGTACTGGACCAGACCGTGCACACACTTGGAGCCTCCACACTCCCTAAACACTGTAGCATTGGCAGGGTTGCCACTGAGTAGCACAGACAGACAGTTCATCACCAGAGTGGCCAAATGCTCGTCATCTGTTCTAATTATGTACTCTGCAACATTACACTATTGTGTATGAAAACTGAAATGATTCTCCGAACTTGTTAAACACTCCTCACAATGTGTGGCGGGCACGGGACAAAACTCTTGCCAGATAAAAAAAAAACTGTTGGAGATCCAGAGGTGTTCTGAACAAATATATGTTACTGTTCTCTGACTACCAATAAGTTAAAACCATGTATAACAACTGTACACAATCATTTTAAGCTTGTTTGAACCGTCCAACACCGGTTGTGAATTTTTACCTCATTTAAACTTATTCCCATAATACCATCATGTAAACTTAAACTTTGTTCAAATAAACATAGGTTTACATATTTTACACCAAATTTCAACAAAAACAGATAAATTTTATTACAGTTGATGAACACACATACACATATAACCCCATCTTCGTACTTTTGGCAGTTTTCCTGACCCTGTAGAGAGAGGAAGGAAACTTATTTTACGCACACAGGTAGCCTGTAGTGTTAGACTCCTGAATTGATCTGACAACTGACTAAAAACCCCTCTACTTTGTTGGACACAGCTAATTATGAATGTTAATAATCTTAAATAAATGATGTATTGATCAAGAGATACATCCTACATTCTATATTGTATATTGATCCATTAATCATGAGGTGAAACTGCACATCCATGTTAGCCGATCATCGTTTGTGTTTCCGGGAAGCAAAGGACGACTTTTACAGTCGTTTTTGTGAGTTTGACTTCTTGAAAAGATGACTTTCGATACATTGTGGGAAAGGTAAATATTGGGCATGAAATAATATGATAGACATATCAGTAATGTTTTTCATGACAATAAAACAAGCCTTAAAGTATTAAATAGTGTGATATTGTTGTTAATAGTGTTTTATTGTTGTACATCTCTAATTTGCCTATATAAGACCTAAATTATAGGCCTATATCTAGGCTATACCTTTATAGCTTGTATGCAGTCAGTTATATTATACCATCGTTGGTATCAGTATTTAGAATTAAGAATCTACTTTTCAGATATTCGTATCAAGAATCAATGAATTTCGGTATTGACATATCTCTAAAAACATTTAACATTTCAAGATACTGTCATAGCCTTAGAGTTTCATTAAAAAGAAAAAATCAAAGATTTTCAAGAGTTCAATGACAACCACATTTCTGTAGGCTACATCGACATACCATTTCCATTTTCAGCAGCTTGTTGTTTAAGTTTCAAAATATTGGCGTAGCGTTGTAGACATGTCACAAACACCTCTAAAATGCCTACTTCTCGGTAAACATCCTTGAATATTGAATTGTGCCTACAACAGAGAAGTATTTATTTACCTGTAAACTTTATTGTGATGAAAACTACCAAACAGATTTGGCGAGAGAGAATGCAAATTCAGTTCAAGCCTTTTAACAGAAAATATTCATCAATCAATCTTATTCTTTTGAAGGTTCTTCGTACTTGGCAGTTTAGTTTTCCAGACCATGCAGGGTGCAACAAGTGTCTACCCTCAGTATGACCGTAATAATAGGCTAATCAAATACTGTCCTATTTCACCAAACACTTTGAATATTTCCTTTTTAGAAAAAAATTAATATTGTCCATACCATGATCTTTAGCGTTTAGGCACAGTTAATCTATACTTATAAAAGTCAAATACTACTTACTCACTGATCACTATATCACAAAAACTACAAGCCAAAAAAAGTCAGGAATTGGCATGGAGGTTCCAATCAACCTCTAGGTGTGCGAAAAATCGCTTTTTCAAGAAATTTTATCAGTGTTCTGTCCCAGTGGCTTTTGAAGTTCCCATGTTATCCTTATGAAGAAAAGATTTGTTTACGTTTGAAAACATGAATACTTACTTTTGAATCTACACTATTAATTTAATATATTATTACATGAAATGAAAATATTTACATTATTTTTGTGGCTTGAAATAGTATATTTTGTTACTAGTCCTGAAAATAGGTGTTTACCGGACCAGTGTGGTCAATCCCATGCAAGGCGAAGTTGGACAAGTGACGTACAATATTTTACGCCATACTACTCTAAGCTAACTTACAACAAAAAAGCTAACAATAAAAAAATCTGTACATATCCTTATATATTGACACCGAATGAAGGACTAACAATCACTACTCATAACCTCTTAAGAGATGTTATGTTTTTTTTATAACCACTCATTGCCAAATATAATCAGCTAGTTTTGACTCTATAACCCCATTTGGTTAAGATGGCTGCAAACAGCTGTTTTCTGGACTAAATCCTTGCGTGGGAAGTTGGTTTAAACAGCGTAGTGTGGCGTAAAAGTGTTTTACTGCATAACACCATGGATAAAACATATACTCCCTTAGTAGATTTCTCATCCTTAAGGAACAGCTGAAGCCAATTTCATAGAGGTCGTGTTTTGGTTAAAATTTGTTTTTTTTTATTTCAGTAATTTAAAACCTCGTTTAACCAAATAATACAACCTAATCATAAACAATATCTCGTTCCCTAGTTATATAGCCAAACAGTACAGCTCAAATCATGAAATTAACCTTAAAGTAATAGAAACAAATTTTTGTCGACACTAGCGCCCTGTGTACATTAACTAGACAAGAGAAATAAGCTTCAAAATTTACAATGGGATGAGAAGTCTACTTGTGTTGGTTAACATATGATAACACATTTTTCATAGTTAAATGAATTAAAAAATCAAGAAGTGTAGGCCCTACTCAGGTTGAACATTTTATAATAACACATAGAAAATTGAAAAAGTTATGTAAATATTAGTGATGGGCGGATCCAAGAAAATGTCGGTACCGGATCCGGATCCAGATCTTGAAAAATTCGGATCCGGATCTTCGGATCTCCGGATCCGGATCCAGATACCATCGAGGTAGACTTCTGGAGTGATCGCTAAATGGGGCAAAAACGGTCCGTGCTGGAAAGCGGTGGTAGGCAAGAACGAATTCGGGCGTATTTCAGTATCGTGCGCGCTGCAGTTTACTCGCTGTTGTAGCTCGACGGAAAAGCTCCAGTCAAATAAAACTTATATATTCTTAATCTACATAAACATCGGATTCTGACAGTATAAATATCTTTTATTGTAATAATTATTTCGAATTTTAATAATTGAAAATATAGAAGACTTACCAGAGACTGACATGGAAAAGTCACTAAGTGAGGAAAATTTTTATTTTTGGGTTACAAACAAACTTCTAGCGGGAAAGTTGTAGCCAATGAGTTGATCTTAACTTTCAAATCAACCAATTTGTGATAAAATGATTGCGTCATTATTAAATCGTTTGGAAACGAGCGTGGGACGGTACCGCGCCGCCACCGCGCGGCCACTCCCGGAGTACCCGGTCCCGGTTGTGTAGCTTTGTCGATATGCATTTTCAGAAAACAATCTAGAACGTTTATTAATAAGTATTTGTATAGGATCTTATCGAAAATACATACTTTCCTTTCCACATGTACTTAAGGAGTAAAATTAACAATCAAGTTTAAGATTAAATTTATAAATTTGTTTTCAGCTAAACAAACGACCAATGTTCATTCAAATTAAATTGATTATTTGCCATACTTTAAAAACAAGAAGAATATTTGGAGATTTTAACGGGTAAATTTCATGAATGACAACCCGAAATCTGGGATTTTTCGTGAATGCAGTGGTAGCACTGCCAGGCATTGATAGGATCGAGATGTTTTTTGTTTGTTTACGAGCAGCGCACACTTGAGTTGGGCGTCTTATCATCTCTGCCATCGTTTGTTGATATTTTAATGCACTGGACTTTCAGTTTTAAAATGTTCCCAATGTTCCAAGATGGTAACATCATGTGCAGCTATTAATTGTACAAATAGGCAAGCAAAGGGGACGACCATCGGATTCCACAGGAAAATAAATACAAAGTTTTCGGATATATTGTAAAAAATTATAGGTTTAATGTCTTGAATAATATTTCAAGTGTTTTTGAAACAATTTCCTATTTACTTAATTTAAATTATAGTAGATTGGAAATAATAAGCGTTAATAGCAAATTTTGACCATTACAACGCCCGGCTGTCCCTCGAAAATTGTGCAATCCAAACGGAAAATTTTTATTTCGTTTATTTTTATTATTGTTGTTTTGAGACCAGCTCAAGTAATAATCTACTTGCAATTAATGTAGCTTTTCTCAAAATATACTACTTTTCCCGAGTTTAAGGAGTTTTAAAAACCACCCAGCAAATGGTTTAGACGAAGTAAACCATCGAGTAATGCTAATTAAAGCAATTGGTAGTTATTTTTAAAGGTAATTGGCCATCACAAAGCCAGGGAAGCTACAAGTGCTTCCAACTTGCCTAATCTTGGGTTAAGACAAAAATTAACCAAACTGATTTTGTTTAGAAATGTTTAGGATTTAAGATCTAAAAATCTAGACATAAATGTTATTAAGGTGTTAATGTTTGTATATAATGTTTTTTATCTTATTTGAGTTCAAATAGATAATGTAGCCTATATTTAATAATAATAAATTATTTTGATTCGTTGAAAGTGTTCTTATTGCCTTTTATTTCATTTTAATTTATAAACATGAGACCAATCTCTAATTATTACAGTAATTGGACTGTTATGACCCTCTATCCAAATTTATTTCAAAAGCCAAAAAATGTTTAAAAATATTATACAAATGTGTCAGGGAAATATTCCAATTTGTTTTTAATAAAATAAAATAAAACATGTCACTGACAAGAAAATTACACTAAAAGTTGAAGTTAATCGTGTTTTAAAAATATACCTGATGTGAAAGTAAGAATGAAATTAATTCCGAAAGAACCACAATCTATTAGAGAATACAATTCAATCGTTCATTTGTCCTAAAAAAAATCATGTCGTCTGGAAACAAAATAAAAGTAGACGCGCGTCGCGATTTTCCCTATCCCGCCCATCTTAGCGCTGGCGTTCTTGCCTACCACGGGCTGCTCACAGCTACTCGCGGCCGGACCGAAAAACGGTTCGCTTCAACACGGGCGCGATCACTCCAGAAGTCTACCTCGATGCCAGATACACATTGTCATAAGGGTGGGTAAAAAAAAACGTAATTAACAAAATGCCAATTTAAATCATACGGTTTAAAATATTATTGGTTATGTTTAAAGGTTAATATATCTTAAATATAGAGTAGTCTCCAATTGAGCTCATAATCCCTCATTTTTTGGGGACACTAACAAAATCATAAAATGCACTAAGTTTGCACGACCACCAAAAGGGTATCTGTGTATATTTTACAATAGTTCGATCTTCAGTATGCTATATCGTGGTTTTTGCATGCAGCTTCCAATTTATTTATGCCTGGATCACCGAAATTTTTTGGATCCGATCCGGTGCCGGTCGGATCCGACCATCCCTAGTAAATATATTTTAAATAATTTTTGAAATACAACGATTGTTTTGTGTTGAACCACCTACTTTCTGGAATCAAATGCATTTGCAGCAAGGCTACTTATTTAAATGAACTCAAAACTCACTAAATTAGTTTCTCTTTTTTAATAAGGGGGATGGTTTTAAAACAAGCAGTGACTGATCTATCTGATTGGTCCTAGTTATTTCCAAAACATTTGAATATTTGAATACAATAACATAGTACACAAACAGTTTTTAGACTTTTTTTAATGAATATTATTTCTTTTTACATTTTAGTTCAGTTTTTGCAAATTCAAATCTACAATTTATGTGGTTGACACAGTAATAAATTAAATTTTACATACAAGAAAAAAATTGAATCTCCTCTGAGAGTCAAGTTATCATGGGATAAACGGGCTTGAGCTGGGTCTAAGGAGTAAATCTGTTTGGATGGAAAATGTCACTAACCATTAACCAGATGTGTGGCACGCCCCAAAAAGTCAATTTTTGATCTTTGACTTAGTTATGAATAAATTTCAGTTATTAAACAAGCCATTAACTTACTTGACTATGTTGAGCAATGTTTGCATACAGACGATGCTGCAGCTGATGGAGTGTTGACTTTTCAGCAAGATAGACAATGATATAAGTTCTTTGCAGGGGACAAAGTTGAGGTGAAATACTATGAACTCTAACAACTGAAAAAACTTTTCCTGCAACAACAAAAAATCACGCATTAGTTGGTAAACTGATTTCTAACTATCAAGTTATAAAACCAATCTATCGTTTAACACTGTCTTGAAAATGTATCTAGGATAAATTTGTTTCTTTACTTCAAATTGCTGAATTTACAGTGAACCTTCATTAAAAAGACCCTCAGTAGAATGTCTACCTATATCTACTAAAACACATGTATAACCAGTCTGAGATTCATATTTTGAGCATTGTATTATTTGAGATTTTACTTTTCGTTCTTCTTTATTCAAATAAACTGATTTTTTTCATAATCTATTTAAAATCTTTCCAGCTTATTCAATAGAGTAAATACTCATCCCACCGGCTTCAAAACTTAGAATATTAAATTAAACATTCCTTCACTCATTGACCACAGTCAATTAATAACGGGAAAATGATGAACAATTACTTGTGAGATTGTGGAAACTGTACTCCTTGTTTTGAGAAGGTTGTAATGGTAATTAAAAAACTTCCAATAACTTGCATCATAACAACAATACTATGCATAGCTTATTAATCACGTTTTTTAGATAATAAGTAACAAAGGATAGACATTTTTGCATGACAGATTAAATAATAAGACTCTGATCCATAACAGACTTCTTTACACTAAATAAACCTTCCAGGCACAACTGGCAGAGTTAAGGTATTTCAGGCAAACTTTCACAGACTAAAAGAGGCTGGGGATGCTTGGAAAATTACCATAACTGTTAATAGATTTTGTCTATTTTAGAAGCACTTCAGTTACCCTAACTATAAAGGAGTTTATATTGGTGTTCAGTAATATTCAAAACAACTTATGTATGCTTATGTAAATGTAAACTTGTGTAAATTTATGCAATTCGTAAAATTGTGCAATTTATTCTTGTGTAAACTTATGTAAACTTATGTAAATGGATGCACGAGATGCATTTTTGGTCACAGAAACCCCCTATATGCGGGAAATATAGGGACTGCAACATGCTTATCTTGAAGATGATAACCAACTCAGTGTTATCACCTGTATTTCTTGTGTCTTGTGGTGTATCTTCTCAGCGAACTGCGGCAGTGTGTGTTGACTCTCCAGTATGAAGTAGTTGGCGTTGTCCGAATGGTACACACTAGAGATGGCGTCCAGAATTGTACAACACAGAACGGGACAGTTGGACTTGATAAACACGGTCTGCAGTACTTGGAATGCTTGAATATTGCGCACACTTGCCCCTGTCGGTAGAACAAAGTTATTGAGCTTCACATCACTAAACAAGTTTTATGTTGCAATTTTTGCACCAGCTAATGTGGTTTGGATTTGTTACCGGTAGTTTAAAATCAAATCAAATATGTTGTAACAATCACCAGCAATGAATATAATATTGAGCGACTTACTGAGTTAGTTGATTTCTAAATAACACCCAAACAAAAAATAAATCTTTGCTTAAGTTTGAAAGACCACATTTTGTAACTTAAAACTGCTATATATTATGATGAGAAATAAACACAAACTAAAGTCAATAATTTGTTGCTAATCCAAACCAAAGACAAATGTTGATAAAAATGTTTTGTTATAAAGATTAAAAGGAAATTCAAACTCTTTCAAGTTATGAAACATTGAGGTAACTTTTAAATAAAATTTTTTGCAACTTATTTCATTTGTTAACTTTATTTATTCATTTATTGTATGTAAACACAAATGTTCGGACAGAGTGCCTTTGTCTATTAATTGTGATAATGATAATAGTGATTGTTGTAATATAACACATGTGTACACTAGTATGAAGTAAAGCACCACTGGAAGCAAGGGGGGCCATATATGAGATAAGCATGATCATTGCACTTGCAGAAGTCAATTGTATTATAATAAATAGGTATTTTAAAAGCCACGTAAATGATGATAGTAAGGATTACCAATCTACTGAGTAATACCACAAAATGTCCAACCGCTATGAGGAACAACACTGCGGGATGTGTGGTAAAAGTACATAATAGTTTTACCAAGATATGCACCTCTTCCCTGCGGTTGGGGCAGAGTGAATCCCATCATCTTGAATAGAGAGCCGTTGCTGGCAGGGCTGGGCCTCAGTTCTGTGTAACCACACATACACAGGCTAGCCACCATCAAGACAAGGTTGCGAATAGCCTCCCCTGCCTCCGACGACTTGTCCTGCTCCAACCTGAGGTAAACAAACAATTACTAGGTAGAGTGTTCCTTCACATTAATATAAATTATGCATATTGTGATTTGTAGACAATTTGAGGACTTAAATCAACAGAATCGACTACTCTACTAAAAATGTGTTATTCACTTCTGTACCGTACCCTGAAACACACTGTGCACAATGTGTGTGTTCTGTTTTCATTTCTGTCTTATACTTATGTGTGTTTTCACTGTTTTCTGTGTGTTGTGTTGTTATTCTGTTCTCTTGAAATTCTTGGAAGTAGCAAATGTATTTGGCCTGACTGAATATTACAAATCAAATATGAGCAGGTGACAAAAATAGGCATTGAGCCCAAAATTTACTAACTCCAGTAATTATAAAATTATATTGATTAACAGCATTCAAAGTCATGTTATTTAAACTTTTAGAATTGAATTACAGTATACATAATTACTTCTTTCATTTAGCCTAATAGTAACACTCACTTGAGTAAAAAGTCTGAGAGGAATACATATCCCTGGCAAGTGCGAAAGTCATCCAACAAAGTCTGTGCGACCTCACTCGAGTCCTTCAGAAAACAGAAGACGGCAACAAACATTTCCACAATCTCCAGGGGAGACAGTTCTTGGCCTCTCTGCATGTTGTCAATGCAAAGTGCCACACATCCCTTGGCTGCAAATAGATCAGTGAGTAGTCAAGTGAAAACAAACACAAATAATAACTACTGAGTAATATTTCTAGTAGGGATGTGTTGATTCTCAATACTACCGATACTTGGACATTGGCATCCGTATCAAGAATCAATCGTCAAAAGTCAATTCCGATACCGACACCCGTCACGTCTGCGAATCTACACAATCACGAAGAGAATAATGATGTCTACATGACTGTGAGAGATGTTTCTGTTACCGCTGAGCAATTCATGATCATTCCACGACCGAGAAACACAGTGATGTATCCCTGACCGAGGAAGATATTCAGGATTTGCAATGATCCCAAGAGACGACAATGATGTCTCCACGACCGTTGGAGATGATCACGATATTACCTCGAGTTTGGCTTGACTGAAAATATCAGTCTGGCACACATCTAGTTGTTATAATAACATTTTTTTTCACTTGTAGTTTTTAGATCTTCATTTACTCTTAATAAGGTAGTTATTTGTAATTAGCTGATTAGAACTGTCTATTCTGCTTTAATTTATTCTTTACTGGAGAAACACCCAATTACCTCAAAAATACTTTATGGAAGGAAGTAAAGACATGAAATAGTGTATTATAACCAATCCATTAAAAAAAAAATGTTTTACTAAAAAAATTGTATTGGTATCAAGAATTGATAAATTTTGGTATCAACATTAATTAAACTAATCACTAACTTTTCCTATTCACATGTGTTTGAGTCAAGAACATTTTAGATTTGTCTTAGTGTTCAAAATATGTGCATTTCATTATACACCATTCCATGGGCATCCATCTAACTTTTCCATAAGGGGGACTAGGAGGACTGGAGGGTACGGAATAACCCCCATTAACTTTTATTCTTGGGTTATTCTGTGCCCTTGTGTTCAGGAGCTTCTGGAGTCCCCCCCCTATGTTTTTAAAAAGTTTAAGTAAAAACTGTTTGATTTTAGGAGTTTTGCTCACTAAATTTGCTTAGGCTAACTAAGTATTGTAAATTTATAGTTTGTGCATGATTTTGAGAATCTGTAAAAAGTTGATTAACATAGGGTCTTAAACAGACTTTACTCCCCCCTCTTGCTAATAGATGCCCATGCACCAGTCACAACAATCCAACAGAAGAAAGGGAATAAAACAAGTTTGACTTACTGTGTATGTAACTAACGACAGGCTTTGAAAGACCGTGACGAGATATAGTCATGAGCACTTCAGCAGCAGACTTGCGCCACAGAACATTATACTGAGGACATCCACTAGTGATGGCTGAGAAGAGAAGGGTCAGATCATCCTTGCGAGACAATTCTTCAGCAGGGGAGGCATGACTACAGAGTCGCACCAACACCTTCAACATCATGACAGTCTCACCTTACAAATCATGCTTTGAAGCCACTCTTTTTGTTCTGACTGACCAGTTTACTGGAGAAAGCCATAACAGGACAATTATCAGCTATTTAATCTTGATTAATTGTGTATGTCAGCTGAGAAATCAAATTTAATTGTGACGGCAGTCCGTTGTGGAATGCCGTATTTCATTTATTTAGCAATACCCAGGGAATCCATGTAGCTCAGGGACTTTTTTTGCTCTAGACAAAATCTTGACTTTCAGACTACAGTTTTCATTCAGCCATAAGAAATATACCAAACCACTCTATTAAATCTTGTTTTTATTCAAGGGATGGATAAATTGTAACAGTGAACTGTGGAGTGAAGTCTCTTTTAGTCTGGTCTCAAGTGGTGTAAGTTATTATTGGTACCACTGATGGAGTCTGTAATGTACAAATGGTTTATTCATATACTCAAAGGTTATGTTTTTAGGAAAAAGCATTTAGCTTGGATTAAATAAATAAATATAGGATGGAGAGGACACAGCTAACTCACCTGATGAAAGGTTGCAGATGAGTCAAAGAACACATAAAATCACACACATAATTTACTTAATATTTCGCCTCTTTCAGAGGCTTCTTCAGAAGTAGGCCTGGATGGTAGTTACAAAACAACAGTTGTTTTGTTGTCAAAACTGTTGTTTTGTAACTACCATCTAGGCCTACTTCTGAAGAAGCCTCTGAAAGAGGCGAAATATTAAGTAAATTATGTGTGTGATTTTATGTGTTCTTTGACTCATCTGCAACCTTTCATCAGGTGAGTTAGCTGTGTCCTCTCCATCCTATATTTATTTATTTATTCATATACTCAGAGAGTTTCGTGTTTAGTTAGACATGAACAATCAACAACCAAAGAATATATATGTTTCAAACTTGCATAGATTATTTCCCCTAGAGAACATTTGATTCCAATTGAATTTTTAAATGGAGTTTTAAATAATTGCAAATTTGTCTGCAAAATCAACAAAGATTAAGCACAAGAGGATTTTAACAACAACTTCATTGATGATTTTTTTTGGTATAATAAGCCCAAGATATTTTAATAGGCAATCTTAGTGATGAATACAATCTTTAGAAAATATTTTTGTATGTTATCAATAAATGATCTAGGCCTATACATTGCTGTTTTCTTAAAGTTCTCTATAATTAATGTGCAGAATAAGTTACAAAATATAAACTCTAAAAACTTCAACAGAACCAGAATAGAAACAATGGTTGATTATTCTAAGAGGTATATTTTAGGAATACAGTTGTAAATTTCATATAATGTTTTTTACCTGAACAAATATTTTTTGTAGAAGTATTCTTCGCTCTCTTGGAGTGAATTCACTATCAGTTTGGGAGTTATCAGGGTCTGTCATCTCAGGCAAGTCAAAGAACAGGTAGAGACATTTGACTAGTGTTGAAGGTAAAGAGACCGAAGTCATGACCTAAACAACAACAAAATCCAATTACTACCACTTGTTGATGACTTGTTGATGTTCAACATCAACCTTGATATTACAAATCTGAACAGAACAAACAATAAATGTGCCATACAGTAGCCCCCAAGTTTCAGTTATCTGGGCCTACCTGTGGACAAGAAGAATAGGGACAACCCCCCCGACACTGACACTGCCACTTATTGTACTCTGAAGTACTTGTCACGTTTTAGGAGCCTACACTTGACTGACTGTACTTTCCCTTGTTTTTGTATGCTGGATACCACGATAAATATATAAATATGAACCACAAAACTCACCAGCTCTTCATACCTATGTACCTCTCTCTAGTATCTCTCATGGCATAGTGCGACAGAGCCCTGTAGCTGAGAGGATATGTAGCACTTCAAACTATTTTACACTTTCAGTATTAGATTAGTGTTTTGACTTTGACTTTCATTTTTAACCATAGTGATGACTTTAAACAGTTTTTAAAACGTTTATTTGGTTATTAAGTTTTTATTAAACATGTATTATGGAAGTTTTCGATGATTAAATATAACATTAAAAATTTGTTTACAACAGTTTATTTCACTAATTGACCTTTCTGTTTATCTGTTTTTGCATTGTCCAGCTTAGGTAGGATAATTGATAATAGTCTACTATATCAACACTATATTATTTTGTAACTTACCAATGCATTCTTTAGGTTGAGGCTCGTTAAATTGAGCTATGATCTTATCTTAGTATAATGATTCACATAACAAAAACCTACTCGGGCTACTTCATAACTGTTCAGTTATAAATAACTACTACATCCTAACTAAATTAAATCTTTCAATGCTGGCTAATGTTGTTATGGAATGCTTGCTGGGATTCAGACATTTATCATTCATAAAAGTGGTTCATTTTTACTAAAAATGGGTCATTTTACTAGAAAAACTAAATTTTAATACCTTAAAAGTGTGTGGGTAAATAATTTTTAATAAATCCTATAAAAATCAGAAGTGTACAATATATAGAGATGTCAACTAAAACTAGAAATATGTTTCAATGGTCACTTTTAAAAACAACATCGTTGTCTTCAGGGTTAAACAGTGTTAACAGGAAACTTGAGCTAAAGTTTCAGCCCCGTAGCTCATGGCTATGTCTAGAGCAATGGAGCACTACAAATAAAATTAATGCTACAGCAAGTTTAAGGAGAGACAAAAACATGACAATAAGAAATAATATTATTAAAACCTAAAGTTATGTTATAGGGTAGAGACCTGGATGAGGGCCGGGTCTCCAGCTGCAGCTAGCAAGTTGAGAGTTGACAATAACATCCAGCCATTGCTGACCTCCTCACTGCCTTCTATCTCGAGGAAGTGAGCGATGGCACAACTAGCCGCTTCTGTGGATTGGTTGGAGGCTCGCCTGCGTATCTCACTCACCATCAGCTTGGACACTTGGTGACAGAATGCTGACATGTCTCTGAACTTGTCTGCCATGTCTGTACACGGACTGTTGCCAAACACCTGCACCAGATAAGAGAACAAATAAGAGACAATTAAAATATGTTCATCTGAGGAACAGGGCAGTCTTGCCAGGTTAGGACTGTTCTCCAGCCGCCTCCTGCATCGTTGCACTTAAATGAAGTACAGGCTGGTTTCCGTTATCTTAAACAACATCTTTTCTCGGGATTTATGTAAACAAAGAGTGTGTTTGTGAGTAAAAAAACTCCTTGATGACGTCCAAGTAACCGACTTCTGTTAAAACGTGATATTGTCGACAATGGCATCTAAGTGATCATGACGTATTTCGAATTTAAACCTTAGTTGTAACGACATCTAATTTGCACTGGGATGAAAATTAAGTTAAGTAAACCACTGTATATTGTTGCCTCGACAGTTCAGTTGTAAGCCACATGGTTGTTTGACATTCCTTCTGTTTATAAGCCTACATGAAATCTTATGATTAATTTGTAGAAAAAAAACATGTACATTTGTATTTATACTTTCAAAATCCTGTAAAAAGCCACTTAAACCCTAGAACCATACATTTTATGGCCGATCAGGGTCCGTTCAGCAGTGCCATAGATAAAAAATGACTGACTCCAGTATTTTACATAAATACTGCTAATAAATGGATTGACTTGTATTAAGCATAGATGTAAATGTAAGCAAAGATGTTGGCTACCCTGCTAAATCGCCTGTAATATCTTTTTTTGGTTGTCAATGGTGAAATTCTTGGTTACTTTCTCTGCTGACTTGACAACTCCCAGTCAGCTAATGAGTCATTTTATCAATAAACAAACAAAAAGCTAGGGGTGTGGGTGAGTAGTAAATTCAAGAGTCAGGTTTAAAGAAATCCTGTGACCTTTGAGCTTTTTCAAGTGGAGTATTTTAATAGTAAGCTGAGCAAGGGGCACGCACGATGGCTTCAAAATATCAAAATAAATCTTCCCAAAACGATGAAATAGGTGCAATATCAAAAAAGATTACAGTTTAGCAACTTTTACGTGACAATGCTTCTGCGAAGAAGTGGGGCATTGTGCGAGAGCCCCTCACGTCGACTTAAGAAAAATTATATTATATCTTTTTTATATTATCAGCAAGTTTGGTTGGTTAGGTTAGGTTATGACAGCTTAATTTTATAATAAAATATTTTAAAATTAATTTTATAACCAAACATCATAAGTAAACCATCATTCGATTTTTATCTTACATATTTTTTATATTATCAGCAAGTTTGGTTGGTTGTGTTAGGTGATGACAGTTTAATTTTATAATTAAAAATTGTAAATTGTCTTGTTGTTGTTGTTGTTGTTGTTTTGCTTATAATAAAAAAAAATTCTCAAGTCGATGTGAAGAACTCTTGCACAATGCCCGACTTCTTCGCAGAAGAGGTTTACATCGGCTTCTGACCAGGCGCCTGAGACGCTAGTCTCGGCGCGCGGAGTCACTTTTGATGTTGAAGCTACTTGGACAGTTGAAAACTCGGACGCTTGATATGTTTCGATAATATTATAATAATTTAAAACCTCAGACAAATGAAAGCTCGGACAGTTGATTTAACCAAATATTACTATTATTTAAACTTAAACCATCCTCGGGCAAATAAAAACTCGGACAAATGATAATTTAATATAATTTTAAATAATTTAATAAACTTGGACAAATAAAAAATCAGACAGTTGATTTATCTTATTAGTAATAATAAACTATAACTATTATAGTTATAATAAACCTCGGACAACTGATTTTTCCAATATTTTGTAATTTTCAACAAACTTGGACAAATGAACCTCAACCTATAAAATAGAAGATTTTATTCTGATGGACTAGAAATATTTTACAGACTGAATTCATGTTTGAGCACAAACCTGATGGCTTTCATTAATTTTATCAGGGTCATTATCTTATTTGTTGTTTTTTGATGATTAATTTTACTTTAGTTTGGAGTAAAATTTTTAGTTCTGTAAATTTTGTAGTTATAGTTTACTTATTAACATGATGACACTCTTATCTTTATACTTTGTACTGCAGTCTCATTGTACTGCACACTTGTATGCGGATGATTCCCAGTTGCACTTGTCTTATGAGCCTGGTTACATGAGTGAGGCCATCGACAAGATCAACACTGATCTGGAGAACATCTCCAAATGGTCTAGCATTAATGGGCTTAGGCTAAATCCAGACAAGTGCACTGTACTTCATACTGCACCTGTGAACCTAGTACAGACACTAAGAGATAATAGCTTGAGCATCAATCTTGATGGCAGGAGTTTGGCGGTCTGTGACAAAGCCAAAACTCTTGGCGTCATTATTGACAGAAATTTGAATTTTAAAGATCACATCACGCATGTCTCCCAACGAGCAATAGGAAGACTGATAGGTCTGTATAGGTTCATAGGTATGCTGCATGAGGCTGCAAAGCTTCAACTAATGCAGTCACTGATATTGTCAGTAGTCTACTACTTCTTCCCTGCATATGGCAATAGTGTCACTAAGGAAGGCATGTGCAGAATACAGCAAATCTCTCCTCTGGTTTATCTTATAAATAAATCATTTAAAGAAGGCAAATTCCCATCCGCCATAAAAGTCAGTAAAATATACCCCAAACATAAAAAAGGACCAACTGAAAATGCTCAAAACTACAGGCCCATCTCTCTCATCTCCAGTTTCTCTAAAATCATAGAAAAAATTGCTCTGGCTAGATTAATGGCACATCTTAATCATAACAAACTCTTAACTGACAGCCAACATGGCTTTCGGAAGAATAAATCTACATCCTCAGCTATAACAGCACTAATTGAGTACGTCCTAGACCAGATAGAAAACGAACAATACATTTCCGCCATCTTCCTTGATTACAGTAAGGCTTTTGACTGCCTGGGCCACGACCTGATATGCAAGAAACTCAAAAGACTCGGTATAAGAAACTCTGCGCTAGAATGGTTCAAAAGCTACCTAACGGGACGTTCACAAGTCGTGGAACTGAAAAACTCATCAAATGAAGTCACAGAAAGTTTCAAATCTTCAAAAAGCAAGCTGACGAGAGGAGTTCCACAAGGCTCTGTATTAGGCCCGATTCTATTCATCTTATTGACTAATGACTTCCCCAAACAAATTGAGAGTGAAAATGCTGTTGCAATCATGCATGCAGATGACACAACCATTTTGATCAAGGACAACACAGCCCAAAACCTTTACCTTAATTCAAAATCGATCCTAAATAAAGCTTTCCTCTACTCAAAGAACAATGACTTAGCAATAAACCCCACAAAAACTACAACTCTGAATTTCAGTAAGAAAAAAGACATAGTCCCTCAATTAGAGGATGTAACAATAGAAAACCACACAAAATTACTCGGTGTTATCCTTGATAACAAACTAACATGGAAAGAGCACATCAACCACTTAAGCAAAAAATTCAGTACTGGAATATATGTCGTCAGAAGAATAAACTACATAGGCGGACTCTCCGTGGCCAAAACAGCTTACTTCGCACTGGTAGAGTCGCATCTTAGATATGGCTTGACAGTGTGGGGAGGAACTTCAAAAAAAAATATGAATCGACTTCTTGTCCTTCAAAAGAAAGCCATAAGAGCCCTCACCAACCTTGTCCCACCACAGACTTGCAGACTAGCATTCGCAAACCTAGGAATCCTCACAGTGGTGTCTCTCTACATACTTGAATCTATAAAGTATGTGAATGAAATAAACCCCCCAAGAAACCGAGACCTGCACCACTACAACACCCATCATGGCTCCAAATTTGCACTACCAGTTCACCGAACAACTCTTTGAGAGAAAAAACCTTCCTACACCGGCTGCAAGCTGAGGAACCATCTACCTGACTACCTGAGAGACCTGACTGGCAACAAGCTACACCAGGAGTTAAAGAAGTGGCTAATCGCAAGACCCTTCTACTCAATAAAGGAATTTTATGAAAATTAACATGTACAATTCACTATTGTATTGACACTATTGTAATTCTTGACGAATTAACAATAAAGAATATTGTATTGTATTGTATTGTATTGTATTGTAAATTCAAAGCACAACAATCAGATTTGTATTCTGCCTTAAAAAATTTGATCATGTTTCCCCTTTCCGTGAAGCAGCCGGAATGTTATCCATGAAAGCCATGTGCAGGCTTTTGACGTGCTGCATGACTCACAGGGTACTGACTCTCCATGAGCCAGACTATCTTTGTGAGAGGCTTTCTGTCCGGGATGAGATCATACCACGTAGGACTTGTCAAGGTGGGAGGCTTCACTTTCCAAGGGTCACCTTGGCATTGGGAAAGAAAAGTTTCTCATATTTCGGACCCACATTGTACAACGGACTACCCGAGAGCCTAAAAACCGTTGCATCCAGCAATACCTTTAAGTTTAAGTTTAACAAGTTTTTAAAACATATAAATGTTTAGTTGTAAGTACAGTAGTTTAATGACAAAAGTTGTTCTGAAAAACTGATATGTATCAGAGAAAGCTGGCTAACAAAGACGTTTTTATTTATTTATTTACTTTTCAAAATGTTATTAGTAAACAAAGAATTTGAATTTATTTTGGAATGGAAAATATTGGATTCTTGTTCAGTCGTTTGTCACATACTTATTTAATCTGTATGGTATTGTAATAACTCTGTAATCATGTAAAAATGGTAAATCCGTTTGGATCTAAAAAATTAAATAAGTAAAAAAACTTAAATGAAGTATTGATTTTTTCTGTTAGATAACATTTTTTAAACATATAGATTATTTAGTTTTATTAGAGCAAATTACAATAACGAGCTTATTATGCTTCACAAGTAGGCCTATATCAACATTTCAATCCTTTTTCAATGCTTTTAAATAACTTAGATTTTGAAATTCTATGAGGTTGTATAGTTGATGTAATTTAGCACAATAACACAAAAACTTAAGTTTGAAAGAGATTTCCCAATACAAAATATTAAACTAAATCTTCATTCATAGTAGCCTAAATGTAATTTGAGTTTGACGTAGAAAACATAACTTTTTTAAAAAGGAGGAAAAAAACAACAATCTAGTAGACCAAACATTGTAAATGCCTTCTACATATTGAATTGCCATGTTTATGACCTTGCCGGTGATTGACAGATGTTGCTACATGAGACAATGGCTGATGTGCAGTATGCATCACAATACTGAATGTGACAGAGCACTTCACCCTAGTTAATCCATGCTGGTTAAAATACCTTATTGTAATTATATGTTTTGAATGTTCAATGTGATGTAAGCCTACCGTAGGAATATTCTCTATTTATTTGAAACACCTCCGCCACAGCAAACCTGCAGACTAAGCAAATTTCAATTTACCCCATTGTATTTTCACTAAAATACTTCCTTAAAAACATGAGTTTTTTTTACATTTAACAGCATTAGGTGCCACGAGAAGAAAACATAGATTTGTTTGCTACAGGGAATATAATAAAATGTTTTTCAGTGAAATGTTAAAATCTAGGTATGGAATAAATAAATTTGATCAAAATATTTCAATAAACAAGAAAACAACAACAGTTTACTAGTTCCGTATGAGAGTGACGTTGAAATTTTAAATTTACTGTTTATTTCTGCAACATTTTGTGTACTGAGGGCTTAAAATTAGGAAAACCAACTTCTACCCCATTAAACACTGTTCTCATAATCCGATCATGCTGGCCTTGTTCGAATAAATGCAGGTTTGCATGTTTGTACCGAATTTCTTCAAAATCAGATGATTCTAACTCTTAAGTTGTCATGCTAACACACACACATATGAACTATCTATAATCATCAAAATATGATGGTTATAATACCTGCAGACTGCCTATAGTGTTCCTTGATCATCCAACAGGATTATGTGTTTCGGTATTATTATACCATCTTCAGATCCTATTTTATAAAACTTGAAATTGTTGACACATGATGTCACGTCACGGTTAAAAAAAAAAACACAGTCACAAAAACATTAACTCGAGAATAAACTATTTACAGTAGGCCTACGATTTGAAAATGAGAGAATTTAATTGAAATGCATGCGTTGTTTCTTCTTTGTCTCTCATTTTCAAATCGTAGGCCTATAGAGATACGCAATGTAAAAGACTTTCTCACAATTTAATTTTTGTAAAATATATTTTTACAATAGTACAAATTAGACTTAATTTCAAAAATGTCTGGAATTCGTCCAGATTAAGCTGACGTTCGGATTACTAGTGTTCGGACTAGTGGAACTCAAATGTACATGTAAGAAATGTATATATAAGAATATTTGTAGGAAAGGATTGTTTATGTGTTTACCTTGCAGAAGAGCGGCAGCATGTTGTACAGCTTGTCATCTTTCTCTTTTTCAGTAAGGGGATGAGATGGATGAGTGTACTCGGAAAACAGTTTCTTGAGATGCATAAGTCCGAGAGCAGTGTGTTGGGGATTAGAGTTGGCCTCATCCTGGGCCGAGGCAGTATTGCCGCCACCTCGCAACTTGCGCATTATATTCATCTTGTCCTGGAATGACAAAATACTTTCATGATCACAAATAGTCCTTAAAAGATAGTTGGCCTAACATCAGATGCCACTAAGCCGATTCTCAAGGATAGCGGTCAGCTATTTTTTGAGCCATATTACATGTCACATTCACAGAGAATTCAGTCCAGAATTTCAGTACGGTAATGAATATCATATAATACACATAATATATTATACACTCATTTGAGGGCATTTGTTATTCGCTTCAACTACAAAAGCCTTCATTACACATACTGGAGTGGAAGGATTTCCTAAGATGTAATATCAAATGGTTTAACAAACAAGTGTGGTAGAAAATATGTCCCCAACTGAGTAGGTGTTTCCAAGATTCTGAGATAGAAATTCAAGCAAAGATTTTTAAAGAAGCATATTGCTAGCTGTACAAAATTGGTTTCATCTAAGAAGTACCTGAAGTTTAACTTTAAAAAAAAAACACCTTCACTTTACAAATTATATTTATGCAAGCACAAAAAAAGAAAAAAATAAATAAAAAAAAACTAGAAAACTGTGCCCGAGTGCCTAAAACTGGTAGAGTGTTGGGTTTACCAGTGTAGTTATGATCAATGGCTAAGTGGTTTACAACATTGTCTCCCTGTCTAGGAGATTGAGGGTTTGATTCTGTCTTAGTCAGGTCTAGTGTACAGCTCAAGAAGAGCTCACCTGATAGGTGGGAGGGACCCAGACCCACCTAAAATAAACGTTGAGCAGCTCAGCTGAAAGTTGAGGCGATAGCTACGATTCTTTTTAAGTTAAGTCTCTGATCGTGATGTGTGTGCGTCTATATAAACTTACAAAAACCTTGTTTTATAAGGGGTTTGATTTTTGTTTTCATAGAAGGCTATGGTAAAACACTATGGTAAAATGCTTGATTCAATTAATGAATAACTGGTACTTTAGTATTATACTGAACACACCAATTAATCGACCTTCAAATAAGATGTTAATTAGTTTAAATACCAAAATCTTCCTAACCTAATTAACCTGGTCTAACCTAACACATCGTCCACCCTTAGGCTAGGTCGGGTAAGGTTAGGTTATAATTATTAGGTGTGGTCGGTATAATACCAATGTAGGTACCGAATAACTTAATCTTTGAGACTCAAATGGTCAAATTTATGACCCATTTACCAATGACGCCCATTTATTTATGACCCATACAATTTTGGTAGCATTATCTTTAATAAATGGTTAACATTTTTCTAGTGGGTGATATATATTAAAAAGAGTAGTTGAGATAGAGGGAATGGTGTAGGGATGAGCATTGATGGCCGATGTTTTCAAAATATCAATATTTTTCCTATTCACTTTGGATATGTTTTAGATTCATGGAGGTTACCGATGTTTTTGTTATGCCAATGTATTCCAACATTGATGTTTTTGGCCAACTATCACAATATTGATGTTTTCCACATTTTAATTATACAGTATTAGTTTTAGTAAAAATTGTAATGTTTGTACAGTATTTAGAACAAATATAATTATTGTATTACTCCATTGAAAGGCTCCAAAAATATCACAAACTGGACTAGGCTTTGTTCTTATTTATTCATTTGTGATGAATTTCAGAGGCAGCACTCTCACTCCAACATATTCAATTACGAGCGATATTTCGTCTTACCATAGAGAGGTAAAAAACAGAGAATACATTTAATGGTACACTTAAGTGGTGGCAAGCACCAGTTGCTGGTGTCTAGAGCTAGAGCAACTACTATTCGTCGTCCCCTTCCACTCTCCTTCCCCCTTGCCATACCATGCTACAGCGCCCACAAGGTATGAAGACGCTGTGCGCTACAACTGCTGTACAAATATGCTATGTGGCCATCGTCGTTCGAGCTCTTCCTTGCTTGATACTACTGTATAAAATTCCTTGGTCGAGTTTGGTATAATTTTTCATAACTTTTTTAGTAGATTTCAAAGCTAGTTTTAAAACTGTTAAATTATAATTCTGTTAAGAAAGTGTACCATTGTATCAATACAGCCAGTAGGTGACTCACATGCCTAGGCAGCGGACAGCCCCGGTGGACGCAGCGAGGGATTATAGGGTCATTTTTGAGGTGTTGCCTTCCAGATTACTTTTTAACAATATATTCTGGAGGTTAAATACCTTTTTGTTGCCAGCGTAATCCATTGGTCGTCTGGATAGAGACCGGTTTTGACACTCAAGGTGTCATTGACAAGCCTTTAAGACGCGTTGTCTCTCCTAGGAGGTCATCAAGAAGTCTTCAGAACATAAACATGAGACACGAACAAACATTTTTACGAATAAATAAAACATGGCCATACAAAACACTAATGATCACAGCCCGGCTGCGGGTTCAAAGTGTAGGTTGTCTAAATTATAGTGGTGGGCTCAGGTAGTCACGGGTCCATCCAACTTGAGTTGGACAAAGTGTAGTACGTTTCCGCCCAAACATACCAGAGCTATAGGCCCACGGTTGTCCCATAAGCTTTTATCCTCTGTATCTTACTTCTCTGTGGTCTTACAAAATGTTAAAAAGAAACTGCCAATCTAGAACCCCTAGGTAGTAGCTAGGGTTAATTAGCTGAGGCAACAAGTAGATGTTACTGTTACTGTTCAATGAACAGTATAAAAATGTTAAAAAAACATTAAAAAGATGAAAAACTCAAATAATAAACGGTATCAGCAGTCTTGACACATATTTTTTCCATTAGCTTGTCAACAACCCTTATCATGGGTAAGCGGTGGGAGTAACTATAATATTTTATGGGGAAAATCATTAAAGTTGCAATGGCAACTGAAGTTTTTACATCAATTGAAACTAGCATTCTGTTTGGGTTAAAAGGCCTATAACATACTAAATCTTAATCAAAATTGCACCAAATGATGGGTTAGTGCGGCACTGTATACTCAGTTGTGATTTACCTCCGCTGTAGATAATATCTAACTTGATAATCATACTTATGTGACTAGACTTGCGGCATGACCTATCGATGCTCATCCCTACAAGCACATTTATCAGTCTATTTTAACTGGTTTATGTGCGTTTTACTTATTAAACCCATGCATACTTGATGAGTTTGATCGTTTTAAAGTTGGTGGTATATGTAGACACTTTTATATATCGTTCTGCTCTTAAAGAGTTATGCTGAGTTAACCAGCCAAATAGGAGAGGGGTCCAGCCTTGAGAGTCCTTGGAGCCTAGACGTTTTTTTAACTCATAAAAGAATTAAAAACTACATAGAATATTTCTAATCTCACAGTGCACTAAATTACAATCATTTTGATATTTTAAAAGGTACTTTGAGATGGTAAATAACCCTTCAGCGGCTGTTTGAAATTAACGAAAGATTGCCGTTAGCTTCCATGGACTCTTTAGGAAACTAATAAAAACTAGGGCTACAGCAAAAATTTCTAATCCCACAGTGCACTAGATATTTAAATTGTAACCACTTTGGTGTTTGAACAAATATTTTTGACTGATAAATAACTCTTCAGCAGCGGTTTGAAATTATCCAAGATGTCCGCTAGCCTCCAAGGCGTCTAAGTATTAACAAGTATTAGGCCCTAGCATGTAACAAGTGTTAACAAGTATTAGCCTCTAGTATTAACAAAAACTCAAGTAAGCCTTTACTTACATACAAATTACATATTATTTCACAAACTACATATTATAAGTAGGCCTACATACATATTATTACATATTACACATTACATATTATTTATAACTAGGCCTAAATTAAAAAAGCGTAATAATTGTTGCTAAACACTTACTTGTTGACAAGAAAGATTAAACATTTGAGAATATAATGAAAAAAGCTTACAGATACAAGAATAATAAAACCAACCATGTAAAATTGCTGTGTAGGTATGCAAACATTACAGTAACTTATAACACAAAATTAAAATTGAAGCGCAAACCTATAGCCTATCATAACTTATTTAGGCTACTATACTTCTGTGAAGGGGCAAGAACATGTACATTGAAACAAAGTATTTGACAATAAAAGCTCTGAAATAGTAAAACATGCAAAGCATTGAATGAAGTGAACATTTCAAGTTTGAATACCTATAGCCTGTTAAGCACAGTGCAGGCTGTGTAACAAGCCCCTGCTAGTTTAAGGAGGACAGAAAATCGTAACTAAGTTAGCTCCTGTTGACTTAAGTTATTACGGTAGTAAGTCCCTGGACCAGGGACTTGAAACGTTTTACATTTTAAGTTATTTTACATTGTCTAGGGAATTGTGTTTTAAGAATTTACATTAACTTAAATAACTTAGGCCTAAATTTAGGTAACTTCAATGTTCATGTTCATACAACTAAGAGGAAATTTGAATTGCACAATGTATGCTAATTTGAGCAAGAACAATGTAGCCTAAAAAAATTTCAAGTTGTTTTGAAAAAATAAAAAGATGGGGCCAGGAGATAATTAACTTAGGAAGTTACTGTTGTGCAAAGCTGTGAACGACTTCAGCCTAACGACAAAAAGCCTAGGCCTACTTGTACACTTTCTTGATTCTTTGATTAGGCCTAGGGCCTATGCGCCAAAGGCATAACTTAACTTGAATTTGTGCAAACATTATTCCACTCAAACAGGCACAAAAACCTTCAAATTTTTTAGGCATAATTAAGTTAACCTAACCAGTTAAAACTATAGGGAACATTATTATTTAACGTACCTAAGTTAAAACAATTTGTTATGCAAACTTTAATCATTACCAACAGCCTTAAAATTAAGTGGATTAAGTTACATGAGTCTTTCAGTTCAAAACAGTACGGCCTACCTAAGTTAGCTTATTTATGAAAATGATAATGTTTGGGTCTTAAATGATCCTAGATAATGAATCACCCAGACTAAGTAAGAAACAAATTTTTATGTTTGACTCCTCTAAATAATTTTTCAATTGAATTCCGTCTCAAACTCTGCACCAGAACGTGTTGTTATTGTAGTAAACTTAAGTTTAACTTATAGCATAAATAAGAAGGCCATTTAGTTGGTTACCTTAAAGGAGGTTAAGTTAAATAAGTGATATGTTGTTTCTATCAAAATTTAAAAGGAAATTTAAGTGCTAGGCCTAGGGTACCAGTGTAATTAGGGTGTAGGTACTATACTTGAAATGAAGAAAAGGTTTGGCCACCCTTGAGAAACTGACATCAAGCAGACGATTTACTGTGCATCATGCAGTGTGTTTATGTTAAGTGTGATAATAATGTTACCTCCTGTACTTCGCCTATTTCAGCATGGTGCTCATACATTTAAACTGTTTAAATTAATCCTGCACTCAAATTGACCAACTAAGGGCAAATATTGTTCTAATAGGCCAGACTTATCAAGATCCTGAAACATCAAATTAACAAGTTTGTAATCTAAAACAAAGAGTAGTTATAGTCTTAAAAAAGATTAAAGAGATGCAATCTGGAGGTAGATTACTGTTTACCCTGATTATCAAAATCAATCAGTTTAACTTACTGATTTAAGTTTGACAGGAACAGTAGAAGAAAAGTGGTTGTACTATCAAAACAATCAATGGCATTGCCTGTATGTGCAATAAGCAAAATTTGACTGAGCGGGAGGAATTTAACTCGCTCTTGTGTAATATGACAGTGTCATATATTGTTAAGATACTTAAAATACATATTCTTACCTATTTAAAGGTATAAATTTCACAGAAATTACATTTTTCACTACACACGCCCACTTGTCAAATGTAACAGCTGACAGACGTCTGCTCTTGCTAACGCCATATTGATAATCAACAGAAATCCATGATTGTTTACAAAATAAGACAGCAAAAAAATATATCATAATATTAGACAGGTCTTTGATAGTGGTTAGCAGAAACTAGGAACATTGTTGCTGTACTATATAAACTACTGAGGGTATTTTAAGGAGTTTAGTACAATAATTGTACTACATGGTAGCTTAATATAGTAATTGATCATTTCGATTGGACTTAACTTACAACTACTACTTACACCCAATTTATGGAAAGTAATTAAAAGAAACGTCTTATAACACTTAAAACATATATTTACGCTTACTGTTACCATAGATAAAACATACTCCCTTTATGCTGTTACTCACAAGGCGGTGGACACTCCAATCATCATCAGACCCAATTAATAGGCAAATCCCCCAAGTTTGTATAAATTGTATTGTACAACCCAATTTATATAAAATGTAGGTACTATTACATTACACCGTAGATAAAACATACTCCTACACCCACGGCCACCTTTAACTACAGGCCGCGGCCTAGTTATTGGAATTAGCAACATCGCAAGTAGGGTTGTTAGTGTCAGACGTCCTATAAGATAACATGGCAGATAGGTGACACCAGCTCATTAATTCGCACTTTATTAAAATATTGAAAATAAAACAGACATAATTGAAAACCGAAACAATATGAATTGAATATCTATATTTGTACATTAAAGCGAAGTCAATATTTTCATAGACCAGTAACCAAGCTTTCGTAAATACACAAATACCATTAGCTGCTTCCAAACAAAACAGCTGTTACAACCCTACTTGCGACGTTGCCACTTCGAAGGCCGAGGCCTGGAGTTAAAGGCGGCCGTGCCTACACCCACCATTATTGATTATGGGAGATAGCAGATATATTGGTGGTCGAAGCTTTATAATTCACATTTCTTGTGTGTGATTATACTTATTAATGACAACACAGTATCAATAATTGCGTACAACAACATTTTTGCCAATAGTTTGACTTTAAACATTGTGATAACCAATCCCCATCCATTTCAGACTCTAAATCCTGTGGAAATAGCTATTTTCCTACAGCCACCAAGAAAGTGGGCTTCTTTGCCATGGTGGAAGGAAAATACAACTTCAACCATGCTTACTTGCTCTGATGCAACACACAATACTAAACGAAACTTAAATAACTAACTGTTCCTTAACGTTTCAATAGTCGCCTTCCACTTAAATCCAATTACTTAGTTTTTTTTATGTCCTCCATTTTACCCGATACCTTGCTCGCCAAGTTTGTGGTATGCTGCAGGATCCATGACGTCATACTAGTGGATAGATTTCATTGATAAATTAATTGCTATCACCATTCCCATATGTTTTAGGTAAATAAACAAGCTGGCTGTTTGTAATATTTTAATGGTAAGAGTTTAGTACAACTATCCACCACTGTGATGTAGTGTTGCGCTACCCGCGTGCAGCATGGCCTGTTTTTTTCTAGTGGGGCCTTGGCATGTCCCACGGATAAGCTCACAGCATATCCTGAGGTCATCCCAGGGTAGTCCTCAGGACATTCTCAGGGTAAATGGAACATATGGACGTATGGACATACTAGGTGGCGTTCGCAGAGGCATCCACAAAATTGAGCGGAGCCCTCAAGGGTTCATATATATTGTTTTTGTCATACTGCAGTAAAAACAGTAGTTTTTAATGCATGCGATGCGGGTCTAAAGTAGCATTTTTAATATTTAGGGAGTAAAAATCGTATTTAGCCTCTATGGAGTAAAAATCAGCTGTTAGTTGTCAACTCAGTTGTAAATTTCGATTGTAACCAATTGCATGTATCGAAAATATGTATCGATTCGTGCTTCGTAATCGTTTTAACATAGATACAGTCTACAGTCTCTTCCCGTAGCATTTTAGCATTGCAGATACATTAATCCATCCATTCCCAAACTCAACACTGCTCACCTTTACTACTACCTTCACCACACCCTACGTCGTGGACCTGTTTCCCTCTCTTCCCATAGAATTTTAGGATTGCAGATACATTTGTAATTGCCAAAGACAGTTCCCACACTCTGCACTGCTAGCCGTACTACTTCCTTCGCCATTTCATAGACCTGTTTCCTTCCTTTCTCATAGCATTTAAGTATTAGCCTACAGATTCATTTATCCAACCTGTTTCCCTCTCTTCCCATAGCATTTTAGGATTGCAGATACATTAATGTAATTGCCAAAGACAGTTCCCACACTCTGCACTGCTAGCCGTACTACTTCCTTCACTACGTCATAGACCTGTTTCCTTCCCTTCTCATAGCATTTTAGTATTGAAGATGCATTAATCTAACTGCCACAGATGGATCTCACACTATGCTGATGATGCTCAAACTTTACTACTTCCTTAGCCACTTCCTAAGTCGTGGACCTGTATTCATCACTTTCCACAGCATTTTATTATTTTAGATACGTTAATCTAATTGCCACAAACATTCCACACTACGTACTGCTAGCCTTTACTACTTCTTTCACCATTCCCTATGTCGTGGGGCATGCTTCCATCCCTTCTCATAGCATTTCAGCTTTGCAGATACATTAAAACTGCTAAAAGCGGTTTCCATTTCCCACACTCCACACTGCTCACCTTACTACTTCTTTCACTTCTTCCTACGTCGCGGATCTGTTTCCCTCTCTTCCCATAGCATTTAAAGATTGCAGATACCTAAATCTAATCGTCATAAACAGATCCCACACTCTGAACAACTCGCCTTTACTACTTCCTTCACCACTTCCTACATCGCGGACCTGTTTCCCTCCCCTTCCGTAGCATTTTAGGATTGCAGATACCAATCTAATCGTCATAAACCGTTTCCACACTCCAGACTGCTCGCCTTTACTACTTCCTTCACCACTTCCTACGTCGCGGACCTGTTTTCCTCGCTTCTCATAGAATTTTAGGAATGCAGATACCTTATAGTCTGGTTGCAGGTCAAAAAACCTGGAAGTAAGGTCCACCCAATGTTTTTTAGTGGTTTCTGTTTCTTCAAGACCTACATAATTAAAATAGGCAGGGTGGCACTTTGTCACCCTTGAGCAAATTGAGATATATTCAAGATGGCGGCCAAGATGGCTTAAAAACTGTATATCTGCTGTATCTTTCCCTATAGAAGAGACATGATAATCATTGTGTGCCTAGTTTGATGTTTGAATTGGAAAATTACCCAAAATAATATATCAATACAAGTATTTAATAATTTTCATATTAATTTGTTGCCAAATTACCTTTATAAACAATGTTTTCAAGTATTTACTTGACTAAAAACATTATAAATCCATGGTTTCTGAGGATAAGTGCAACATTCAAACAGAACACAGTCATCAAATCAGGTAACACTGTTCTTTAGGCTAGTCAAAATACGGTCCAACATCAAACTTAAGGTAAAATAAATAAAATATATTTCTTCTCCATATTCTTTCCCATATATTCCAAAATGGGATTTTGTCAACAAAGTTGTCAAGAATATTAGACTAAAAATCAAGAAAAATCCAAATGGCGGAAAGCCGCCATTTTGGAAAAAACTTCCGCCATATTGGATTTATGGAAGCTTTTAGTTAAAAACCAATAATTTGACAACTAATCGTCTTAAAAATCTGTGGTTTGTCTTAATAGCTTCCTCATCAAGTTTATTTTAAGATAATTATAACTTTATACAATTTAAATATTGATTTATTTAAAAGAAACAGCTTTAAATAGAAACAATACCAAATTTCGAAGATTTTTTTTAGTAAAACCTTTAAATGTTTGCAAATACAAACTCAGGTGATAAGAACATTCATATTTTGTGGCTCTTAAAAGAATCTGCATTAAATTTTGAACAATTATCAACCTCATATCAGTTTGTATATTGCTTTGAAGATATATTATGGGATATTTGTTATTCGTCACAGCTTGGAACGCTAGCCGTGCTGCACCACTACATTTAGTCCGATTATATAATACACACTTTGAGGAGGGAAAAATTGCTTTGAGAACATTTAAGACATACTTTGGAATCATACATTCATACATATAGGGCAATGTATAAACAAATCTGACAAAATCCGAGCATGGGAACACTGAAAAAGTAGGTGTTTTGAAACATACCAAATTCAATTTTTCATAATAGACAATTACACTAGTAGTCAGAAAAATATAGGATATGACATCTAAAATAAAATTTCAACGGAAGGTTTTATGGTTTTACTTTTATCGTTTGATGTGCAGTGTGACATACTAAAAGTTGTTAAAAATTTGTCTACGAGAAAACCCCTAAAATCACTATTTAAAATGTCCGTTAAACTAAGTGTGACACCTCGTATCTCGATTTTTTGACATTTTCAGCTGATAGCAGGAAAAAATGCAGAAAAATCAGGTGTACCAGCTAAGGCACATGCTAGGACAGTTTAAACATTATTTTCAAGAGTATTTTAGTTTTTAGTTTTACCTCGTATCTGGCAACCCTGTTTTTTTTGGGTGATACCTCGTATGTGAGTCAGTTTCAATGCATCTCTGAACTGGATTCGGCAGCTCTTCCCCATATGTCTTTTACTTTGCTGAATCTTTCATGTAAGTCGTAATGTAATATGTAATATTGTAGTTTAATTGTTGGTTAGTTGTAACTAATAATAACTCTTTGATTTAAGTATATAATTAATTTGTAGTTAATGTTCAAAATACAGGTTGGCACATACGAGGCATCACAGTTAGAATACAGTGTCAATTGGACATCACTTACGAGGTATCACATGATAAAAGTGAGTCGTATAATGCCTTGGTTATTGAGATTTTCTCGATTTTCAGGTGAATAAAAGAGGCCATGGAGAGCGAAGATACTCTACACAGTGATTCAGACAGCTCTGTGGATGAGATACTTGGAGCTATTAAAGCGCAATGTCCCAATTCTGTAGTTGAAGTTATAAAGATGCCTAGGAAAAACAGATTGGATAAACCCCATAACAGGCCTTCCAGACATATTGTAACAG